ACAGCAAAGGTTCCAACAGATACCATCGAGGATGAAAATGTCCAGAAAAATGAGGACAAGGAATCCATGTAAGTCATTTTTCTCGAAAGTTCCATCTCTTCTTTTCTTAGCTTATTGGTTTTTTTGATGAAAGATTCTTCCCAGACATAGAATTTGATTATGCGAATACTGTTAAGTATTTCGTAAATAGATTCGATTCTTTTGTCGTTTATTTTGCTGTGATCTTGACGCAACTTCGTATTTAGTTTCGATATAAATTCCACTGTTAAAGATGCACCAATTACAATGAATATCGCGACAAATGCCGAGTATCCCAACTCAGAATAAAGAATAAGCAAACTGCAAATAATTCGTAACGGGATAGACCATATGTCATTCAATGAAAACATCATAGAATAAAATTTCTGAGAATCAGATGTCATCAAATTAACTATTTTACCAGAAGATACTTTTTTCTTTGCTTTAGCGCCAAGATAAAGGGATTTTCTGAATATTGATGCACAAATGATTGCAAAAACCTTTTCTCCGACAGTATTGTGCAAATATGAATCTTGAGCATTAATCAGATTTTCAATGCACGAAACGATAAACATTGAACCAGCAATCATGAATCCATGCCATATTGGAACCGATGATTTTTTCTCAATAAAATTTATCAGCAATCTGAAAAAAAGAAAAATTCATAATAGGTGAATTGAGATGCACATGCTAAACATTCAGAAACTTACTTTATAAAAAGGGGAGAGATCAGAGACAAAATATTGGTCAAAAATTGAAAAATTGATAGCAAAACCAAATGTCCCCAAAATTTTTTCAACAAAGCTGATACTAAATTAATACTTGTCTTTGATCCTCTTTTGGCTTTTGACATATCAGCTTCAAATGATTTGTAAAGGTTTTCAGTTTTGCTGTCATCTGGAAGATCCCAGAGATCATCGATAGTTGTTTCTCTTTTTCTGCCAAGAAATATTAAACTATTGAACCACCAAAAGGTTAGCTGATTAAGGAATGATACTTCATTTTCTGGAATCAAATGTTTGCTTTCTACATCAACTTGCTCATTGGTCGCCAGATATGCAACATTAATAATTGGTCCATCAGCAAATGAAATAACAATCAGGAGTGATAAAATCACACCAAATTGGAAGTTAAATATGATAAATTCAAATGTTGAATGATTTTGTGCGTCAATCCACGTTTGATAAGTGATTAAAAATGTAGTAATTGTTTGTAAAAAACAATAAATCCATATCACAGCACTGGTATGGATTCCAAGAAGTCGGTGGTAATAGAAGAAGAAAATGATTAATGTCTGTAATAAGAAAAATAAGTGAAAAGATATCACCAAACCATGTTATTATTATCAAACTTCCCATGAAGTTGAGTAGACAGAAATTGAATTGCATCTGCTCTCGACAATAACTAATCACAATGCAAAGTTTTACATATCATTATCAAACAATTACAACATACATTGGTTAATTCAATTAAAGTCAAGTATCATGTATGGATGGCATGACAAGCTATTACTTACGAGAGATGCAACATTAGCCAAAGGGACATGTAAATCAACAGGAGTTATTGAATCTGCTGACTTGTAAATTGTACATCCAAATTGTAAGTCATTTAAAAATATATAAGCCAAGCATAAAATTACACGAATAAAATTGTGGCGATTCCATTTAATTGTCTTGTTTTTCACTTTAGCGATCCTTAAAAATTCAAAGAAACAAAAAAACCAAAGAAAAATCGTTGGCAACCAATTAAGTATTGTCCTCTTGAAACATTGTGTTAATCCGGGTTTAGATGAACTCCATAACGAATCATGTTCCTAAAAATTAAATCCAACAGCTGATTAATAAACCAGGATAAAAAGGTATTTAACTAGGTGAATAATGATGTAATAATCCTCATGAATTTAATCATGTTGAATTTTAAGAAAGATTGAACATCGTTATGCTTGACACAATTCAATGAAGCTTACCCAAAGAGATGAGTTACCACAAACAAACACAAAATTAATTGAATCAAAGCGCATTTTTTAAAGTTGATCAACCTGTCAATTGTAACATGTCGGTTGATCGCAACTAAGAGACATAATAAAATGTGAATCAAAATGTTTTTGTTTATGTTTTAGTATTCAGTTTCCATCTAGTACAGATAGAGGGAACTTGTTTCGGTGAAAGAAATTTTCATAAAACTTTCACCATGAATTTCATGGAATGAAAGTTGCACCGATTTATGATTTGATTATTAATACTTAATGATGCACAACAAGATGGCAGTAGCTCTCATGTCTGATTCCTAAAAGCTTTTTGTGATAAATATTGTTTGTTTAACTTAATTGTGACAATTTAATCAGGTTGAATTATACTTTAATTAATCTCTCAAAAATAAATACATATTTACTTGATGGCAATCAAAGAGTTTTGTATTACTTGTAGTAATTGATAGCTAAAATAATGAAATAATAGAATGATTCAGATTACTTTCAAAAACTGCTTTACTTTATTAATTCAGTTTGTCGAAAATTGCAAGACATTTATTTGAATCGAGAAAAAAAGGATTTCTATGCTTTATTTGCTTAAATTAACAATATTTTTATTCGTTCTTACTCCGTTTCAATAGTTTTTTTATTAATAACCTAAAACTTTTTCCATGCTATAAGTCAGCAAACATTGAATTTTGAACAAAAACTGATCAAAATTGCTTTCAAACGATCACTTCTTATTGAATATTTTTTGTTACACAATATCGAAGCAAAGAATCGTCACAAAAATAAAAATAGTATCTTTTTCTAGGAAATAAAACTTTTCTTTTCGATTTTCATTTTCTTTTGTATAAAACAACATGATATTTCTGCATAATTTGTCCGTATTCACATGATTATTCAATTTTTTAAATTAAAAATAGATAATTTCTGTCCAGGGAATGTCATTTTACTGATAAAATCACAAATAAAAAAATTAGTTGAGTTATAATTTCTATTCACAATGAAAAATCATAGTTTACTATCAATCATTTTTCTAAACGATATTATGTTTTATTGACCAATTCTTGGAATCGAGCTTGAATAAAATACAGACTTATTCAAAAGAAAATTTTTTCCTTTTCATTATAACTATTAAATGGCTGAGTTTTTAGCAGATTTAAGCTTTTATTTCTCCAATGATCCGATAGTTTTCATTGAATTTGAAACCAAAAATTGATTGATTGGTTTCGAGCTTCAATGGACACTTGCAATGAAAGGATACAAAAGAGTTTGAAATACAAATGTAGCTCAAAATTCAGTTTGAGTTTGTTTCAATTCACATATGAAAACATTGAATGGACAATTGCCTGTAGTTTTCCGATCTATTGGTTTAGTTGCTCGTTAGTTCTGATTTCTTTAAACACACAAAACATTAGTTCATTTCTGATCATTTGAATAAAATATAAGGTGAATGTAAATTTTAAAGCCAAGACAATTTAAACAAAAATGAATCCCGAAGAGCCAAGAGAGAATCATCTCGTCGAAATTAAATGTTATTATGGAACTTACAAGCGATTATTTTTATTTACAGTGAATTTAATTTGTTTTGCATTGGTGATTGCTCTTTATTCATATACCTGGGATTTCCAGTTGAACTCTAAAATGAATACTTTTGCTATGTGCCGAGCTACAATCAATATAATTTTAGTCAGTTTTCGTTTCATCATCATTTTGTTTCTGATTAAGCGTCATAAAACTGTTTCTTATTTGGAAAATTTGCATGAAATTGGAGTTGGTCAAGATTGTCAGTTCAAAGGATTCATAACTCGACATCAAATGTGCAAAAATGTTGTATTCTCAATCTTTGTAGTCATTGAACTAGCTCTCAATTTGGGGCATTTTTTTGCTAATTACAATCTTCTTGGAGTTGGTGAAATTGTTTATTTTTTCATGCTTTTAATTTATCCAAATGTAAATTTGTTGATCATCAGAGAAATTATTGGAGTTAGCATTTATTTACAGGTAGCATTTAAACTGGTCAATTCAAGAGTCGATTCATTAATGAGCAAACAAGCAATTGACCCGAATTCACTGAAAAGTTACCGTCGACATTACAGTTATGCGGTTAAAGCCACTCGATCAGTTGAAAACTACTTTCGATGTTATGTTACCTTTTTTTATGTTCAATATGCTTGTTACAACATAATGAATATTGTATGTGCATTCGGGCCTCATCCATCAAAAAATATTTTTTGGTTATTTCATTTTATTGTTGACACTTTATTAATGATTTATCTGACGATTAAATTGGTTTCAGTCAATTTCTTGTCGCGAAAAAGTTTGGATAATCTTTATGAGATTTCCTTTGAACTTGATACAATGGAACTGAAATACGAGGTTAGAACTTTTCTTATCCCTTTCTAATGATTTAAATCTTACATTAAACTCCATATTATCAATAATTTACAGAATGCGATTTTCATGGGACGAGTTTTGTTCACCGATGTTGGCTTTACCTTTGCGAACCTTTTCACCATAAATACACAGTTTATTGCATCAATGATGACGTTGTCGCTAACTATAATTCTGGCTTTGGCAAACTTTCTTTATGAGTAATTATCCATTAAACTTTTGAACTAAAATTAAAAAAAATCATTTTGCACTCAAAAAATAAACCAGGAGGAGGATGATTCACAAACATCGAGGATAGAGTGTTTAAACTAAGTACGCACCATTTCACACCAAATTGTAAAAACATATAAATGGAATAATTAAATAAAACACTAATAAAGATAATTTAATATAATTATGTGATATTTAATGGGTGATCATGATTCAATTTTACCTGTCAAATGATGGTCAGTCGGTCGTAGTTCAATTCAAGTTGGACTCTCAGTAGATAAAATTGGAAATTATAAAAGCAGTTGGACAAATGCCTCTCATCAATTAGATTTCATTGTAAACAGCTTAACCATTGAATAAACTTTACTACACTCAATTAAAGATTAAAATAAATTGATCGAAACCATTTAAAACCCATAATTTTCGTTTAATATATCGAAGTATCTTCTTTAGCAAAAGAGTCAACTATACAAGGTAACTTTATACAAAGTATACAATTTTGAAATCTTGCTTCATGTTATTTAGAAATGTCTTTTGAAATTGAAATTATTTAGAAATTGAATGTTTAGGATTGTGTGACCATTTCAAGCCATTTTCGTAAAGCTTCACCTAAAATTCTGGGCATCGAGTTAATGTCCTTCAAAATGATGTAAAATGGAAATGGGAATTTGTCCATATATGATTCAAATGTAACTTTATCTCCATCAAAACTAGGAACGGTAATATCAAGAATAGAGTCTTTGTTTGATAGACTATCCATGACCAGAAATACAGTGAAGACGCGCAATTCTTGTATATTGCGAATAGCTTGACGAACCATTGCTCCATCTTCATTCAAAAGACCACGACCATCTGAAATAATAATCAGCAGTTGAGAAACAGCGCAACTTTGAGCACTCTTACGAGAGGAACATTGGACCATATAAGATGCAGCGCTGGTTAGTAATGGACCTATTCGGGTTCGTTTTTGTTCAAAGTTTAACTAAAATGGAAAATAGAGATAATTTTGAATTAGATCCAGAAATTTAAATGTTAAAAGTAACTTACCTGTGAAAGTAATTTAGATCCAGCCGAATCTGTGAATGGTTCACCGAAAGAGTGAAGCAAGTTGACTTGTTCACCGATTCACCGAAACTCATAAGAGCTAATTCACCAGCTTCTATGAGTGATAAAGATTTACCTAAAAGAGCAATCGATTCAAATGCTATCTTTTTGGAATCATTGTCCAACATACTGGCAGAGTCATCGATTGCCAGAATAATCTGATATTGACGTTTACTTGGTTTGGTTCGTCTTAACCATATTTTATCCTTTTTATAAGAGCTTGCAATGTACTCAATTACTTTTCGCATATTTAAACGCTTTCCCGTTCGATAGTCTCCTTTCATTTTAGCAGCTTTCATGGGTTCCAAAACTAATTGCAATTGCTGGCATAATTCATAAACTAATGGTCCAACTGATTTCTCACATTGATTCCATGCATCTTTACGAGCTTCATCGCTCATGAGTTGACTTTTTTCGATCTTCTCATGTAATTTATCAAACCACGATTGATTTGTTTGTTGGTCATCTTCGGTTTTACCAAACTTGCTGTAAAATTGAGATTCAAGACCTCGAGCAACTGTGGATGTTTCCCTGAAATCACCTTCTAAATCAACCATGTCTGCATCACAACCCTCAGGAGTATCCATAGTTTCACCAGTTTTTGTGTCTTGTTTATTTCCAAGCGATTTTTCTGGTTTCTTTTTCTGAACAGGACCTTCATTAGGATCATCAGTCTCCATCTCTTCTGGTTCAATAAAATCTTCATCACTTTTAATCTCAGATTCTTCCAATTTATTTTCATCCAAGTTTTCCGGTCTACTTTTAGCAGCATCAGCATCTTCTGCTATATCAATAACTTCTTTAGTAGACTCTTCATCTTCAGAACAATGTTGAACTAATGAAGAATCAATTTGCTTCTGATTTTCCTCTTTGTTTTGATTCGCTTCAGTTTTGGGCGACTCAGGCTCATGTCGCTCTAATATTCGTTGTTTCTTAGTTGCCTTAGAAGGCGTTTCACTAGTACTTTTATGTCCACGTTTTTTCTGTCGTGGTTTAGATACAGATCCACTTTGATTCTCCGATTCTTCGTGAATGGTTGAAGATTTAATTTTACCTTCGTTAGACTGACCCTCGTGAGGATTTGAGCTGGTTCCAGCGCCTTCATTGTCTTCTTTGTTAGCATCAAGTTCACGCGCTCCTTCGGCCATGTTGCGTTCATCTTGCTGATAGAAAGGATCGACTTGAGCATTTGGTTTTAGTTCAGAGTCAACACCAGAATCCATTGGAGCTTCCTCGGTTTCAATTTGTTGATTATCAGGTGCGCTTGGATCTTCTGAATCTTTCTCTTCACTGTCTTTCTTCTCTGGGTCGTCTTCTTTACCTTCATCATTCTCAACTTCTTCAGGAGCTTTTTCTTGATCTTCAGCTTCCTCATCACTTTTATTTGCCTCAGAAGGTTGATCTTGAATATCCTCAGGTACAGTCTCCTCGAAAGATTCATTTTCTTGTTCATCATTCAAATCTTTGTCTTCTTTACTTTCAGCTTCCTCTTCATTATCATCTTCACCATTTTCTGAGTCACCGTCATTGCCATCCAAATCCATATCTTCTGGAAATTCTTCAGCTTCTTTGCATTCTTCATCTTCTTCTTCTCCAACAGCTTTTTTCTTGAATGGATCTTGTTTCTCTCCTTCATATTCATCATCAACCTTTTGTTCATTAATCTCCTCATTTTCCGACTCATCATCATTATCTTTATTTTTATCCTTCCCTTCACTTTTATCTCGAATTCCTTGGTTATCATCTTTAGCAACCAGTCGATCATCACCTATCTCTTCACCACCTTCATCTCCATCATCATCGCCCTCTTCGTCTTCGTCATCCTCGTCTTCATCTTCATCGTCATCACCCCACATTTTGTCATCTAACCCTTCAGAGTCATCGATATCACCCATTTTCTTATCCAAATCATCATCTTCATCGTCCTTATCATCATCACTTTCATTTTTATCATCATTCTCATCATTTTCATCAGGTCCGAAATCAGGAGCATCAAAGTCTTCTGACATTTCAATACCATTCTTCTCGTCTTTTATATCTTTATCGTCAGATTTGTCTTGTTCCTTTTGAGCTCCGGAAGGCATAGCTTCATCCAGTTGATCTTCAGATTCAATTTTATTAGAAACGTCTTCTTCTCCTTCTCCTTCACCCAAACCAGCATCAGTCAGATCTTTCAGCTTATCTTTATCAATAGTTTTTTCATTTTCATCTTGCCAGGGAGGGGGAAGACAAAATCCTTGCTTACAAACATCGGTAAACAGTCCGAGTAATACGTATAACAATTTACATCGAGTTCGGAATGATGATAAATTAAGACTCGTTATGTGAGTTAAAAGATCAACATAGCTGCTTAGATATTGATGAATGTGAGAGACGATATCTTGCAAGATTGGTTGACTATCATCATCAATTGAACTTGAAACTGAACTAAGAACTTTTTCAATTTCTTTCTGCATTCGAGTTAGATTAAGCTCATTCAAAGCATTTTGTGATATTTTAGAGTAGATTTTATCCATTGATGTGTCATTAACCTCTTTGGGTTGATCTTCTTTGAGACGTAGAAATAGCTTTTGAATGTGTGACAGAACGGATACAAGGAAACATTCACTCTGGTTGAAGACAGCTTCAAATGTTTGATCACAATGTGATGGGGAATCGTTTGGATAGTGACGGGTTTTAAAAATGGCCAGATCTTCAGATATTTGATTACATACCACCATTAATTGATCAGCCACAGTTCCAGTATCAGTTTTAGTAGAACCAAGGTGAGACTTCAATTCAGAAGATATTTTTCCAAGTTGTTCCCAAGCATCTTCAAGTTGAGATTCTGAAGATGCAGAAACTATCAATGACTTGTAGGAGGTTAAAGGTGAAGAGCTTAATAGCAAAGTGAGTTTGTCCAATTCAAGCAACGATTTCTCAAAAATAGATCGTAATTGTTCAATATCGGTTGAATTTGATTCAACTGGAAGCTCTTTTATTTGTCGAAGAGAACATTGCAGAGAAACATTGCGTTGTGAGAAGATTGAAATCCAATGATCATATAAAGATGGCGATGATAATTTGTTACCTCGATTTGAACAAATAGAGACAGTTTCAAGAATGTTTCGGAATTTTCTTAAAGAACATAATTGTTCAAAAAGCTTTGATTTTGATGAGATAATTTCATTGAGCATAAAACCTGCGGTTCCTTTTAAACGCTCAAAAACATTTTGGATTTCTTTTATGTCATTAGATGGATTGGTGAGAGCTGCTTTGAAATCATTATAACGAGAAAGTATTGAATAAAAGTACTTATCCATGAAGTCAGTTTCATCTTTAGTTATTGATAAACCCCAAATGGGTTCAAACGGACGACATGAAGCTAGAACCGTTTCCAAATCAAAAGAATTGTACATTTCAACTCCTTTTTTGAATGAAATGCCCCATGTACCAAGTTGCTTGAGTAAATTAGAGAATGATTGTCTTTTCATGTTGTTTATACTTTTAAGTTCCTTTTCGTATTTTTCCTTTTCTTTGACTCCTGGAGGTATTTTAAGGTTCGCCATTTCTTTAATTCCTTCGATTATATCACCAGTGCGATTATCAACTCTCTTAATTGATTTTCTTAGACTTCTAGTCAAGACTTTGGTTTTCTTTGAATACTTTGAAACTTTTGAAATCAGTTGGTGTGAACGAGGTAATAATTTCAAATCAGAACAATGAATAGGTTCCAAAGGAGCAGCTGTAGTTTCCATTACTGTACTCTTAAAATTGAATGATTCAGTATTGGATTCCGATTTAGCCAATTTGAAGAAAGCAGTTGTTGGCACTGACAATGATTTATCATATTTTTTGGTTAAACGATGAAGTGTTTTGTGAGATTTTTCAACTTTGGCTTTAAGACTCCAAAAATTGCCATCATTCCAACGCATAATTTTTACAAAATCTTTAAGTTCCTTTTCAATGGGTTTTCTTATTCTGTCTATTTCTTCTGAAACACTTGACTTGAATTGCAGATAGTACTTATGAACGTTAACTAAAATAGTAAATAGAGGAAGTTGAGATCGCCGAGAGTCAACACATAGTTGATGATCGATGAAATTTTCGAGCAATCGAAGTCTTGGATTAAATTGACCAATTGTTGATTCTTCAAAAAATCTTCTGAGCAAAGTTAGCAACTGTTTTTCATTTTCTTCATTTCTTTCTTGATCGTTTTCTTCAGTTGTTAGGATGGAATGAATAAGAGAGTAAAAGTGAAACCAATATTTGCTCATTTGTTTGCTCTCAATATCATGATGAACAGAATCTAATTGCGTTGACCAACATTTAAGCTCCATTTTTCTCCACTTAATGATCAAAGATGTCACTTTAGATAATTGTTCTGATAATTTTATTTTTCGATGAGCCATTTGCTCCCAATCTTCAGCTGAGCGTAGTAAAACTTCTAATCCAGTAACAATTTTAGCCAACGGTGAATTGATGTTGAGACCGTAGAGACGTTCAATAATCAATAAAAGCTGATGAAGCATTGGATTACCAGGGAATTGAGGAAGAAGCTCACTGAGAATACGATTCTTGATTGGTTCAAGGATGTTGAAACATTCTCGCAGTTCCTCAGGCTTTGGATCTTTGTAAAAATTAAATGAAGATGAAGATGAAGAAACTGTTGAAGAAAGAGTTTTCTCAAACAAACATGTCATTATCCATGAGCTTTCAACTGACACAGAATCAAGATTACGTCCAAGAACAGGACCAACGATATCGACAATTTCTGCTGATACCTGATAGCGATAAGCTAAAGGTTTGAAGATATCAATCGATTTCGTTGATTGGCTTTGTCTTCTTAGCAGGATAGATAACAAATCTTTATGAAGATTGCATATTTCAATTATATCCTGTTCTTGAATAATTTCACGGTTAGATGTTGATTGTTGTTTGTTATTCTGGTCAATGGAGTCTTGGTTTGAATTGGTGGGATTTTTGATGAATTCTCGGAATTCATGTTCATATGTTGGAAATTTTTGGCTCATCTCTATTTCATCGAGAATTTCTTCCGGCAGTTCATCGGGATGAACTTTAGATTTATAAAGAAAAAGACTGTCTTCTTCTGCTTTCTTTTCCTTCCTTTGAGCTTCTTCTTTCATCCAGAATTTCAAAAAAGTATCTATTACTTTAAAAAGAGTAACCAATGCGTCTTCATTTTGAATGATGTTCAGATGAGCGGCGTTCAGTAATTCAGTCAGTGCTGATTTATACAAAAGGTTTGAAGAACTAATGGCTCCAATTTGGGTTAACGAAGTAAGATGTTTGAAGCCTTCTGATCGTACAGTTTTAATCAAATCATTAGCTCGAGAAATTGGATCCGAATTTCGTAGTCTAAACAAAGACTCAAGTTCATTGAACAAATTTTCACTGTTTTGTGTTTTATAAAGGTTGGTAGTTTTTTGAGTTAGCATCACATGAGAAGATAGATTTAATCCATATCTGGTTAATGATAGCCCTAAAAGCATTTCATTTGTAACATTGGCGTAGAGCGGATAATTGAAGCGAATATTATTGATGAAATTAGAGACAGACTTTTGAAGACTCACTAATTCGCCAATTATTTTCTCATCCAGACGATCAATTTTTTCAACAAGTTTAAACATTTTGTCCAAAGGCAACAGTGTCGACAAAAAGTGAACCACTTCATGCCTCAATTTTTGATATCTCGAGGGAACCGGGCGATACCCTTGCCGGGACTTTAGTTTTTCAATTTTCTTGAGAACAGTTGCTTTTCTTTTCAACGCTTGAGATACATGAAGGTGTTCTGAATTAGGAATCATATTTTCACCAGCATCCAAAATTGATAAACGATTATACGCAGACAGTTCTCCATCCAAGAAATTTAATTCTTCTTGGTAATGTAACAATTTGATTGACCATTTTTGTAATGGATCAATTGGCATAGTCGGTGACCATAGGTGGGTTAAAATCGTACCAAAAAGTACCATTGCTGCACCTTGTACATTGGCCTCAACTTTTCCATGATCTTCTGAAACCAATTGCCATAACTTGAGAAATGTTAGTCTAAATCGAGGATCCAGCTGCAATAAAAAGTCATCAATAGTAGATTTAACATTGTTGACAAGCTCCAAAAGAATATCCAGAAAATTATTTGTAAAATTATGATAATTGTTATCAACGAGTGTCTTGAAATTGTCGAAGATGTAACTTTGAAGTTTTTCAACTGCAACCGCTTTACAATCAATAGTTCCTAAAACTGACGCGGAATTGAGCAATTTAGATGACAGCAAGGTAAGTCCTGGTGATGAAGGTAAATGATAGCCAAATTTAAGCCACTCTGATTTTTCAATTTCATCATTTTGAATCTGTTCTTGCGTTTCCTTGGAAAGGAAAAGCGAATAAAGATTTTCACAAGTCATAATATATTGAAAATCAGATAGATGGTGAAGGAATGTTTCTTTCAAAAGAGAAACATTGATTGGCAGGCATTTGATTAAAAATGAATGCATCGGTGAAATACAGACAGTAGGAAGTAATTGAGTCACAGAAGTTATTGGTTCCAAACTTTTTAAATGACAAATTTCTTTCCAAAAGAACGTGAAATAATTTAATGGGATGACTAGCTGTGACATCATGTTGATAGGTTTTTCAAATGACAATGATATTTCTTGGTCATTTCTTTCATCGATATCATCATTTTGATCTTCTTTTTCCGAGAAGACTAAAGTTTTACGCATTTCATTTCCAATCAGGTCAAGTTGTTCTGATAATCCACTAAACTCTTCTTTGTACATTTTCCCATAAACTGCCACAATTTCATTTAAGAAACGATTTTTGTTGTGGTTTGATGTGAATTGAGATCCATTGGCTGCAAGTAAGCGACTCAATTCCAATGTTTTCACAAATAATGAGGCACATGAAGCATCTTTGTACAAAGTTAACGATTGAGATAAATGTTTTTTGAATGCAAAACATTCAATTGGTGTTTTTTGGTCAAGTCGAAGGCGAGAATTGAACTCTAAATAAAAACTAGAGTCAAAATTTAATTTGAAGGTAGGATGTGTACGAAGTTTGTCATAAACAATGACCCAAAGAGGAAGCAATTTTTCAAAGATGTGATTTTCATAGTCGGTAGTGTTGCAGTCAGATGAAACAAAACATTCAAATTGATGAATCCAAATGAGGATTGTGCGAAAATCGTAAAGTTCTTCGTCACTAAGAAACATGTTAGCAAGATTAGAATCACGTTGAGTTTTCAGATTTGTTAAAATCGGAGGAATGCACTTAATTATTAGTTGATTAGCACGATCAAATGGACGACTTAATAACGATGTTTTTGAGTTCTTTGTCAAATGTTGTTGGATCATATCTAGAGCCCAGTTGAAAATTTTCAAGGCCAAACAATTTAGATTTCGTTGGATATCAGCTGATTCTATTCCATTTAAAGAAGATGCAATTTTATTCCACATAATTGTATTGAAACGAATATCCATTGGTAAATAATCTACAGCTGTTGATGAGCAGGGAAGCTGATTGTCGAACATTAACACAGATTTTGATATACAATCAAAGAATGAAATATCGAAAGAAATTTCAAACTTGGAATTAACCAACTCGGAACGGTAAATACTGTCTTCTTTACTTGACCGAAGCAAAAATAACGCCAGGCTAGCGAATATTTGAATCAGATCAGGCTTGTTCAGTTCTGTGCTTTGGAAATCACGGTCCGATAAAGCAGAGGAAACAATTGAAAATTCGGTCTTAAGATTACTTATCAAAATATCACCCAATTTGACTCTGAAATCTCGCATAGCTAAGTCGAATTGATTTAAGCTAGAAGACGATTCCACTTGTGGATTAGTTGAACTGAAGAAAGAGGATATTTCCGGATAATATTGGCAAATCTTTTTGATGTCTGTTCCACATTTTAACTCAAGCGCAATGCGGCTAGCTAATTGAACAAGATAACTACCATTCAATTGTTCTTCAGTGAGATTATAATTTGAATTCACTAAATTTGAATGATGGGCAAGAAGAGCATTTTGAAATTCATTACTTGTTAATCCAGCTTTGATCATTTGACAGCGAATATCCGATTCATTGAACGATGGTGCTACAAAAATTTCAACTCCTCGATTTCGCATTGCTCTTGAAAGTTCACCATTTTTAGGGTCAATTGTAAGGAATAAACGGAAATTCGGGTGAGGGCGAACTACAGGAACATTTCCATCCACACAACCTTGTTCGTTGAGTACTAGTTCACCATCTGGCTCGAGGAGACCATTGAGACGATCAAGAACTGATGCAGGACATAGATTGGTATCATCAATCAATAACCAATCACCTTCCCGTAGAGCATCAACTAGAACTGAATCAATCCATTGGAAAGTTCCGCGTGATGTGAGAGACTTTCTTTCTTTGATGTGACCAATAAGTTTTTGGAGTTTTTTAGAATAAATTTCTTTTTGACTGTCATTGAGAATCACTTTTTCAACTATATTTTGAAGTTGCTTCAATCGCTTAAGACACTTGTTCGCAGTTTCACAACTAGAGCTCGATGTTTTATAGTTTGACCATTCTTTCAGTGTTTCCCTGGCAAGAGAATGATTTGATTCTACGGTTTTTAGACGCACAAAGTTCCAAATAAGAGGCTCAATCGAAGTTTCTATTCGTTCAATATCGTTAACTACATCTTTTTGATTGAAACCACCAAGTAGTTCAATTGTGTCCATCTCAGAGTTAACGACGATAGTCTTGAGATTGACACCGACTAATTTTGATAATAAGTGCACAAGAGATGATTTTCCAGATTGAGATGAACCAACAATCAATGTCATCCAGTTCATTTCAACACATTTCATCAAGGCTTCGAAAATGGGTAATTGTCGGTATAACAGAAACCAATCATCTGTGCTCGAGACTTTACTTGTACGCGGCAGAAAAGAATGACCAACTTGTAATAAATCTGGATAAATGGTCATTCTTGTGATGGACCGTTCGAGTTTACAATCAAAGACAGACTCGAATAATCTTTCGACAATTTCAATATCCTCACGGGTTCGGAACCGACGACTGTAAAGAATTTTCATTGAATTAGCGACGTTTTCATCAAAGTTTCCTTTACCAATCGATGCCAAGATTAACTGACACCAACGGAAAATATCTCGCAAATTAAACTCCCATGGAGATCCTCGTCGTCCAAAACTTGTACTTTGCTCAATTTCTTTTACCAATTTTTCATTGAAAGTTACCATCTTGTCGATAATATAATTAGGGATAGTAGAAAACACATTGGAAACGATAAATTTGAGATCAGCTGTCGTCAGACTTTCGACATGAATAACAGTAAAACGATTGAGGAATGATTTGGGTAAACCTTTACGATCACCTCCTTGGGCGTGTGGATTTTGACAGGCAAATATTCGAGTTGCTTGTTTACTGACTGAAAATGTTTTACCAAGTTCTGGGATGAAAATTTCACCTCGATGATCAAGACATGCATTAAGACCCTCTAAAACACTTTGAGAGGCAAGATTAAGCTCATCAAGGAGTATCCAACATGAATCACTCTTTAAAGCTTGTAACAATGGGCCATCTCTCCAAGAAAATCTGCCTTCACATCCTTCAACTGGTAAATCAGCACCAAATAAATCACTTACGTCAGTTTGTTCAGACAAATTAATTCTAATTACTTGGTAATTGGCTGCTTTAGCCATAGATTGAACAAGACTTGTTTTACCAACGCCAGGAACACCTTCAATTAAAATTGGCTTGGAAAGTTGCATTGCTCGAAGTAACCGTTGAGTATTAGAAGCTACTGTGGGTGAATCAAATATGTACATGGACGATATTGAAGATGGTAAAGTTGTCTTGTAGTTGCCTTTGGGAATAAAAAATGGAGCTATGCCGATAACATTTTTGTTTCCTGTGAGTTTAATTGAATTTGACGAGACTTTCATTTCTCCAAATGTTTTGTCCAATATCGAAAATAATTTTGCTTCACATTCTCTTTTAGCATTAACAGCGTCACGTAAAATGGAACCAGAAGATCCCAAAGAATCGAGAAATACTAAATGTACAGCATGAGAAATGGCTTCAATGGGATTTAAGGTATTCTTTCTCATAGAGGAAGACTTCATGGTTGTTGATACAAAGTTAACCAGTGATAAGACATCACGGATACTAGTGAAGTGTATTCCGCTTTCTTTCGTTTTTTTCAAGAACCATTCAAGGAAAGAACATAAACTAGAAACTATATTTTCTTTGAGGTTAACAGGTAAATCTATTAGATTGTGGCTAATTATTTGACGGAGATCATTCAATTCAGTTGATGAGTAGCACCAAATTTCGGTGAAACGGTTACGTAATGCTGGAGATAATTCTTTTTTACCATAATCGCCTCCAGGGTTCATTGTGGCAACCAGATGAAAATCTGGATGAGCTTTTATGATGAGATCGGAGTGGTTCGATTCACCCTTTCCTATGAAGCCTTTCTCTGTGAGCAAAAGAAGCCTTTCAGGTTCAATTACTGAGTTTAATCTCTCTAAAACAGAATCGTCAGCAAGCGATATTTCGTCAATCAAAAACACTGAGCCTAATTGCATAGCTTTAACCAATGGTCCATCCACCCATTCAAATAAACGTTGATTAGTTTCATCATCGTCAGCATCCGAATGATGTCTAACTGGTCTCAAACTGCCGAGAAAATCAGAGCTCTCTGAGTGCATGTGACAATTAACACTGAACAAAGGTTTGTTTCTAAGAGAAGCAAATAATTGACATATCGTGGTTTTACCACAACCAGTCTCTCCAACCAAAAGCACAGGTTCATTGTATTTTAGAGCTTGGAATAAAAGGACAGCGAGTCTTTTTAAAGGTAAAGTCCAGAAAAGATGATGGAAATCATCAGGGACCATTCGACTAGAAAGGCTTTCTTGGAAAAGTTTTTCGAACACTTCTTCTGGGTTGAAATTTTGAATATTGAAAATTTTTCCCAAAACTTCATGTATAACTTGTTCTTCAATCTGATTTCGTGAGCGACCTGCCAATAACATGTAACCTTCATTAGCTAAATGCTGATCCCAGTTGTAAAATCGTTGAGAAGATGGAAAATCTTTACAGAATAAACGATATCTTTCACCCCAGCGGAATAAATCTCGAAGAGTTACACCACCGTGCTTACCAGCAAACGATAAGCTAACACTTTGATGAAGACGATTTCGCAATTGAGTTAGAGTCATAACCATTTTCTTTGCATATGAAGGTGGAAGTAAGCAACGTTTTTGCAAGATAATTTCTAGTTCATTTGAAGGTATTTCATCAAAATGAAGCTCAATAAATCGATTTCTAAAAGCTCGGGATAATATTTTACGACCACCGTAATGTCCAGGAGGATTTTGTGTAGCAAAAAGTAGGAAATTTTTGTTAGCTTTGATGAGTTCTTGAGTTTCAGGAATAAATAGTTCACGATTGTCATCTAAAACTCGGTTAAGTGCCTCCAAAACTTCAGTTGATGCAAGATTAAGCTCATCGAGTATTATCCAGTAACCGTTTTCCATCGCCTCTACTAAAACACCTTTTTTGAAAACTAATTTTCCTTCATCATCAGCGGTATAACTTCCAATGTACTCTTGTAAATCAGTGTGTTCATGATTGTTTACTCTTAAACAAACATTACCTGATCTTTTCGCCAGATAGTTGATCATACTTGTTTTACCAACCGAAGTTTCTCCTTGGATCAAAATAGGATAAGACCTTCCTAATGAAATAATACGAGAAACGTCACGCAAATTGCGGCTCACAGAGTCTGTGAGAATGTAAGTTTCATCAATTAATGGTTCATTTGGGCCTTTGGGAATCCAGTAGCCATCAATAAGAATATAATCACAATCCTTTGATTTCGGTTTTGCCAGCGTCATATTAGTAATTGATTCAATGTTTTTGCTTTTCAGGACATTTCTCAAGATCATATTCCTAACTAGTGAATAGGACTCAGCATTCAATTGAGTAAGGAATGCTAAACAGAATGCTTCATAAAGAATTCTGAGAGACGAAGATTCGTCCCAGGTCGAGGCAACGACTACTTGCAAAGCTCTGCAAAGTGTTCGAAGAGTAAAGATAGGACTTCCACCCACAGCATCTTTGAGTGACTTTTTAGCTTCATGTCTTACATTTAAATAAAACTTGACAATCCTTTCGACAAGATCTTTTTTACCTCCAAAAGCTTTTTTAAGATAAGTTGAAACAAGTTCGCGTAAATCAATTTCAGATTCAAGCTCTTCAACATAAAATTCTGTAAAACGATTTCTTATACCAAGAGGTAAATCTCGTTTACCGATATCAGTGGATGGATTCATACAGGCAAATAGTCGAAAATCTGGATGTTTTTTAACCGGTTCACCATCAGCTTTGTCTAAAAGAAGAACCTCATCCGATTCTAAGATGGATGATAAACATTGTAATGTTTCTGATTCAGCAAGATTGATTTCGTCCAAAAGAATCCAATCTCCTTGTCTCATAGCTCTGACAAGAGTTCCTTCTATATAAGTAAACACTAATGGCACTTCTTTAGAGCTGGATTTCAATTTGTTAATTCGATCACCAAATTTTCGCCAACGTTCCAATATATTAGCTCGTTCTTCCAAAGATCGATCTTTCAAAGTATTACTTCTACCCTCAAGAGCACGCTGTTGAATAATGAGTAGCACTTCTAAAAATTGATCCCAACGTTGTTGTCTGAATACAGACGAAACACCACGCAAAAATTTGGCATTAGTCTGTTGATTGAATGTTAAAGTAAAAAGTTGATCGAATTCATCACGAAGTTGTTTCATGAGAAAAGATATTTTGACTGGTTTATAGCCTCCAAGGAGATCACAAGTGTCACTCTGTTGATTCATATTTATCACAGTTAATTGGCGATTCAAAAGATTACAAAGATATTGAACAGTCGAAGTTTTACCAGTTCCCGTTTCACCAACTAGCAAGACAGGTTCATTATATGAAACTGAACATGAAATCTTTTCAAGTAAACACAGCGTTGAATTTGTTTTAGAAAAAGGAGTTCTATCTTCCAATGATAGTATTTTGTCAGATGCAGGCAAAACTGGCAAATTAGCTCGTCCAACTGTAACTAGATTGTTTTTAACAGAAATTTCAGGCTTGCGATTGAGTAAAATTTGCTCAGTAATTTTTGCTGCAATATTTAATTGAACTCCGACAGCTTGTGATTTAAGAGAGCGAGCACTTCTATTGGAGATGTTTTCAAGAAAACAATCATTTGCGTCCAGCAAACAAGCCTCTCGTTGTGCATCATTGAGAACTAATTGTTGGAAGTATAAAGATATTCTTTGGCACCATTTGAGGAAATCTCGTAATGAAGCTTTTCGGTTTGAAGATGAGATGGGATCAAAATTGTCCGTTGATGACACATCATCAACCACGATCTTGTAAATTTCACATATTCTAGTGATGTTTTGAATCAAGTTTGGCCATCGAACAGTAATAATTTGTTCAAGTTCCTCATGCGTAGGATTGGTGATAGAAATTTTCTCACACATTTTAATTAACATATCTTTATCGACGTTTGAAAAGGCTTCTGTGTGACCGTCAGTAATTCTTCGAGTAAAAAATAAACGAAATCTTGGATCAATGGTTGCATTGGATGCATAACAACCGGGTATAGCATTAAGGGATCGAGATTTAATAATAGATAACAGGATTGTTAGAACATCAGCAGAGGCACAATCGATATCTTCAAAAACAAGCCAATGGCCTTTGATCAAGGCCTCTGTTAATGGACCTGGTTTCCAAATAAATTCTCCAATCACATCAGTACAGCAATAGGTACCAACTAACAACTTTCCGTCAACTTGATTACCAATTTGTATTTTTGTCAATTCTGGTGGTTTACACCGTCCAGTGAGCTCACTAAGATGCTCAATAAGACTAGTTTTACCGCAACCAAGTGGACCTTCGAGAAGAACTGGACGATTTTCAGATAAAGCAACAGCTAATCTCATCAAGTTATCACGAACTGAAGGAATGATAACCATTTTTGATCCCTTCTCAGAACCATCAAGAGTTTCATTGAATTTAACCATGGGGATTCCATAAATATTCACAGAATTTCCAGCCATTAACTCATTGATTATTTTCTCAGTTTTGGTAGGAGATAAGCTTTGGTTTAAATTGTAGATGAACTGATAATCCAATCTAAATTTGCGAAGTTGTTCAGGAGAGAAATTGCCAGCTGTTTTCATCCAGTCAAAATATTCTTTATCAGATATATTACACAGAACCCGAATACATTGCATAGCAAGCCATTTGATTTCAGGTTTGTCATTATTCTCAACTAATTGCCATAACAGTCTCCAGTCCCAAGTAGACCTGTACCACGAAGGATCGGACGAAATAAAACAATAGGAGGCAAGAAGAGTTTCTCTCACTACACTAACTTTCTTGGCATCTTTAAAAGGAGAAAACCCTTTTTTAAATTTGAGAAAAGTTAATTCCTTTGCAAGTTGACTTTTACCAATTACTTGGCTCAGTTTACACCAAAACTTTCTTTCTTGTTCTTCCATTTTATCGGTCAGAAAAAAATTCAAGTTCAAATAAACAAACCAATTAACAGTTCACTGATTCCAAGCAACAGGATACAACCTCATAAACTAAATGTATATTTTTTTGAACAATTAACGTAATCTAGAAATAATTAATCAAAACTATTGAATATTAAATAGTAAATAACGTTTAACAAGTTTCACATAAAATATTGCAAATTAAATATTTCTTTCACCACGTTTAAACCATGTGACTTTTTTTACAAAACATCACATGTTTTTATGGCGCTCAGTTTGAAACAAGCAATTTAAAAAATCTTATCTTAATCAATCTTACAATTTTTAGTTTATTTGAGCATGAAGATTGTTATATTGATTTATTAATTTAAAATTTAAATTAATTTATCTTCAGAATTTTTTTGATATTCTGAGTTATATTAAATGTTGAGATACTTTTGGCTAGATGAACACGTTATTAATATTGAAGTTAGCTTATTTGTGATAGCTTAAGCCTTGAAAAATTTCAATTCAACAATGAGACCAACTGCGTGGACAAGTATTTGGCTACTGGTAAAAGTGTTTCCAATCCAATCATTCCCGATACTTCCAAAGAGTTTGAACATTTAGATCCTTCGTGGTCAAATTCATTGGCTGGACAAACTCGATTCGGGGCCTCACCAAATATTTTTTCGGTGAAATAAATCATTGCGTTTTTACCACTTTCCTCGCATTTTTGAGTTACTTTACTGTTAACAGATGATCAAAAGTAAGTTAAATCTTTAATTTCTAATTTAAAATACTTACTTGAATAAGCAGCTTTGCCATTTATTATATGCACAACAGGCAACTTCCAAATGGTGATCAATTGTTTTTACTGTGAAAGTCCGGCCAATGGAAGTCAAAAACGGGAAATAGCAATCTTGTTTGTAATTAACAGTGTTCAATACTTCATCGATAATACAAGGAGCATGTTTGGAGAACTCTAAATAAAGATAATATTCAAAAAATAGAATTATCGAGTGGTCAGAGCAAGATGTTATCTAGCAGCATTACCATCACGTAATTTTCCTGGTTCACAAAATTTTTTGAAAGTTTTTGATAGCTCTTTGATTATATTCTTTGCTAATTCTCTGTGAAATGGAGTTCCGCATTGGTTTACACTATCCGTCAAGCAGTTGAATGTTGATTGTGTAGTGCTGAAATAAATGGATAGTTCATTGTTTTAAATAATAGAGGCTCATAATTAAGGTTACTTACTTGCAAAGGTCATCCAATCCTTCCTTTTCACTTAAAACTCCAACTGAATACCTACGATTAGAGTATTTTTCAAATCTCTTGAAACACTTTTCAATCATCTTAAAATGACAAGGTTGCTGGTTTTTTTCAATTTGACGTTGATTAAACATCCAACTGGATTGTTGGACAAAATTTTGTTGGGATTCAGTAGAATAAGACAAAAAAGAAATGAATAATATCAAGCCGAACATTGTATAAACTTTGAAGAAATCGACTCTCAATCAATTATAGCTGTTAACCTTAAATGAGTAAAATAGATTTGAAAAGTGTCCACTTTGATTCTCAATTCATTGAAATCTGATTATTTGATCTAATGAAATGGTTGAACGATTAGGAATTAAGAACCAACCATAATTAATAAAAAGTTATGCTTCAATAACGTTTTACTAATAATAAATAAATGTTGGTGGACTGTTTTCTCATCATAAAAAACTTGAACCAATCAATTGTAACAAAATGTTGAAATACAATAAATAGTTTTTATTCAATTTAATAGCTGATTATTAAATTTTGTTTGTGCGCTTCAATTTGAGAAACAATTGAATTTTTAAAGTAATAAAAATTTTATTAGCACAGGAACAGGAAAATGTAAATATGCGATTAAATCGACTTTTATAACATCTTTTATGGTTTGTCTATGTGAATCCTTCTGAAGTGTCTTTAAATTTGTTTATTAAAACGATTATTTGTTGACTAATCTATTTACAGAATCCATTAATATTTATCAAGGAACCACTTTTACAACCTTAGACTTTTGATGGAAAGCAAAGGTAACACCACTATCCCAAGCACATTTCAACATTTGATCCGGAATACCTTTTTTATCGAAGCAATGATGCCAATCTTTTAAGTCACCATTACAGTCAGCATCTTCAGGAGGTGTCTTTACTTGAACACCATTTACACACCTTTTACAATTAAGTTTAGAGTGGGTATGACTGGGATGACCTTTTTCTAATTTGAATAGTTCTTTAAGTTCTGATAAACTGAAATGGCGTGCGACATCTTCCTCATTATCCACAACACAACTGCTTAAAGCTTTTTTATGAGTTTGACGTTGGAATATTTTTTCTTCAATACTACCAGTACACAGTAATCGATAGATAAAACATGTTTTACGCTGTCCATCTCTCCAAACTCTAGCCATGGCTTGACCATCATTAGCTGGATTCCAATCGGGATCAAACATAACAAGTCGATTGGCACCAATTAAATTCAATCCACAACCACCAGCTTTACTACTTAACATGAAGATAAATTCAGACCCATTAGGATCATTGAATCTTTCTACCACTTTGGCTCGTTTTTTAATCGTCATAGTACCATCTAGACGAACATATTGATAGCCTCGATGACGGCAAAGTTTTTCAAAAAGATCCAAGGTTTGCGTGTAATTGGAAACTAGAACAACCTTATCGTCTGTTGTAGTTTTGATTAGAGCTAACAAGTGATCAACCACTCTAAGTTTACCAGACAATTCAACTCTAACATTGCGAGAAGAAGCAGCAGATAATTCTTCAGGGAAATACTTTCGTAGGCTAGAGAAACCGGGATCACTATTAATAGATTCGAGTATAAGTTCAGGATGATTACACAGTTTCTTAAGGAAAGTGATAGCTTTGAGAGAGGAGTTCGCTCCATTTTTGCTTTCCATGTTCGTAATATTAGACACAGCTTTAGATTCAATAAATTTGGTATACAAGTTTTCTTGAAGCGGTGACAAGCCACAACAGACGACAAGTTCAACTTTTGATGGTAAGTACTTGGAGAGTAAGTCAGAAGTACGTCGAATCATACATTTTTGAACGATTGAAATTAACTCTTCTAATCGCTCTTTACCCAATTGATGATCTCTATCTGATGCAGCAGCATCTCTACCACGGAGAATTGGATTTTCATACTTTTTCTTAAAATCTTGAGCTGTACCAAGGATACCGCTGTTGACAAAATGAACTAAACTGAAGTATTCCAGCAGATCATTCTGAATCGGTGTACCAGACAAAAGAACTCTTCTCTTGGCATTAAGTTGATTTAGCGCTGTATATGTTTGATTTTCCATGTTCTTTAAACGATGTCCTTCATCACAAAGAATGAGACCAACTTCTCCGAGGTAAAGAACATTAGTATGCAGACGGAAAGTCTCATAGGAAATTATTAACACAGGAATAACACATCTTCTGCCACTAGAGTTTATAAAGGTTCTCAAATTTCTATCTATGTCGTCTTTTGAGCCATTGTCCACAGCATATGCGGTGAGACGACCCTGAAGCCATTTGTTGATTTCATTGTACCAATTTCGTACTAAACTGCTAGGACAAACTATCATAGCATTTTTAATAATAGGATCACCTTTTGGTCCTTGTCGTAAAAGGGTCCACATCAATGTAATGCACTGCAAAGTTTTACCAAGACCCATTTCATCAGCCATGATACACCCGTAACTTCCTTCGATTTGTTTTCCAGTGACACAGTCAAACATAAATTTAACTCCCTCACGTTGATGTGGCCTGTAAAAATTAAAAAAGTTAGTAAACGAGCTATAAATTTATCAAATTGAGAAACTTACCTTAAAATCCTTCCAAGAACCGGGTCAACAACAACATGTACCTCAATATCATCGGGCTTAAGAGATAGTTTATCATGTTCAGAATATTCTGGTGGTTCATATAATATCAATGCATTATCAGCAAAAGGATCGTGTAGTGGACGTTTTACGCCACTTCGTCTAATACCAAGAGATTTATAAAAAGAGCTGCCAGTGTATCCTTTGATAGGTACTTTGAAAGGCTGAGCTAATATTTGAGCGATTAGATCTTCATGTAACAAATTTTCTTTGCCTGGATCATCGTGATCTTTATCAACACGTCCTCTACTATTACGTTTACTGGGACGCTCATCGAAATCGTCATCTAAACCACTGCGACGTTTGATAACTTGACTCGGAGCCGTTTTCCTTTGCATTGCTGTTACTATCTTCTGACAAAGGAAAACCAATCAATAACTGAAAATTCACGATTCACATTTGGAAAGAATGAAAGATCACAAATTTAAAAAGACACACATGCACATCAAATAAATAAACTTGACGAATAAATTAATAAAAACAATGGAAGAAAATTGGCAATTAAGTTAAGAGTTTAACACAAGCTGTTTACCGCCAAAACAGTTGTCAGGTGAGAGGATTAGCAACATTGCTATGATGAAATGTTTTAGGAGTAAATTTTCAAAATTGCCGCTTATTTCTTTGAACTCTTCCTATCACCTTGGTTTCAGGAAGTAGATGTCGTGTTATATCTAGTTACTTTTTGGTCTTTTAGTAAATTGGTCTTTCAATTGTGAATTGATTTGCTTCAGATTTAATTGTGTTTCTTGTGTTTTCTTATTTAATTTAAGAATTTCCTATTGAATCAACATGGGTCACGCTAACATTTGGTGGTCTCACCCTCGAAAATTCGGACCAGGATCAAGATGCTGCCGGGTCTGCTCCAACCATCATGGTCTCATCCGTAAATATGGATTAAATCTTTGCCGTAGATGTTTCCGTCAATACGCTAATCAAATTGGATTCAAAAAGCTGGACTAAACATTTTTCTCTTAATAGAATGTTCAAGTTTTGTAAAATTATAAGCGGTTAGCTCAAAATTAAAAGCTATTATACCGTAACTAAATGTCTCTTTCTTGGGTTTCTCAACCTTACATCTACGTACCGGCAGATAATTTCTTGCTGATTTGCAAACTCTATCTTGAAATTAGCTTTATAATGGAATTTCATGAATATCAATAAGCTGATAGCTTCGGTATAGTTCTTTTCAGTAAGAGTATATAAATCGTGTATTCAAAGCTCTTGCCTGGGCTTTGCAAACCCTTAGTAATTCAATCAGACAGTCTTCACTATGAGCTATATTTTTACGTGTATCTTCCTTATTCGCGTTAATCAAATTCTTAGTTACATTTAGTTTGATTCATGATTCATGATATATCTCTCTCAGTTGCGAAAGTTTTGAAAAATACACAGCGGCCTAAATGTTCCATACTTTTTTTACTAAATTGCTAATTTACATTGTGTTTACATTGAATAGATACAAAGGTTCAATTGTTAGCTTAATTTTTATTCAATATTCATATCCCTCAAAGATTGTCAACGTTTGTGCGGCTTTACTACCAAATGATTGAGTGTTTTCTAGAATTGCATGCAAGTCATGATATACAACGAACACATTTAAAGTTAGAGTTAAAAAGAAGTGATTGGAAATTCAAAAGAAAGGATTCGTAGTTAGTGTTTGTTTTGGGTCTTTTAATTTAGTCATTCATCAACTGACAAATACAAAAAATCATGAGTTCAATGAATTATTCGTAAATATCCAGTTGATTTAGGAGCCAGGTCTTCCTGGTTACCATGAATTTTTCGATAGATCATATAAACAAATAAGGAGCCATATCAATTTAAAACTTCTGGAACTGTTTCCTTGCACCAGGAGCCTTTGCCACCTTCAAAACATTGAATTTAACTGTTTTTGCTAATGGACGACATTCACCAACAGTAACAATGTCTCCTAATGCAACATCTCTGTAAATAAATAAACAAGAATATTAGTAATCTGAGAAAAGTTAAGGCAATGTTTCAACAAGAAAACAATAATCAGATAACTTTAGTAGGTCTCAACACAACGTTTCAGAAGACCGTCGTGAATAAGTTTTCATCATGCAAGTCTTCTGTACGAGAGCAAAGTAATGGATAAATTTACCTGAAGCATGGTGAAAGGTGAACTGACATATTCTTATGACGCTTCTCGAAACGATTGTACTTCTTCACATAATGAAGATAATCTCTTCTAATTACGATGGTCCTTTGCATCTTCATTTTAATTACCACACCTCGTAAAATTCTACCTCTGATAGCAACATCGCCGGTGAATGGACATTTCTTGTCAATATAAGTTCCTTCTTTAGCCTACAGAGTTAAAAATAAATGGAAAAACGCGTCATTACAAAAGAGTTCAACACGAGGAATTCATATTACTCAAAGTTAACTTACCTCTCTTGGAGCTTTGAATCCTAAACCAACTTCTCGGATGTAGCGAAGAGTTTGCTTTTTACTCTTTTGCTTGCTGGTTCCAGGCTTTCGGTTTAAGAAGATGGTAGGTTGTTTCTGAAACGATCGCTCGGTCTAAACAAAAAAACACAAGAAAAGGACATTATAAACGATTGTCTAGAAATTAAATCATAATTAATTACTAACCTGATCAGCCATGATTATAATTTAATCACAAAACCTATTAAAATATAAGCTATTGGAGGTTAGATGAAAATTCACAATATGCAAGTTTAAGGAGGAAACGGAACAAGTCCGTAAGTTAAAGAGACATCTGGTGGTGACAAGTAGAACCAAAGTAAGAAGCGCGAGTTTAGTAATGAAATGTCTTTTTCTAATGCTTAATAAGCAGTGCTTATAGAGTTGTCAACACCTGATTGATTGTAACACATTTTGTTTTCATCGTTCTTTTGATCCAACATGACTCAAATCGGTTCTTCTAAAAGTCCATTGGAATATTTAACTGATGTAGTCGAGTATCGTTGTGATCATAAAAAACCAGACTATGAAAATGTCGAGCTGATTCGTAAAAATATTTCATTGGTGAAACAGCAATTAATCAATTCAAATTTATCAGTAATTGAACGTGAAAAGTTAATTGTCATCTTATTGGGCCTGCTTTACCATCCGTTTTTGAAACTTGATTTGAGACCAATTAAACAACATGTAGATCTATCTGATGAAGAATCTATACTTGAAGGTGAAGATGATGATTTCGAATCTAATGTCAACCTACTGACTGTCCACTCTATCATCCAGATGATTGCTGGCTTGAACAAAAACTTATATACTCTGATCGATTCTATCCCTTCATTGATGAAAACCCGAGAGAGGATGTTTCTGGAGATGGATTTATCTTACAAAACTATGCTATATTCAATTAGTGTCATCTCATATGTTGGTTATGGATTGGAGAAAACGATTCCTGATAATTGTCATTTTTACCCGAACGTTTTTTCAGGTCAATATATTCTTATTCGTCATCTTCCGATCCTACATCTTCTCTTGTCCCGGAAAGATGATTATGCAAATGAAAAAGGACTTGTTTTGAGCAGTAAATTATTCAAGAGGATAAATCCTGGGTCATTGGATGTGGCTGTTCTTGACTTACTCGGTGCATCACCAATTGATAGTGCATTGATGAAAATAATGAAATACAGCTGTGATCGAAATGCAAGGTCAAATGCATTTGAAGCATTCAAATTATTGATTAACTGTTTCAAATTACCTGCCCGGTGTCAATTTCTACTTAAGATTCTTGCCAATCCTGCTCAAGAACAAGGAGCTCAAAGATTGGTTTTGACAATTTATAAAGATCTTTTTGTTTACGAAAAAGATTGGAAACCATTAATTGGCAACACTATGCTTCAAATCATTCGTAAATCCTTTGAATTAAGCTTACCAAATGGTGTAAACACTGATCTGGCAGAGAATTATGATTCAATATGCACTATTCTTAATTTTATAAGATATCTTTTATTGAGAGATAAATATGATCGCAACGAGACCAAGATATGGAACATAATTGATTCACTGAGAAAAGACAGCATTGATTTAATTTGGCAAGCAGTACAAATCTCAAGAGACATTTATAAGGCAAGGTTACATGAGCTGGAGCAACCAGAGTCCCGAAGTAAAGAGGATCGAAACTGTAATGATGTTTTCAAAGTTGAAATTTTTAATGATGATGAAACGGAGGTAACTCCACAGCTTACAGAAGAACAGGAAAAAGAATCTCTGACGTGTGGACTGATCAATTTTGAATTGCTTGAAAGTCTTATCCGACGAATTGATGATATTATTGCTGAAGCAAGGTAGAGTTGTCAAATCACTTCAATGTAAGTTAACTTTGGATCGGATCCTTTTGTGGCAGATTTTCAATTAATGTCGGAGATTTCCCCTTCTTCACATAGTACTGTTCAAATCTCATACCAAAAATTTTTATCAACTCCGGGATTATTTCGATGAATTTAAACTGGCACTTAAATTTTGCATACACCGATGAGGTGTAAAAGATTCATCCTTATCGAATGGAGCATTTTGTTAAAGAGATCTAAAAAATGTTTAGCTATTTTCTTATGTTTATAAAAAAATGTTAATAAAAAGTTGTATCCTCTGTTTCCACAAATTTGAAAAAAATTCACATTATGAATGAAAAACAAATCTCTTCAAGATTCAATTCATTTCAATTATTAAGCTACAATTGATTTCCTCTCCAACAAATGAATCCTCAGGTTGTTCAAATATGTTTATTGATAGTGGCTTTGATCCAAAAAATATCTTATACTAGGAGTTAGTGGCAGTTTAGGCAAGTTGCAAAGTCTCAATACAAATCGACACAAAAATTGTAAAGATGGGACAGAATGAAACCTCGATACTGGTTTAATAAGTCGAACGGGTACTTTCTGATTATTTGGAGATCGAGCGCAAGAATAACAAAATATACCCGCTTTGGATTTTTTCATTGACTCTTCAATAAGAGTGATAACACTAGGATATGCTGCTGGCAGTGATGGTTGCGAGGTGAAACTAAATAACCCATTGTTATGTTCCACTCGAGTGTGATATGTTCGACCATTGGATCGGAAACTTAAGCTCAGAAGGTGGTGATCATCAGAAGAGTCTCTCACCAAAAAAGAACCATCCCCAGCATTAGATAACCTGTAATCGGCTTCACTGCGACTAATTGGTCCCCAATACCAACCACATTTAGCCAACCTGACCAGTTCATAACCAAAATCTGATTTAAATCTGTAGAGATTCTCTTTCAACAAGAAACTTGAATTACTTGAGATCGGTGGAGGTGGAGGAGATACTTCAGGTGGTGGAGTTTCATAATTATATTTAAATGGAGGTCTTTTAATTGGACTTGATGAAACACTATCAACAACATCGCCATCTTGAGAGTCACCTTCATCTGCGTACGGAATCTCTAAATCAATGTCCTGAAAGAAAAAGCAAAAATATAAATTAAAATCCTGTTACAGTAAGGTACCAGATAATGAGAATGCGTTGAAATAGCTTATTTACACTATTCGCCGGGCAACTTATTTTCTTGATTATCAACTTTCTTTAACTAATCAAATTCAAGATTAATTGATTTTTAAACTGATTTCTCGAGTTTCTTCATTGATATTTGGCGAAAGAAAATTAGATTCAGTTAATTAACAATCAAAGAAATTTAAAGGAAATTTAAATTTGATTCAACTCTTCCATCTGCGTACGGTATCTCTAAATCAATGTCCTGAAAGGAAAAGCAAAAATATAAATTAAAATCCTATTATTTTCAAAACCACCTATTCTTGAAAACATTTACTTACAGGATTAAAATCAAGAAGATTTTCGGGTATCTTGGTAATTGATTTATCATTGAATTCGTCGCTTTTTGACGAGCTTTGATCCATAAACAATTTTGAGGTAACAACTTGAGGGTCAATGTCTGGCTCGGTGTGCTTCTTTCTCTTTCTACCATCAATTTTACGGCGAAATGAGCGAAACAATGAATTGATTGGTCGATTTATTGTAAAATTTGGACCTTGACTATAAAATTTATTCTCATCCATGTTATCAATATCAATCGTTGAATTATGTTGAAATTCATTGACAATTTTTTCTTTCTCTTCATCGCCTCCATCAATAGTATCCGATTTGCGATTTTTCTTGCCCATCAACGCTCTCTTCAATCTTGAAATGGACTTGAATCGGGCCATGGTATCAATAAACAAAATATGGCAAATGTTCAATAGTGTATTTCAAGCTGAACACGGATATTAAGAAAAAAAGAGTCACATCAAAATGTCAACACATGTATAATGGATTCAAATTATTTTATGAATCATTGTATTACACTTTACTCACAATTATCTGAGATCATTCCAATAAGCTAAAGATTGAAAAAATTATTTACAATAAGAACACAAAAAATATGTTAACGATGATGACAGACGAAGAGAGTAAGGCAAACTTTATCGGTAACTCTCAAAAAAGTTTCACAAGTGCTAACATATTCACGTTAGTCAACAATTTTTCACTTAAAGTCAGTCGAATCACTTATCTCGAAAACTGAAAGTAATTTGAAATTAATACCGGGATCAGAGAAACCAAAAATAAATTACAGTTGGGCAGATGTAAGCCAAAGAGTATTATTTTTGGTAAACTGGCAAGGTTAATGTCAAGTCAAAAACCGAGATGAATCAATCCATAGAAAGCACTGACAAATGTCAAATTCACTCAGTTACCTTTAGATTATAATACACCTTTCTAATGGCAATATGATAAAATGTTATTAAACACGGTAAAGATGAATTCTAGGAACAAAAATCAAAGATTTAAGTTGAACGGAAAAGCAGCTTCAACACAATACCCAAAGGTCAACTTGAGTCTCATCCTTGTAAGATAGGTTTACTACTTATGCAAAGGGATAACCTTTTTGTAGTAACCTGATGACTGAGAGTTTGACCAGCTTCTCTAGAAAACATTAGTTTGGGTTAACAATTTGTGTGTCCAATTATTGTCGTGAAATTTTCTCAATCAAATTTAATTTCCGTTATGAATATGAATAGGTTGTCACTTGTATTTTTTCAACTTTATACTCCGGGTGTGTCTTTGTGTGTGTATGTGTATAAAAAGTTGTTTCGGATCTTTTGTTATTATTCAACACCACACTTTTTGATTAACACTGATTATACACTTTTTAATTTACACAATTCACATGAATGTACATTAATGGGGTCCCAGCAATAATTATCAAATAAATTTAACTCAAATATTGATCCAGAATGTCACAATTAGATTAAGAATATAACTTTAAAAGATGAACATGTGTGAAACTTTCAAAGAAAGCTACAACTGTACAGAGGAAGAAAGAGCCAGAGAAAGGCAGAGACATAAGACGGACCAGGGAAGAGACCTTACGTTAGAGGAGTAAGAGGAAGAGAAGGGCAAAGAAGATGAGAAGATGTGAAGAAGATAAAGATAGAAAAGAAAAAGGAAAGCGTAGGTTTTTGAATGAAAATTAGTAGTGGTAAAAATACAAGAGGCTTAGGACCACCAGAGCTTTAACTAAACCTTAAAAATATGTCTTTCTAGTAATTTGACTATTCCTGTCTAATTCATACAATTCATTGTAAATACTCGATCGACAAATCTGAACCAAGAATCGACAACCAAGGGATTGACTGTTAATTGTTCAGGATCAAGTTGTCAAAATCAAAATATGATAGCAATGAAATTGTAGCTGCTTTATAACATTACATTCAATTGGTATCAATTGCAAGGTTAGACAACGTTGTTTTTGTTTTACCTTCAAATTTTAGACCTTAAAGTGATCCAATGAATGAAATTAGAGCGATTTTTGATCAGTAACTTTAATTAAATTTACAGTAATGATCTTAATTTTCTTGATTTCTGTAAATCCTGTAAATCCTTTAGCAATAAATCCTACACAGTGAATGATGGTTACTCGGCTATTGAAGCAACTTAAAAAAAATCATTTTTAACGGATAATAGTTATAATCGTTCGTCTATCTAGATTGATTGATTCAAAATTTCAATCAGAAAGCTTTTTAAGGATTTATCTTTTAGGCTTGAATTCAATTTAATATCAGCTAGTGATCTTTCAATGCCTAGTAATTTGAGTTGCTTCAACCAATTGGATTGAAAATGATTGTAGCCAGTATTCAAAGTTACTTTCTATCATGAAAATTTTCAATAACATTATGACTACAATATCTGATGAGATGTTATTAAATCAACCAGCAAATATATTGCAATGTAAATTGAAAATTGAAAATCACAATATGTAAATCAAAATTTGCGCCACAGCAAAATTTCAATTCTTCTCTCTTCGTATTTGCTGTTGCTTGATTTTTTGTTTTTTAATGTGAATCTTTGGCTGTTTTTTGTTTCATTTCATCTTCCTTTTTTTCAAACACACTCAAAGGTTGAATAAACAAAGACAACGTTATCCACTGGGAGAGGCCAAGGAAGGATATTAATGATTGTAAACTGTCATTTCTAATCATCTTTCCTCGGGCAAACCGGAATCAACTTATCAACGCAGTTGACAAGATTTGGACTTGCCTAATTATCATCAACATCAGGGGACCATCATAATTTTCCTATTCCATGTCTAACTTTTCAAGTCCATCAAGTTTTACCACATTTTAATTGGATTAAGTTTACGTTAATCACAATCACTTAATTCAGAAAGGTAAATATCAACTTTCTTTTCAATCTTTTTCTCTGACCTTTTTTTTGCTATATACCTTTACCACAAGGCGCGACATATCATCTGGATCCTAGTATTGTATGAGTATAATAAATAAACGGATAAATTAATAGATTAGAAAATTGAATTTTAACAATATTCTCTTGAGTTTCAGTTCTGCCTTTTCATAATTCCTCATAATCTTATTATTCTTAGCAAAAAAAGATGTTATTTGGAGCTTAAAGATTGATTTGACTAGGCAGAGGAAGAGTTTGTAAGAAGCAAATTATCATGAATAAGATCTCAATTTGGTGTTTCTTTTTTTCCTCTAATAGATTATTCAAGATGATGGTGATCACCATTTTGAAGGATTGCAAATTAAATTAAATTACATCAAGATTGTTGAACTTGGTAAGCAATGATTGAAGAACCAGAGGATTCTAATTCTATGTTATTTAACAAACATAACAATAAAAGGAGAGAAATGGTAAACCATAAAAGGCAATAGAAGAGGATAGCCCACTATGTGTCCAAATTGTGTGGGTTTTCATTGGAACCATTAAACTCATAGTTAGGTTAACATGAACAATAACAACAATAATAATAATAATTATTATCCCCACCGTTTCTATCTGAACCTGTGAAAGTTGATCAACAAAAGGGTGTTGTGTTCAGAAAGTGTTCAGACTTGTTGATAAGTTATAAATCACATTAGACCAGTTTTAATCATCACTTATTATCGATCAACCTGCTACATTCAAAGATGACTTGTTATCATGATTAGTGAGAGTTTTGAAGCTTGGTCTAAACAGCGGCTAATATTTTTCAATGAAGAATCAACATTACCTTTTGACTTTCTCTATCCACCCAAACAAAATTTTACCTGATAATCATCATCAACTTCATCTTCATTTTTATCATCACCTTTAGTTTAACCTTTATAACAGTTTGTTATCAAGTGCATCAAAATTATATAGCCTATTATATCAAGTCAACCTAAAGTCAACTTGAATTACAATTACCTTGCTGTTAACTTTATCTAGATAAACTTCAACTTCTAGACTCAAGGCGTAATTCAACGCTTAAAGAGTCCAAAGACGCAAAGGTGATTATTTATTGTTGCTGCTTAAAATGAAGTCAAAATATCATTAAAAATATATCATTTTCAACGACAATTTAAACTATTTTTCTTATCTCTATTTCAGATTTTAAAGCTTACACCTTGAATGGAGGAAACAGAGATTGGCTACACAATGATATAAATAAATGGCTGAACTGAATTACGGGACTTAACATGATAAACTGAATAGCAATCAACTCAGGATGAGACAAGTTGAGTGTATTGCAACTAAATCAGCCAATCATCATAATACTCATCAATTATGCCAGTAAAGTTCAAGATGATTACAAATTGACGAGAAGCTGTTTATTTTTCAACAATGATTGTTGTCGTTTCTCCAATTTATGCTGTCCATTCAATTTAAAGCAATTTCCACTTTCAATTTGATGGTCAAGACTTTCATTTAATTTAAAGCTAATATCAGGGTTGCTTTATGGAATGAGAAAAATTACTTGAAATATTCATTTGTTTTGTCCAAAATAATATTTGATTTTTCAAGAAAATGGCCCAACAATAATAACCAGAATCAACCCTCGCAAAAGCACAATAAACTATCCGGAAGAAGGAACGATAATTAACAATTTATTGACTAAACAAATCAAATTGTTTAATAATATTGTTCCTACGATTATCAATGATTATTACTTAACATCTCGATACCTTCAGTTGTTGGCCAATTTACCGCTAAATCATTGTTATAAGCTGATTCTTAACCCATTTACTCAAATTGATACAATCAAATTAGATAATCTGGGTTTAATCATTATATCGAATCACAATGATTATAGTGTGATAAATTTTGTCTAGTTAATCTGCTAATTGGGATCATTTTTCATTGAATCGCAGAAAGATTTCAGTTTGTATTTAAGCTTGTTTTATGATGTAAGCTTTGTGTCCATTGGTAATATTGAACTCAAATGAAACTGACCATTTAATCAATCAAATGAAATCTGTATTGAAAAGTATTGAATTGCCATCTGTTTAGCATTAAATTTCAATGTATTTAAAGTGAAAGATTAAAATGTTGTCTCAATCTGGGCTTGAGTCAAGAATAATGTTAACAATGATTATTGCTGTCAGTCAAATAAAAAGTTATTATTGCTAATTAGAAACAACAGGAACATAACAATTTACTGTAATTGTAAGCAATTTATTGATTAGTCTGTCAACTGAATTTTGTTATTTACCCCAAACTATTAGCTATTATGTTTGATGAAGATGATGCTAAACAATTGTAAACTGTTCAACCAGTTTTCATCTTGCTTTCTCGCTCTCTCATTCAATCTTTTATTGTAGTTTAACTTGTTTACTTGTTTTTCGCTTATTATTTATTAATTGTATGTCATCAATAAATTTAAATCTGGTTATCTGTTTCCGGAAAAATTGAACTTTGGGTTTACTAGTTGATAAAAATAAATCTCCTTAAAAATGGACACCATTTGAATGGGAAAACAAATACACTTTCACTATTAGGTGAGAAGCATCACTATTTGCTCATTATTAGTGCCCATCTTTTTTATTTGATATTATTGTTAATACAATTATAATCATTCCTGAGTCATTAATCTATCACAATTAATGAAGCCAGTTGTAAGTTATAGATATATAAATATAGATAATTCAATAGATAAGTATATTAATATAATAATTAGATGATGATGGGCTTGAGGTGAAAACATCAACAAAAGAAGTAAATCTTGACCAGTCCAATTATACACTGTTGATTGATTTATATTAGAGTAGACATAAAAACTGATCAATATTGACAACTTGAAAACTAATATATTTCAGTGTTTAATTATAATTGTTTTTAAATGAAAAGTAAACCATTAAACTTGATAGTTAACACAGATGTTGATTAATTTGTTGTCAAAAATTTACGCTGTGAGAATAAGATGCAAAAGTTAGGTTAAAATAGCCTACAGAACGGTTATGTTTTGTTAGTGAAAATAACTTAAAACCTAATCAACTTATTACATTTGTATGATAATTGATCAATTATTTCATAGATAACAATTCATCTTGTAAACTAACTGTTATTATAAATGTATTTAATTATGCTTTGTGAGGAAACAGATATGTTTTGTATCAATGTGAGTTTGGTAGCTTCGTTTAAAAAAGGCCGAGAAGCTGATGATCTTTATTTCATCGATACAAAGGAAATCCTTACAACTTCAAATGATTAAGACGATGGCAAATGAACATGTTTATGTAAGTATCAACTAATTATCAGCTCTGGTACTAATTGTGTTTTTAAATTTGTTTTTGAACAGATGAACCCAAAAACCAACTTCAGCCATCTTATTCAATTGATGTTTACCTTTGAATGTGTGGTAAAAGGCAAAGGAAATGGTTGAAAATCTGATTCAACAATTGTGCCTAGAGATTGTATCGATTGACATCACAAACAGCTGTCCTAATATCATTTTCATTTCGTGACTCATTTCCACCAATTCCACCTAATAGAGATTATCCTTGGACACTTTTACTTTTACCATTTTGAATGTTATTTCCATCTTTAATCTTTATCTCAACCAAATCGACGGCTTTGCATTGTCAATCTTAAATGTTGTCCATAATAAGGCCAAATATCAACAAAATGGCCTGTTAATAGACAGCCTCAAACAAAGTAATAACCATTTATTCAAATAACGGCTCTATTTGGTTAGGTAATATACGCCGAAAATGATGATTTAGCTAACTTATAACATGCTGAAATGTACTTGATTAATAAATAAAGGGAGAAAAATGGTGAACTTTCACCCGATTTAGCTAGTTGATTGTAAATAAAATTTTCAATAATAATCTTATTTTACACTTGATAGAAAATATCAATTTGTTATCAATTTTACATCAACTAAAAAGGATGGAAAGGGTGACTTGTTATGTTATTATTTTGTTTCGTTTATTATAAATATTATCACAACAATCAACTTATTGCTGGTTCCAGTTGCTGTTGTTCATGTTTGACGTTGTTTTTTTGTTATTTATTATTGTCTTTACGATGTACAAGTTAATCGAGGTCAATCATCAACAAAAGGAATTTTACTTTCTAATATATTAATAATAATATTTTTGTTGCTATCAATTGATATTACTCAGCATGATCTGTCCAGTTTCCATCATCATCTTCATCCTCATCCTCATCATCGCTTATTAATCATAAGATGATTGGTAGATACTTTTTTCTCATTTTAAACAATAGATAATAATTGAGGTGGATTAACAATGATAATAAGGTGAGGATAAATTGAAGTGAAATTGTTGGTCAACAAATGTAATTACAGATAATTGCATTAACATTGATACAGGTAACAAATTATGTTGATGTTTCCATAATTATAACAAATCATTAGAGCGACCAAAATTTGACAATCAAATGACTTATGGAGTGAATCAACAATCATGGAAACAGTTGTATTCCAATGATTTCCAGTCCCAACTGATTTACAAAAATATCCATTGAAGGAAAAGATTAGCTGGAAACCTTGATTACAATTAGATATAAGATTATAAGGAATCACAATCCTGTCCATCTTTCTGGTTTTCCTCTCAAAACCGTCCACAATTTGATAGCCAATACATCCTGCTTTTATGGTCCTTTAGGTGAAATGTTTTATTATTCACAGTGGTTCGATGATGAGCTGATTTCCGATTCCAAGTCTTCCTGCTATCTTTAAATTACAATCAAAATTGAAGTCCATTTCTTTCCGGTATAAACTGTAGGGTTAACAGCAATGAAGAAGATGTAATCATTGTAAAAGTCAACAGGAATGATGTTAATAATAATGACCAAGATATGAAAAAGATATGGATGGATTGACAGAAGAAAGAGAAAGTAAATAATAAGAAGATTGGTATGGATGATGATGATGATAACTTTTGAGCCAGAAATTACTGTAAATGATAATAGCTTAGGAAAGCGGCAAGATTTTGACTTTTGAAGCCTATTTAAAAAGATGATGCAACAATCATCATCATCCTCTCGACCCTTTTTCAAATTTCGTCTATCATCGTTTCTCCCTCTTGAGCCAATCTCCAATCCTTCATCATCATCTTCACCATCATTGCTTTTTCACAAATATTTATCTCCTAAAAGGTAGGCCAAAAAGAAAAAAGAGAGTGAAAAAATAATAAGAATTAGTTAAATAGTTAAACCTGAATATTTAATATATTATATTGAATTTATACCTATTTTTTGATGATCGAAGATCGGTTATAACAGTCTAATCTCCTCCTTTTGGTTCCATCTTTTACACCTTCTTCCTCTTTTCACTTAACTCGAGCCTACATCAACCTCTAGCGTGGTCATCATAATCATCCTTAAATCCTTTTACCTTTTACGTCTTTTGTCTCTCCTTAACCTCCCCTTATCAAATCAATGAGAATGACCAACATCAGGTAAAAAGGACTGATCCGATCAGTCTGAAAGCTTTGTATCATCAACTGTCCTCGAGTCAACTTGATCATCAATTTTGTACTTTTACTTTTGTTTCCATCTTGTGTTTCATACCAGCGATTGAAAAAAACACGGATTGTGATTCCAAAGCCTTTCTTCATCGTACAAACATCTTCGAAGTTCATTTGACTGTGAATATTTTGGAGCCTTTAAGTTTTACATCAATTTCATTACCAATCTCGTAGTTATCTTTCGGATCAACTTTTAACCAATCTTCATCATGAGTCCAAAAAGTGGTATATTCTCTATGAGGCTTTGTCTTCTTCTTGTGCTTGTTTCCTTTCTAATTGTTCAAAATGCTGATCAATCTTTTGGAATGAAAAAGAAAATGATTAAGAAATTGAAAAAAGTTCTTCCACTTTTACTTGCAATCAAGCCAAAAAAGAAGCTCCTCATTTTACCTTTACCATTCCCGTAAGTAAATTTTCATCAATAATCAACCTATCCTGATCCATCGATCTAACTAATTTCTTCTTAAATTGATTACAATTTTATGATTTGGGGAATACCAATAATCTAAATTGAAATTATTCAAGAATAGCTTGAGCAAGAATAGATTTAGCAGCCAGCAAACTTGTTAAATAATCTGATGAATTACACTTATCTGTGAAAAAATTTCTCAAGTCAATAAATTTGTACTTGATAAGCTACAACTGAACTCAGCTTAGCTCTTCATCCTAATCTGAAGATTGTTAAAAATTTAGTTGAAATCATGTTTACTCACCTAATTTGGAAACTTTCACAAACATATCGACATCCATTAGTAGACATGAAAGACATACTTGAAAATTTTAGGTACTATTTCTCATTCAATTTGTTCAATTTTTCAACAATCATACAGAATGATGATGAAGGGAAGTAAATTTGGTGGCAGTGGCGGCGGAGGAATGTCCTGGGGAAGTGGAATGAGCAGCGGCATGCCTTCAATGAGCGGTTTGAGCGGAATGAGCTATATGCCTGTACAACAAATAGCAATGCCTTCTTACGGAGGAATGGACAATAGCTGGATGATGATGTCCTCGATGGACTGGTAAGCACTGAATAATTTTTGTTGGAAATGAGAAAAAAAGATAAAAAAATAACATCTGTAATAAAATATAACATTTACCTTTGCTTGTTTAGTAATTCAAACGATTTCTATGGCATGGGTGGTGCCAACTCTGGTTATACATCTGGTGGATACAGTTCAGGTAAACAAGTCCATGGTGGTGGTACTGGTGGCTATGTTGGAGCAATCAGTAGTGGTAATAGTGCCGGTGGTGGAGGCTGGAATGATGGCTCCAGTGGAAACAATTACAAAGAAAATTATTCATCAGGCGGTGGATCCAATTACCATCAGGGATCTTCTGGTGATTCCTGGAACAACAACAATGTTCAAAGACCCATTAGTGGCTATTAAAGATAAAATATTTTAACAATTAATGTTATCATTAGCTAAAAAATCATAACTCACCATTTAATCAAACCATTATAATCATTTAGAAACATCTTAAGTCTTTACCATTCTCATTATGTCATATGTTTCAACACAAACTCCTTTTGTCCCAGTCTATTGTCTTATAAGCCTTTCTCATCACCAATTAATCAACCACTCTCCCAACTAAAACTCGCCAATTTTAAATCAAATAATTTTGTCCAAGCAAAATAATCGATTGTTTCTTGTTGTGTTTATCTTTGTTTACCTCGTTCTCATTAGTCTTTGTCAAAATTAATTTTACTCACAAAAATTGGTATCAGTGGCCATAAAACAGTTACTTACAAGTCAAAAAGAAGCCATCTTCATTTGATATCACCAATGATTCAATAATCATTAATCATTTCTCCCTATCTGTAAATGTAATTTAATAATCATAACATAAATTTTATTTTATTTATCCATATTTTAATAAAAAATTGAAACAATTGAAAAAGTCCCACTCCAATGCTTATTGACGAGAAGTTTTTGTTTATCAAATCACGATAACATAAAAATTGGAATAAATTGCTGAATTCAGTCAAACCAAGAGTAATTTCACTGATAAAAACATCTAATTGAACAGATGTAAGCGTTAATACAATTTATTACAATAAATTCAAAGATTATCTCAATAAATTTGTTCCATGATTCTGTTACAAAAAGTAAATTCAATTTGGGTTGCCTTTATTATTCTTACTTGGATCACGTGATTAGTAACATTACATGTGACTTTGTTTACATTTTTGTGAGAAGCTTATAAACAAGATTTTTCATCTAAATTTAAAATTTGATTTAGTTAAGCAATTGAGATCGATCAATGTTCAATTTATTATCCGTGTTAATCTGATTATTGAATTTATGTGTGTACAATTAAGCAATGACAAGTCATTTAATTAAGTCTTTAAAATGGAAACCATTATCTATTTATGCTGGTCTTGGTTTTATCGGTTTTCAAGGATATCGAATTAACAAAGCCCGCTTCAATCAATCAATTGATTTCGATGATACTAGTAATAATGAATTTTCATCAGAACCAACTAAATTTGAAGTATTATATCTCAATTTTTCCATATTATCTCAAAATTAACTCATTGTTGATCTTTTTTTTCACTTATTCTCTTCATTCCTTCAAGATTTCCCTTTTAAAATTACTACCTCTTCGTATCGCTTCCAGAGTTTGGGGCTTTGTAAATTCTATCAACTTACCTGAAGCTCTTAGAGGACCAATTTTACAAGTTTATGTGAAAGCATTCAACTGTGATCTTAGTGAAGCTGAAATTGAAGATTTGAAACATTACAAGAATTTACAACAATTTTTCACTCGTCCTTTAAAATCTCACGTAAGACCAATTGCTGAACATAGTTTGGTAAGTACAAGCTACTTGATTTTTCTTACATTGTTAGTGTATTATTATACTGACCAATCTTTTCTTTATGCCAGACTTCGCCCTCTGATGGAACCATAATCTGTTTTGGACCCATTGACGACCATGAAAAAGTTGAGCAGGTTAAAGGAGCAACTTATTCACTATCCTACTTCTTAGGTCCTACAACTTGGTTACCTGAAGAGCAAAACAATGATACAGAGAAAAGTTACAGATCAAAACTCTTAGTCAATGAAACTGCCAATAGACTATATCAATGTGTTATTTATTTAGCCCCTGGTGATTATCATAGATTTCATTCCCCGGTAAATTGGCAAGTTAAATTTAGAAGACATTTTTCAGGTAAAATATCTAAATCGCAAACAATTTAAGTTTCTAATCGTGAATCAATTCTTTATCTGCTTCAATCGTTCAGGTAAATTATTTAGTGTTCGACCAACATTTGCCAATTGGATGCATGGTTTATTCCAGTTGAATGAACGAGTAATTTACCTTGGTGAATGGGCGCACGGATTCTTCTCTCTTAGTGCCATCGGTGCAACAAATGTTGGATCGGTTAAAATATACTTTGATTATGTAAGCTCAATCATCTAAATCAAACAATATAACAGATTTTAATAAAAAAATCATCTTTTTACAGGATTTACGGACAAACAAACCTTTTTGCAGAAAATATCTTTACAAAGATAAAGTCTTCAATGAGGACATTTTTCCATCCAAAGGAGAACCTTTCGGCGAATTCAATCTTGGATCAACAATTGTTTTGATCTTCGAAGCACCTAAAGATTTCAAATTCAACCTTAAACTAGGACAACGAATTAAATTTGGTGAACCTTTAATAACCTAGCTGAAGCAAATGGAAATTCAAAATATTGTTCAATAAATTTCAATTGTAATTGACTATTATTCAAATATCAAAACCACTCATTTATTTAGAATAGTCTGAATCCTAGGAAAAATTCACAGATCTTCAAATACTATTAAGAATTTTAATTAACTCTGAATTTCATCTCTATCTGCCATCTATAATTCAACTTAAATATCACTCTGCTCTGATACTAGAGATTGGTGAATATATCAGGTTTGAAAAGAGATCAAAACTGACCTTTTGCCTTCGATAATTGCCTTTTTAATCGTGAAAAAAGTTGCTGACAACTCAGTGAATGTCAATATGATTTTCATATTTGGAATTTGAAATATTATAATCCGTTTTAAAAGCAATTAAAGTTAAAAACCGACAAATCTGTCTTCCAATTCTGGTATATATTGGAACGCATTTCAATTTGTTCTTCAGTCTTCAGTAAGGGTTTAGGCTAAACCTAACCACTTAATGAAACATGATGACAGGGGTTATGAAATTTATTGATTAAACTCACCCCAATCCAACTGAGGAGTAACGACCCTCTTTTGGCCTCTGCAATTTGTCTGATCAAGTCGTTAACACTAAAAATTAACCTAAAATTTAACTATTGAAAAAATATTCACTTAATTCTCCTTGAAGAATTGGTAGTTAGAATTGAATAATTGAATGTCTCGATTTGTTCGATATGTCAAACTGTTCATCGACAAATTATTAATTATCTAAAATACTTCAAGTTTACTTGTAACTTGGTTGTATAAGATGAAAATCAGTTTGCCTTCTCATGCATAAAAGTCTGTTGGACTTTGAGAAATAAGCACAAAAATTTGCAAAAGATCCTTTATTGACCTCAGTACCAATCATGTTCATGTAACACCCGATGTAAACTTCTATTAACCTGTCAATTAAGTCTAAAATGATTAATTATCGATATCGTCCAGATAAATGCTTCAACAGCGTGCACCTCTAGTTGGCGTTAATGGCAACCAATTTATTGGTTAGAGGGATGGAGAAAGTAACCGGTTACTTTTTGAGGGAAATTCAAAATAAATTAAAGTTATCTGTCAATCAATAGATGGCACTTTAAAAATTGCAAAATAGTCGAGATTTTGGTGAAAATTTTCATAATTATAATATTATTTATTATCGTAACATTCATTTGGCCCATATAAAAGGTTCATCATTACATCAAATATCAATCAATTCGATTTCTAGTTAATAAGTTCAGTCCACACAGAACAGGTGCTTTTAATACTTACCTAACTTCAGTTATGGAGCACAAATGATAAAACTATTATTATAAATAAACAGACCTAAAAATGTTATTAATTCAGCTAATCCAGCAAATTGTAATTAAACTTGACCACTAATGAAAATCTTGAATGTTCAGAACAGATTAGAATGTATTCAAGAAGATGAGACAAATGTATTGAAAAAACCTCAAAAATTGTAACTTTTCATATTTGGCGGCGATTACTGAATGAGAAGGAGCTTCAATGTCTCCTTAGTTACTTTTCGGAAACGGAACTCTTTTAAACTGTAATTCTTGTGTTGTGAATAAACATTAAGTTTACGGACTAATTTCATTTATTTAATTTGTAATTAATTTAGACACTAGTTAATCAAAATGGCTAATACAACAATTTCAAAGAAAAGAAAGGTAAGTTATCCATTACTTTAAGGAATTACCGATATTTATTCTGACGTTAACTCAGTTTTGAGCCGATTATGTTTTTTGCATGTTTTATTAATTTTCATTTTTTTCAATAACAGTTTGTAGCCGATGGTGTTTTTAAAGCTGAATTAGACGAATTCCTTCGTCGAGAATTGGCTGAAGATGGTTATTCTGGTGTCGAACTTCGTCTCACTCCAAACAGGACAGAAATTATTATTCTTGCAACTAGGACTCAATCAGTTTTGGGAGAGAAAGCCCGAAGAATTCGTGAATTGACTTCGGTTGTGCAAAAGCGTTTCAATTTCCCTGAAGGAGCTGTCGAGGTATAGATATCTGAACAGTCTAGTTGTCTTCATATCTTATTTACCATATGTTTGTCTTTTCAGATGTACGCCGAAAAAGTTAGTGATCGAGGTTTGTGTGCTATTGCACAGTGTGAATCTCTCCGATACAAGCTGATCGGAGGTCTCGCTGTCAGAAGAGCATGTTATGGTGTTTTACGTTTCATTATGGAATCTGGAGCTAAGGGATGTGAAGTTGTCGTTTCCGGAAAACTCAGAGGGCAGCGAGCTAAGTCCATGAAATTTGTTGACGGATGGATGATCCACGCTGGTGACCCTTGTAATGACTACGTTGACCAAGCAGTCAGACACGTCCTTCTAAGACAAGGAGTTTTGGGAATTAAGGTTAAAATTATGTTACCTTGGGATCCAACCGGAAAGAAAGGTCCCAAAAAACCATTACCTGACAACGTTTCTATTCATGAACCTAAAGAAGAAATTATCCCAACTCAACCTTATTCAGAACCTAAAATTCCTAAGCCTGTTGGTCTCGAGCCACCTATGGTAATTGCTTAGAGTACAGTAAACAACTTAAGGAATTGTATCGTCCAAATCGTGGATTAAAATCTTTGTTAATTTAATTTATTGTGTTTTCTTGACGCGTTGCTAATTGTATTGCAGCTGATTACGTAGCTGCATTACTCGACTTGAGGACCGGTATTTTCGCATACTTTTATAGCTGATTTAAAACTGCTGTAAATTCGATGAAAATTCAAATTTGCAACTTATACGAAGATAAAATTTGCCATTTATTGATTGAATTTTAAAATGAAATCTAAATTCTATTCATCAATATAGTTCAGCAGAAAACTTAGCATTTAATCCATATCTGGCAAATTTAATGTTGGAACTTTCAAACTAGGCTTTTTAAAACTGATGTTTTGCATTTCAATATTTTTGCGTTTTTTTCAGTGTTAGTAGCATTTTTAAATTTCATTTAAGATTTTCTTTAGAATTGGAAATTTGTTCAACTTTCATTCTATCGTTGTTGCATCTTGAATTGACTGGTCTCAAGACTGAACAATTGTTGATCTACCTATTATACTATCAGAGATTAAGTTTCGGATTTAGTAAAAATTATAATAGACTTCATTTTTTGAATTTCAACATAACTTTTTATTTCAAAACAAGTGCATATTTTGTGCATTATTGATTATATTATTAGTTTGTAAGCAAAAGATATGAGATTTTCAATTGGAAATAATGAGGATAGTTTTCGTCAAACAAAGGTTAATTGTAATAGAAAATACTTTTTGGGTAACACTTTTAGCATAAACATAACATTTTGCGTCGTTTTCATTTGTTTTTGGTCATCAGTGGAATGGAAAGAGCAAATTTAGGAGATTGCGAAAAAATGAAATGAAAATAAGTTAAGTAATTGCACTGGATTGATACATTTACATTTTTTCGATGTACTTGTTGATTATAATTGCATTTGTCTTACTTGTTCCAACCCAGAAGCAATCTTATGTGTTGAAGGTAATTTGAAGACAATGTCACAAAACGCATAAAAAACCCCATACCGAATTGCATCTGATGCACGATTTGTGGCCCCATCCAAGCGAACCAGAGTTGGTGCGTCCATATTTCGTGATTGCTGAATCTCATAAAGAATTACTTGGTCAGTATACTTGGGTTTACAAAAAACATACATCATTAACAGGAAATCACCAGCAAGTGTAGCAGCAACAATTCCAATAATGAACAAAACAAGGGAATCATTGAGATGAGAGCCTTCATTTATCATTAACCAAATCAACCAAACACCAAGAAGCAATAAATTTTCAATAGTAGCAACGAGAAGGAAAATTAATGGACGTTTACCCTCTTTTAATTGAAACATTATGGGCCAGATAAAAAGCGATGGAACTCCAAAGAAAAGGAAAACCATAACAGCAATGCTCAAACGCTTTCGACGACTAGACCATTGTGTATTTGTCATGTTAGCCGATGAGCTTGAGATTCCGTAAGATTCAAGAGCAATGTTATATATCCAAATGGAAAAAACGAGGACATGGATTAAGCAAAGAACTATCACCCAGGAGTGAATGACAGTCGTTACCAATCCCAAAACTAGAACCCGAGAGGAGATAAAGGATAACCATCCGAAAAAAGATAGAAAATGAGTAAGTTTACCATCATCTCGACGTCGAACGGCAATCATCATTGAAAAAATGCTGAGTATTGACGCAATTATTTGAGACACCACTATACATAAAATATTCAAGAAAAAATGAATTAGGCACAGATAAGAGCAGTCAAACTATATTTGGAGTGCATAATATTTGAGGAAAATATGGATAACTTGAATTTTAAGAGAAAATGTCGAATGTCTATCATTTAGACTAGACTTACATGGTTTCATTTGCAGCTTATGAGAATCTATCCAATCAACGGTACCAAGAAATATATAAATTTGTAATAATATCTGAAGAAAACCGGCATAAAAATCTTCAAAAAATTCCAATACATCTGCTGACATTTTTAACTGTTCAAGATTCTGGCTTTCTTCTTCGTAAGGAGATCTCCAATTACAAACTCGTTGAGCAGTGAAATGCAAAACATCCAAGTGACGTTTAATTTGCCATGGTATTAATAAAATACCGTTAACAGTTCTTGTAGAGACTTCCTTTTTGTCAACAACATCATCCTTGGACAAATTGGCTCCAATTAAAAAAAGGGCGTACAATATTGATGGAGCAACAAGCGAAACAATCGAAATGGCAAAAAAATTGTATTCGCGGTGATCCTTATATTCATAGGTAGCACCAAAATCTTGATATAATTTGTTCAGATAAATCCCTAATTTCATCAGAGAAAATATTAACATTCGTTGGAAAGAAGTAATCTTAAACAGAGCAAGAGGTCCACTTGGTATAGCAGATCGAGCTGTAACAGTTGGTATCTGAAAAGAAAACATGAAAAAATTTCAGTAATTGGAAATCCAAGAGAGGTGAATTTGATATACCTGGTCAATGTTTTCATTTACACGGTTTTCGGCATTGGCATCAGTTCCTTCCTGCCAATTGCTTCTTTCCAAACTCAATTGTTGAGTTTCACGTGGCTCAACCTCAGCAGTCATTTTACCAAATCCAATAACAACGATAATTCTAGAGTCAAATCAAAATAAATGCACAACACATGAGCTATAAATAACAGAGTAACGAGTTAGAAATGTTTAAAGCACTAGACGATGGTACAGCATTTAGAAGCTAAAAAAGGTATTTAAATTAACCTCTATAGTCAGTGTATAATAATAAGGTAAAATGTAACCATAACACAATCAAAAGATTGTTGATGCTATAGTAAGGGTCACACTTGGTAAGGACAGTCTTTATAATTATGATGATTAAGGTGATGTAATAGAGCGATGAGATTCATTAATTTTAATATTATAAAATTTTGAACTATTAACAAGGGAAATAACGTGTGATTTGATCACTAAATTAACCACAATCAGAAGTAATAACAGTTTATATTACAGATATTGAGGATAGTAGTAGTGTTACAACTATTTAAGAAACGAAAGGAAAGAGGATGAGTAGAAGTAGAATGGAAAGACTCAAGCCTACTTAAATTTTCATCTCTCTCAAGCAAGTTTCAATGATTCCCACCCAAAATTTATACCACTCTATAGCATTCATTTGATTGACAGTCATAAGTCATCTCGGAAGTTAATTGATCGTGATAATTAATGTTTTTAAGAAAATAACCAAGTGCTAAGCAATTTATTTTTTTATTTTCAACATATACAGAAATTGAATTTTTTTTTCATCAAAGATGGACACAAAAGGGTGAAAAATAATATTGTCAAGCTCGTTTTATTTTAACGATTTTAATATCTTTTGACAAAGGTCAAATGATGAATTTCAAAATGAAAAAAATGATGTAAAAGTCTGGGCAAATTTAATCAGCTTTAAGAAGCTATAATCACTTTGAAACAAAGCTCTACAATAAATGTTACAATAACTTTTTCATTTGTCTTGTTTAGTCTTCTCACCATCAATTTACGAAATTACATTGTACATGGTAACATTGAAAAGTAGAAAGTTGATCATTTTAAGGACATGATTTTCTGAGAGCCCTTCTGTCATTCAAGCTTGTAAATTGAAAAGATGTAAATAAACAATGGTAAATGACGGATGATGAGTAATTGGGAAGCAATGGTGATTTCCATGATCACTTTGATCAATTAAATGCGTCTTCTACTTCGAAGTACTGGACTTGGACTTAAAGAGGGTGCGGAAGATCTTTTAGCCCCGACAGCGCCAGGTACTCGTGCTGTAGGCGATTTTACTGGTGATGGTGAAGTTTTGGTTTGAGTGAAAGAAAATTTACCGTCTGATTTTTCTCCTGATTTGACAATAGCTTTCTCTAATATAGATTTGAGATGAGCATAATCAGGCTCTTCTTCAAATTTCAACTTGATTGTATATTTGATAAAGTCAGAGATTCCAAGAGGAATAGAAGGTGATGGTTTAGTACGATCAACAACCCTTGCATTGGTATTTGACTCTACTTTTTTAGTTAAAACAGCAACAGGAGGTGGTGATGAAGATGAGGGTGGGAAACAGTAATTAAGTAATTCTGTCGTCCTTTCCATGTAATAATTTTTACACTGTTTTACATAATTACTATCTTTCAAGTTAAACATCCAGGGTAATCTTCCACCAGATAACCAGGACAAAATGTTATAACAGAGTACTTCAATATCACTTCTCCTTGAAAAGCAACCAATGTGTGCGTCCCTTGAGGTAAATTCAGCAGTACCATTATTAGCCCTTCGAGCATCTTCTTCGAATTTTTTATGAATTCCATCATCTTTAAAGATATATCTTTCAACCAATCCAAAGTCAACAAGGTAAACTTCTGAGAAAACACCAACATTCCTGCCTTTCTTTTTACTTTCCTCTTGTAGAGACAACAATAGGTTAGATGCTTTGATATCGGAATGGATGTAACCAAATGAATGAATGAATTCCAATATGTCAATAATTTTAATGGCGATAGAGTAAGCTGTTTTAAGAGAAAATTTTTCGTGGACATCTAACATTTTCTGTAAATCAGTTCCAAACCTAGGTATCACCAAGAAACGATATTTCAACGTTGATTGTACCTTTTTGGACCCTCTTCCCTTACTTCCGGCACTATTTGATTGTTTGTCATGTAAGCCAGAAGCAATGAACTTGGGCATACCAAGGAATTTAAGACCTGGAAATGTGGATAGAGAAAAAAAGATGTCATGAAACAAAGAAATGAGATTAAAAAGTGATTCTATTTTTAAAGAGAAATATCAATTGCATAGCGCAGAGATGTCCTCATAATTTTACATTTATAGGCAATGATAAATCGAGGTTTCTAATTACATTAGAAATAAAATTTAACGCTGGATCCTAAACAAATTTTATGCAGCAGTATCAACACCAAAATAACTTAGTCAGGCTTTTATTAGACAAAGAATGAATGTTGACTGTTGAAGGCTTTCAACTTCACTTATCGGACCCCTCTTATCAAATATCTTCAAGAAAATCATTTAAAACTGTAGCTTACCTTTCTTTTGAACCCAATCTTTGATTAAATCAGATTTAGCTACTCGATAATAGAAATGCATCTCATTAAAAAGTGGACCATTATTATGGTCAACCTTGACAACATAATCGTAATCGTCTGAATCACTTGAAGCGGGTCTCGCTGTGTAGATTTCACCAAATCCTCCGACACCGATACTTTCACCAAGCACCCAACTTTTTTTGGTATTGTCAATAAGAATTTCACCTACAGGTAAAGGGTCAGGCAGACGATAGCCATTTGCCGCCATCCTAGGCTGACTAGCAACGGCCTTTTTAACAGCAGCACCCTTCTTAGGACTTGGTTTAGCCATTTTAGCTAATAGTTTAGAAGGGTCAACTAGTTGATCACAAAAGGTTGATTAATAAATAGAAACAAAGGTGAAGGTTAACCTAAAGAACAAAAACAAGACAAGTATTTTATAATATTTAACATCAACCCAGCACAAATAATTGTCTTTTATCAGTATTTGTCAGACAAAATGAAAAAGATTTGCCGGAATCGGTTAAAGTAATCATTCGAAACCGAATTTCATCAACTTCCAGATGAGAGGCATAAGCTACAGCCATCTTCTGCCTTACAAAAACATCATTTAAAGAGTTTTTATTTAAGTTTTTCTCAGCAATTTCATAATTGCATGGTGACAATCAAAATTTCGATTTCTTAATGATCAGAAATAATCAAAATTATGATATTTATTCAAACTTATTTATTCATAAATTGTTGATTAAGGTATGAGGTCTATACATAATGATGTCACATTAGATATACAAGGGGTTGGAATCATATGGAAACAAAAATGAATCAAGTAAAAGTATGATTTGACTAATAAATTCAGCAAAATATTGAGACAATCAAGGACGCAAAGGAGCCAGTCCAAGTTTAGCTCTGAGAGCATTAGCTTCATCGATTTCGTCTTGAACAGTTTTGGAACCACCTTTGTTTTCATCTCGTTTTGAATGTTTAGAACTTTTATCAGCTCTTGCATAATCTTTTTCACTATTTCTACCTCTATCCCTATCACGATCATTACCTCTATCTCGCTCTCTATGTCTATCTCGCTCTCGATCTCGCTCTCGATCTCGGCCTCGGTCCCTATCTCTGTCCCTTTCTCTATCTCTATCTCTATCGCGTTCATAACCTCTATCCCTATCCCTATATCGGTCTCGATCACGGTCACGCTCTCTTTCTCTATCTCGATCTCGATCTCGACCACCATCGGTACCTCGTTCCCATTCCTTTTTTCGTTTCCTCTTATTATCTCGATCACGAGACGATGATCTATCTCTACTGTGAGAATCTTCTCCTCGTACATTGGTGCTGTGTTTCTTTTCCTGATCTTTTTTATGTGTTGAACTGTTTTCCTCGGTCTCACTTTCATCTTCATCTTCATCCTCGTCGGTATCAACATCCAACTCTTCTTTTAATAAACTTTCCCTTGGTCCTAATTCATCATTTTCTTCGTGAATCCTGCGTGCCTTAATCCTTGGAAGAATGACATCGAAGACTCTATCTTCCCTCAACAGCATATCAATGAACTCGTCCATATGTATTATTGAAAATTTGCCCATTCTATCAATGTAGCGTAATTTTCTATAATCAGCATATAATGGTTCTAAATATTTATAAACATCAAGTGAGACAGCAGTCAGTCTCAAGTAATAAGCACCCAAGGCACGAGCATATCTGTAATAAAACAATGAGTAATAGGAAAAATGTTAAACAATGCAAAAATCATAAAGAATAACAAATGCTTACTTGAAGTGAGGTTGTTTTATAAACTCGATTGTGATGTCTTTATGAGGTTGAATTTGTAACATTTTTAAAATTAGGCACATAAATGGTGTTGGCTTGATATTTCCACCATAAATACCGCCAATATACTTCAATTCAGTAGCTTTGTCAACAAGAGATTCCTCGTTGATGCCGAAGCAATCTTCCTTCCAAAACCGCGATTCATAAATCCTACCACGAATAATTTTCTCAACTAAATACTGAGGGTTGGTTTGGTGAATAGATTTAACATCTTTTAAAGTTCGATTAGCCATGAGAAACACTGAAATCTAATAGACTGATGCACGGACATGTATTTGTTTTGGCTAAACTTATCATATGACAGTGAGTACAAAATTTGTATGCAAGCTTTCTACAGTAAGAATAGCTTGATATTGCTATTTTTCGGGCAATTTGATTTCTCGATATTCATTTTTTGATAAATAAGCAAACCAAAGATGAAACAAAAATAAATGGGCAGCTTTATTTGGATAAATACTCAATGTCAAAATTTTATCTCAAGTGGTTCAATATTATCCGATATAAATACAATGTCAACATACTAATTTGATAATAGAAATGAAATTACATAAACTGTAGATTTGAAAAACTTGAATGACGTTTAACCACTTTGGACCAAAGATTCGCCCATCTTTCTGTAGAGATTGCGACTTATTCGTTCGTCCTCTAGAAGTTTCTCGTTGATTCTAACCAAATATTGACCAACATATGTGTCTCCTGGTTTTAAGGCATAAGCACGTGTAAAGTACATTTTAGCAACATCGTATTCGCCATTGTTGAACTTTGCCTTCCCATATTGACAAAGTGCTTTAACATTATTCGGATCGATTTGTAAGGCTTTACGACAGCAAACCATAGCTGGTCTCAGCTTTTTAAGGCGTATGAGTGCGTTAGCATTATTTGGATAGAGTTTGGATAATATTTCATGGCCAGCTTTTTGCTCCTCTGTATCTTTGTAGAAATATTTTTCCAAAAATTTGATTGCTTTTGAATATCTCATAGCAGCCTCCCGATAACGTTCAGCTGAGAAATAGCTGTTTCCAGACATACGTTGTTCATTGCATTTTTGAATTATCTCTGGAAATGGGACGGCTGCCATTTCTTCTGGGGTCATCAACTCATAATCAGCTAGCGAGCCCTCCTCAAAAACACGAAGAATCTCGACAATGTAAATTATTGTAGAGTTTCCAGGAATTCGAGGTGGACAACCAAGCTCTCCAAAAGCATACTCTGGTTTGATCAAAATTTCAGCCTTCTCCGCCATACGCATACTTAATATGCCAACCATTAAACCAGGTAATAGATCCTCTCGATCTAATCGATGAAGAATAGGTCGACCACGAAGAACGGATGAATCAAAAGGTTCGTCTGACCCTTCAGAGTAACCATTACAGTGAAAGAGAACGGCGTTCTTCTTCTTTAAAACAGGTCCATAACCACTTTTCATTACTTTTTTATAAACTTGGTTTTCAACTAAGGGTTCCATGGTTGGAATCTTCTCTTCCCATGAAGCTGAGTCCATAAGAGAGGGCACATGAGTTTCCTTTATGTGTTCAAGTAATTCGTCTTTGGTCCACCAATCGCTTTCATTGTCAGCAGCCTCATTAGAATCCTCCTCTGGAGTCTCAATCACAGTACCTTTTGCCAATTGCTCGAGAGAAACATTTTGGCCGAATTTAATATCTTGAGCAGAACCATGCCAAGGCGAAACAACATCAAAGTCTAAAAAATCGTCACCCATGTTGGAAATTGATTGAATTGAACACTAGATTAATTTAACGAAGACTATTAACTCAATAATGTTGATCAAAAGCCATAAAGTGAAAAATGACGAAAGAACAGTAAAAGTTAAAGTATATTATTAAATTTTGAACAAGTAGCGACTCTCATGTCGAATAAAAGAACTATTTTTTCGCGTGTTTTTGTTTGTTTATTTAAGCATAAACAATAAAATAGTTTTCTCTGGAATTGCAATATGGACTTGATCTTTACCATAGTAATTTAAATTGATTATGAATTGTGAGTCAATTATTTGTAATATTTCATTTAATTCTGCTTTGCTCATTCTATTACCATAATTTAAATAATGTATCCCTTATTTTTTATCCACTCATCAGAACTCTTTCTAGGTTACTTTCCATTGTTTTGTTTCTGTTTTCTCTTTTTTCAATCAAATATTTGATTTGAATCATCGATTTCATTTAAAGTGCTCTAAACTATGTCAGCATTCAGGAAATTTGACCTCAAACAAGAGCCAATTGCTTTAGAATTTATCCCAACTGGAATCAGAGGTCTTGATCAATTATTTGGTATGTATTTTCTGTTTACATTTCTTGTTGACTTTTTCAATTGATGTGAGCCAATTTTATTTTTTCTTAGGTGGAGGTTTGCCTCATAATCATCTGATTTTAATCGAAGAAGATGAATTCAATGTATACTCCAATTTGTTACTACGTGCCGTATCTTCCAATGTTATTCACGATAAAGTGAATTTAACATACTTTTCAGATAAAATTTCATCTGATCCATCAGTCTTAATCAAAGTGAGTTGGTTTTCAACACGTGTTTCCAATTTTATCATAATCTGAATACTGATATTTATCTCTCTTTTACTAACCAGAAATTACCGTCTAGGACCAAATTAGACTCTAAATCTATTGACAGCCCTAAAGATATGCAAATTGCTTTTCGTTATAATTATATGCCTTCCTTGGACAACGAAACTGGTTTTATTATGGATTTTGGGCGACTTTTGGAGGAAAAAAATTTCAAAAGTCAAGTAAATATTGACAGTATAGCAATCCATCCAATCAAAGATGTTCTCAGTGTAATGGAAAAGTACACAAAAAGCCAAGTCTCTTCGCACAACTTAAATAATGCTTCACCCTCGAAATCTCGACACTTAATCATACTTGACCACATATCTGCCTGTACTAGTAGTTTATCATCTGATAATATTTGTGGATTTATACACCAACTGAAGAGCTTTGCAAGACAGTTAAATAAATTCACTATTTTAGTATCGATTCAATCAGGATGGTTATCAAATGTTATAATCAAAAGATTGAGAAATATCAGTGATACATCGATTCAGTTGGAGGCATTTGATCCTCTACAACCCTCGGCTTATAGTGATGATTACAAAGGTGCTCTCCATGTTCATAAAGTAACTAGAGTCTCATCCTCAAAAGATAGTCTTGTGGCTGATCTTGGCTTTCAATTGAAGAAAAATAATCGCTATTTCATTATTGAAAAATTGTTTCTTCCTCCAGACATTGGCGATACACCATCTCGAGTACCCACAAAATCCAACACAACTGATGATATTTTCTAATTTATTTTAAAAAGAGAATTATTTACGTTTTCAACTTGAAATATAGTATGTTTTATTGTTTGGTAATGGTTTAATAAAAAACAATCCATAATATATTAAAGTTGCACTTTGACAAATACAATTTAAGAAAATGACTTTTTTACCTTTTCACCTTCTTGACGGACTGATACACGAAATTTCAATGTTTTCGTTGTAAATATATTTTCCATTTGGTTGACTTGTTTATCAAAATAAATCAAGATTCTTTCGAATCGGAGCGCCAATAGTAGGCAAAATCCAAAAAAAATCAATCCATTCTCCTGTTTGTATCATCACAACAATCATCTTGCATTTAGATGATCAATCATATTCGAAATGTATTATAAGTAAAATTTTACATGAATGAGTCAAGAAAACCATGTTCGTCATCAATTTGAGCAGTGAAAAATTTGTTCAAGTCATTGAGTTGAACTGTTTTGATTATTTCAGTGAACAAAATGTCATCTACTACGTACCAATCAACTTTAAAACTATGTCTCAATTCTTTAATCTCTTCAAGATTATCTCTTATGGATAATATTTTATACTGAATAGCTGCAGCTTGTTGAAGTGCTATCTCACTGATGTTTGAGCTACTCAAATTGTTTGCCAAACCAATGTAAATTCTTGGGTTGATAATACGAATAGCCAGATTGTCATGTTTATTATCAGATTCGAAAAGTACGGTTGACATCATTGGCTGTTTTTGAAGAAGAAATGTAATTTGGCCTATTGATTCCAATGGACTGGACAGTTTGGGTTTTATTTCTTCGATTGAAATCGGGTTGTCGCCGTGTTGGTGACAGAACACCCAATCATTCAGTAAATCATCCAAAGGAGGGCACCATTCTTCAAGTTTAGGTTCATCGATTGGTTTACCTAACAAATTAAAGGGAAATTATATAATTAGCTCGAATAGAATGTTTACATTCTCAGAAAAATGAATAACTTACATAATTTTGCTCCAAGTATCATTGAAACAAACCAGGTTTCGCCAGATTGAGAGATATTCACTCTAAAAGAATCAAAATCAAACTGGAATGTATCTTCTGGAACAATTTTAATCTTGGCATCTCCAATAGATATAATGTTTTGATTGATCTGTACATCATTTGGCTCAACCTGAGTCTTTAAACCAACATAGGTAATGGTAAGCTGCTGCAAACTTTCCAAGAAACGAATGACAATCATGATAAATTTTGATACCACTGGAATAGATAAAGTCAATGGTCGAGAAATATCAACAAAGCCTTAAAATAAATGAGAATAATATTGGACAAGTGTAAACATGTGAGCGAAATAGATAGATATCCACAGCAGCTTTCATGCAAATGCAGTTCAAAAACTTGTTATTGGTCCATATTTAAATTGGGATTACAATAATGAACAAGTGATGAAGATTTCATCTGAAACACGAGTAAAAATTCATGATGTAAAGCTTTGAACACTAATAATGGATACTAATAAATAACTATAAACATAAAATAAAGAAGCAGTGACTTTCACTTGCAATTTTGTTAGAGGAAAGAGAAGAAAGAAGCTATGAAGTCATTGGTTAAATAATCGGATTATGCTGAAGAGAAACATTCTTTGTCTAGAAAATGAACTCTAGATAAGTAATTGAACCATTGCTGACAGATGTTTGAATTATTATCTAATGCAGAAGTTCGTTAATCACTTTTTCAGTACCAATGTTGCAATCAGAGCTCGTAATTGAGCAGCTTGAATAATGCAAAAGAGTTCTGGTGTATCAGTAAATTAGGGTTTAAGAGCATTGTAATCAGCATCACGATTAAAGAATTTAATCTAAAATTTCATTTGGTCAAATGGTCTATGGTTAAATAACCATTCGGACAGGATATTTGAAAACAATAGTCAGGATGACTTGAATAAAACAGACCAAAACACATTCATACTCAGATAAGCTCTGTCAGTAAAAATCAATAAATATTCAGGCGTCTATGGAAACAATATCTAATATAAATAATAATGATTATGGTGATAATTAAGTGTGACTATCCAATGATTAAAAAATAGCAATTGAAAATATCTTCCTGTTGAAAAAAGCTTTATTAAAGATGATTGACTCGTTTCCATTCAAATGAAATATCTTTTATTAGTTCCATTATTCGGTATCATTTTTTCCTCGTCCATTGGACAATCTGTTCATATTGATACACATTTCCAAAATTAATCATGAAAAATGAACAATAGTGATTATAATATAAATTATTGCAATAAAAGAAGGTTGTTTATGAAAAATTGAATATGGCGCTGTTTGCATTCCTTTCGTTTGTTGAACAGCCAATCAGTGAATGGCTTCTTAAGGTCTGTTGAAGATCTTTATGTACATTTTTAAAAACAACAACATTTCATCAGACAACGCATTATTGTTTTCCTAATTAAACCTCTTTTTTTTTGTTATTTATTGCTACTTTTTCAATTAAATCAGTCATTACTAGTCTTCTTGTTTTTAGTAATAAGAAAAATATTCTTTTGTGATCCAATCAAGAAGTTTTCCAAGTAATCTATCTCACCATTTGGTTGTTCTTTCTGTGATGCTTATTATTTCGTTTTTTTTAATTTATTTATAGTACAAGGTTGTGGTAATACAATGTAACTTAACCAGCTCATGGTCGACAAGATTGATTTTAAATAATCAGTTGAATATAAAAAAATAAAAATTGGTCGAAACGCAACTATGTAAAGGTAACAAGTTTACGTATCAAAATGGTCCAATTAGAAAGGAAAGCGCTTACAACAAATGCCACCGAGAACAGATTAATATTAAGGAGGCATCAATCAAGATCTACTAGTTTTGCTGAAGGATCTGCGTTTAGCCTCTCATGTGGAGCAGAAGAAAAGATATTGCCTGTTTTTACTTTCCCTCAGGCCCTCGATTTTTATTTCAATGATGCCAATTCGCTAGAACAAGAAGTCTCTGTTCTCAACCCTTATTTATGGCCCATCAAATTTAGAGGTGAGCCTTTTCGAGTTTTGCTCTAGCCTTCTTTTTATCTTATTGCAACCATATTTAAATGAAAAATCTTTTTCTAAACTCTATTTCTTTGTTTCTATTTCTTGATAGTTCTTACCACTACTCCGGGAAGGTACTATGTCGATAAGTTCGAAGGCGATATTGCAGCGACATGCAAGTTTGATTTGTATGTATTTTTCATATTATCGTTCATGCATTGAGTTTTGATCAAGAGTAGAAATATGCGTAAAAATCGTTAAAGATTATAAACTATATCAGCAACTACTGGTTTGGTATTGACTTGTATCCAAGTCATTAAACCGTCCAATAGTCGCATTGTCATAAAGTTAAGAAAATGATTGCTAAATATTGTTGAATTTAGCGTTAGACAAACTTCGGTCTTTTCACTCAATTTTTTCGTTAGAGCTTTTTATTTTTTTTATTTAAGCTTTCCAGGTGTAATAAAAAATAAGTAGAACATGTTATTTAATTTAATTTAATATTCTGTTTTAGCGAATGAGTTGAATTTTAAAGAGTTGATTATATATCTATGTGACTTCTTCGCATTTTGAATAGTTTTTGTGAATAAATAAGAAACTATTTACTAATTTTGTCTCTTGATTTTTTCTTTATTTAGCAAAGTTCGCCTGCTAGACAGATCTCCAAGCCTTATAGGAAAGCAAGACAAACTGCGAATCGAAATGCAAACTATTACTGAATGCATAAAGTTGGGAAAAAAAGACTTGGATTGTAATTTCTACAAAGAATATCAAGAAGAAGAGCAGAAACAATGTACAAACCCTGATTCATTAAATGATGACAGGCTTGCCTTTGAAAAAATATTAAGCAAAAAATCACCTCCGACCGATAAAAAACCTCAAGAGATAGCTGCTGCTACTGCTAAATCAGCCACCTCTAAAAGTGATACTCAAGGTGCTAATAGAAACAAATCGAAAAACGATCCCAAATCGAGTTGGCCTCCTTCATCTTATGTATTCACTGCAATCATGTGTGGTATCATATTATGTTTGCCAACTGAAGAATGCATACTTCCATCTTACCTGGTTATTTCTCATACTCCTAAATACATAGCTGCTTATGTTTTAGGTATAATAACTTCACTTTTGTGTAAATATAACTGATTCTCAAGGCATTTTTATTCCATTATCCATTGAACAGTCCTCTGCTATTAGAATTTTGCTATTTTCTTTGGCAAATAATTTCCTTTTCACATTTATCTGCTTCAACTATGGATCACAGCTTTGAATTCACTTTTTCTTTAATCCTGGAATCAAAAATTCAAACCTGACCGTTGCAGGACTTTTATGGACTCATGCATTTTAAACTGTGATCCAAGATATCAGAATATTGATATTTTTACTGTTCATCAATTCAGGACCTTTTTGATCCCCTTATTTCTTCATCTATTTCTTCCTTTCTTTCTTTTATATTCTCAACTACATTATTTACTGCATTATTTACATTTTTAGTGAAGCATTTTTCGACAGCCAAGCAGATATTACCAAAACAGATTGGTATTGATCTTATTTAATAACCATTTAAAGATGGAATAACTTGCAACAATTCTGACTGTTATATTTAATAAATTTGTAACTTATTTTAATCGTTTGAGTACCTTTTTTAATTATTAACATGAAATGTATAAATTTGGCTACCAATATAGCACTTTTGAGAAACGTCGGTATAATTCAGTAAATTTTTCAATAAAGCAAACAAATACTTTCAAGGCTAGAGTCCCAAGTCATCAGAGAAAAATAAATCTTTTTATCATAGAACAATTAGGTTTTGTGAGCATTTAATCCTCTCGAAATCTTTAGGTTAGCAAATTGAGAATAAACAGAATCAAAAATCAATGTTTCTACATATCAGTGTGGTAATGAGGATACAAAACAAAATGAGTGAAACAAAAAGGCTCATGATAATGGGCCCATAACACGCTTATCTCATTGATCTATGTATACCGATTGACAATGAATGGAGTTACCTCTGCATTTGCGAATCAAAATACGGCAATCTATAAAGTTAGTTAGTAGCCTGAATTGAATGACACATTAATAATCATTGAAATCAGTTCGGATGACTGAGGAGCTTCCCATATTAGTATAGGTTAACTCTTTTTAACTCTTCAGGCTAAATCCTTTGTTAACTCCGGGATTAATTTATTACATTAGTATTTATGTTTAACAATCAATCTTTCTTTAGAAACGTTAATACATGTAACATTTTTCATGTTAAATGTTATCATGTTCTGATTGAGCAAAAATGTTTCATTATTATTCGGGGAGTGAATGTATATTGAAGTACATTGTATCTGATTTTAAGTTCCACTTATTCACGCATTCGTCTCGTTAGTGCTTTATTTAACTTGATTAACACTAAAAGACACATTGAACAATTTAAAGGATGATTTTAAAGATCAAACAGAGTTAGAGAAAAAGTTAATCGAATCATGCAATTACTATATTTTCCCTGAGCACATGTTTCTTAAACGTTTCTGTTATGATTGTGTCTGAATTGGATTTATTTAATTTTTGATTGATTTAGTTTATTCAGCATTTTGAATCGTAATTTCTATTTAGTGAACTGCTTCTTGCTTTCTTTAATCATTCGCTGTTTTAAGCCTTGCTTCAACTTTTATGCATTGATTATTCACGACCATTTAAATGCTTCACCCTTTTCAAGTCTGTTCAAATGCTCGACTTTTATTTATCGGGACGAATAGGAACTTGCTCGATTCGCTAAGAATCGTCACTCGATTATATGCAACTGAACCAAAAGCCCCTAAGAAGCCACCTGCTCCTGGGGCAGGAGGCAAGAAAAGTTTTACGCGTGATAAGCCACATGTTAATGTGGGAACGATTGGACATGTTGATCATGGTAAAACCACTTTGACTGCTGCAATTACTAAAGTTTTGGCTGCTAAAAAATTAGCTAATATTAAGAGTTATGAAGATATCGATAATGCTCCTGAAGAGAGGCAGAGAGGTATCACGATTAATTCTGCCCATGTTGAATATTCAACTGAAAAAAGACATTATGGTCATACAGATTGTCCTGGTAAGCTTTGCTTTCTAATATTGTCAGCTAAGAACGTTTTTATTGCCCATTGCAGCAGAAATTTAATTTTTTTCTGTCTTTTTCATTCAGGTCATGCTGATTATATTAAAAATATGATTACTGGTGCTAGTCAAATGGATGGAGCCATTTTAGTTGTTGCCGCAACAGAAGGACCTATGCCACAAACCAGGGAACATCTTGTTTTAGCACGCCAGATTGGTATGTGCCCTTCTATGTAAAGGGCGCTGACTGAAACCAGAGGACTAAACATTAAATGAGAGTTATTAGTCAGAGATAACAACACAATAATTTAAAATTTTCATCTTCAATACCATCTATTGAGAAATTGATGTGCACATTAAGCATATGATTTGAATTAGATTGAATTCAATCAATGGTGTTGATGATGGTGATTTTCAATCTATTTTGTTATCAAAGACGATAACTTTCATTCAGTGTTTAGCTCTCTGCCTGGTTTAAGTCGGACACCCTTTAGCTAAAAATTCTCCTAAAGCTTAATTAATTAACGTTATTGACTGTTATTAATGTTTTAGGTATTGAACATGTGGCTGTGTACCTTAATAAAGTTGATGCCGCTGATCCTGAAATGGTAGAATTAGCTGAAATGGAAGTTCGAGAAGTTATGACTGACGTTGGATATGATGGTTCCGAAGTACCTGTAATCGCTGGCTCTGCCTTGTGTGCCTTGGAAGATGTCAAACCTGAAATCGGGCGAGACTCGATCACCAAATTGTTGAACACTATCGATGATTATATTCCAGATCCTAAACGCGAGGTAGATAAACCAGGTTTATTACCAATTGAACATGTTTATTCCATTGTTGGGCGAGGAACTGTTGTATCTGGTCGATTAGAGAGAGGTTCATTTAAGGTTGGTCAAGAAATTGAAATTGGTGGTTATGGCAAAAGTGTAAAGACCAAGATTGGAGGAATTGAAATGTTCCGTAAGACTTTAGATGGTAAGAAACTTTATTGCGATTTGACTTTTTTCCATTTTGTTATAAAAATAATTGAAAATATATACAGTAACTCAAACAGTTTTCATTGAATTAATCTTATTGCTTGCTTTATAATCTGCAACGAGCCATTGATTGCTAATTTGTATAGGTTCGCACGGATGTCAAAATTTTGAATAGTTTTACATTTCATTTTTCGTAATATAAACCATTTATCTTATCACCCTAATAGAGGCCATTGCTGGAGATACCATTGGTGTTCTGTTGAAGGGAGTTAAAAAAGATGAAGTAAGACGAGGAATGACAGTTTATGCTGTTGGATCCGTTGAGCCTCATGATCAACCAATAGCCAAAATTTATTTACTGAAAAAAGAAGAAGGAGGAAAAAACAGACCTTATTTGACAACTCACAATGGACAGTTGTATTCAAGAACTTTTGATATTCAATGTCAAGTTAATTTCAAAGATAAAGATATGGCTTTACCCGGTGAAGATGTTGAAGCTCATTTAAGGGTGAGTATGCATGTCAACAGATTTTTAAAAGTTTCTTACCATATTCTCTCTCTTTTTAGTTGATTAAACCAATGGTTATTGAAAAAGGACAAAGATTCACACTACGCGATGGAAGTGTCACTTATGGGACTGGAGTTATAGTTGATTTCAATCCAAATATGACTGAGAAAGAGAGAGAAAAATTCAGAAAAGGAAAATCACTTAAAGAAAAGGAAGAATTCAAAGCAAAATACAATGAAATATTCGATAAGGCTGTTGCTGAATTACAGGCAAAAACGTAAAGTTCAACATTAGATGATGAAGAAAAAGTCACATCCCTTCATTTTTGCTAACTTGTTATCATTAGTATCATCCATAAAAGCTTAAAGATAAGATGATTATAATTAAATTTGTAGATTAAATTAAATCTATTTATAATCTTACCATGCTATAAGTCAACTCCTGGTTCAATTTCAGCATCTCGTCTCATCTTTTTTGAGTCATCCTTACAATCGCTGATTAGTGCTTTCCTTTTAAAGGTGGTAGACAAATTATCTGCTTCAATTTTAATCGTACTCTGCTGTTTGTGTTCTCGCTGTGGCAAAGGCAACAAGTATGAATTATAAATTTGAATCAAATCAACCAACCCCATTTCATTTAGATCTGGAATATCAAGTTGTCTCTATAAATGTAATTGGAAGCACAAGAGAATAGTATTCGTTTGTATTCAAGATTATTACATTATTGTCAATACATATTTTCCAATTTACATGCTCTTTAAACAATTAAAATCCATCAATCAAATTACCTCTTCAAGAATGGATAGAAGAGTTTCTCTTCTCATATCTTCAGGGTGACACAAAATATTATAGTTCTGATCACAGTCAAGTTTACTTTTAATGTCATCCTCTGTCATCATTGTGACTGCTGATTCATTGGTCATTTTGGCAAAAATCAGAATGTTGTCCAACCGCAACTAAAATAAAAATATTGACCTAATAAAATTAAATTTGCTCATCACAACGCTAAATGGTGAGATGACAAAAAATTTGGATTAATAAAACAAAAAGATAAACTCTGACTAAAGTTTCATTCACTAATTACAGGTTTGTCAATTAACAAGACTAATTGGACTAAATAGTTTAATACAATGAGATATTTAATTAATAAACAAATAAGAATGAATTTAATTACGCCCATTCTTACAATCGCAACTGTAAGCGCAATTTTAGAACAAAATTTGATCAACTAAAGTGAAGTTTTCTTTTTTGCATGCAAATTTCATTTGTACACGCTTTCAATGACTACAATAATTGACGGGTTTATCAAATGCAAATATATTTGTTTGTTTAATCCAGTAACTACTCGTGGAAATATTTATCTTACACTATTGATAAACTCGGTCGAATTGAAGGTTGATTTTAATAATATGAAAAATATTCATGCCAATCTAATTAAGTCGAATAAAAAATGTATACAAACCTAATCTAAAGCCCAGAGTCCTTTTTTGGTGAAATTTTATGAGATTAAATTGTTAAAATGACAAACAAACTAAACTAGACAAACATAGTCCAAAATTTAAGTCAATTATTTTAATATAAAAATGATTTTGATTAAAACTTTAAACAGGCTTTTTTACGGATAAACCTGCGGATTCTCATATGTTTTCCAGATGGCGTTTAATTGAGCCAAAGAGAAAATTTTCCCGCTTAGAAAGCGCCACCTTGTATGAACTCTTTAACCATTCTGCCCGCTGGATGTTTGTGCTTTTATGTGTTTTAATTCAACTCTCGTTATGTTTAAAAAACAATTAATGTCGATTTAGTGAAATCTTCCAGGGTCCAGTTTAATCCATCTTCCCTGAATTGTGTTTAGTCAAATTTTAAATTTGCTTTCCAATGAATCAAGTGTTATCTACATAGAAATTGCGGTTCAAATAGACGACCATTTTGCTACTGTTTTTTTCATTTGGAGCCTCCAAATTGGAGGGATCAAAGATAAACAGCCAAAGAGCAATTATTGTTTTCATTACGTTTTTTTGATGTTGTGTTAATTTTTTGAGTTAAACTGTTCTAGATTTTTTATTCATCTTTACTTGATCTGTTTGATCTCTCCATTGTCTCTGATGTGTCTTGATCTAGAACTGGTAAACAGAATGGAAGCTTTTGATGTAGATACCGTCAATGATGCTCAGATGGAAATTGGTGACAATGGAATTGATGATCCCCCGATGGAAGTGAACGGAAATGGTACCGACGGGCCTAGTGATGTTGACAGTGTCAAGTCTTCAGAAATCACAATTGATCTTAAAGTATCTCGAAAATTCACCACCAGCGAAGTAAAGGAACTTAAAAGAAGGGCCAAAGAAAATAGTTTTAGCTTGTTTGCTGTCGAAGAAGTGTCCACATTGAAAGAAAGATGTTTACAAGAAGGAATTAATGTGGACCCAGCTATGTGGGAAATGTTAAGAGAGGACAATTCTGCAATTAAATACGGAAACAGCAAGAAAAAGAAGAGAAAATCAAATACATGGGAGGTTGAAGCCATTCTCGATGCCAAAAATTTGGCCAGTGCAAAGCCTTTATATTTAATTAAATGGAAAGACTGGGAAGAGGTTTATAATTCTTGGGAACCTTTGGAACATCTTACTGGAGCCAGCTTGTTACTTCGTGAATTCCATCTAGCTCGCAAGGCTGCTAAAAACTCATCTCTTAGTTATGAAACATTCATCAAATTTCGCTCTACCATAGAGAATTTAATTAGTCCATCTTTCGGCGATGAAGCTGTTATCTTGAAGATAACTCAAACGCCACTAACTCATTACCGATACACCAAATCACATTTTAAAAACCTGAAAGACAAGATTCGAGATCTTTGTAGTCCATTGTTGAACTGTTTTGAAAATGGTATCACCGCCAAAAATTATGCAGCCTTAATTGAATGTTTAATCGAAAAGCTTGGGATCAATAGAGAATTTGGAGATTTTACAGGCTTCATTGACTTTATTGAAAAACGTAAAGAAACGCTCAATATTATTCGTAAATGGGAGAAAGAGCTAGTTAAAATAGAAACCTCAGAGTGTGGAGTGCCTGTTCACGTTGAAAATCTTGTTGATCTTGAAGGTCCTCCTCCTAATTTCACTTACATTTCCAAGTGTCAAGCCGATACAAATTTAATATTTATTGAAGAAGATCCTCCATTGTGGTGTGAATGTACTGATGACTGTTACAGTAGTAAGGATAAATGTTGTCCAGCCAATAATGACGCAACTTTTGCTTATACTAAAAATAGTCGCCTTTGGTTACCACCTCGTCGACCAATATTTGAGTGTAATAAAAAATGTAAATGCTCCAAGGATTGTGCAAATCGAGTTATTCAGAAGGGTCGAAAGGTAAATATTTACATCTATCCAATTATATCAATTTCAAAATTTTAGAGAGTGTAAAAAACAGATAATTGCGATCTCCTTCAGAGATATTTCTTGAATTAATTAGTTTTCTTTTTTTTTCTTTACAGCACAGATTAGCTATCTTCAGAACAGATAATGAATGTGGATGGGGAGTCAGAGCTTTATCGACAATACCAAAAGGACAATTTGTAACTGAATATGTCGGAGAAATAATAACAGTTGAAGAAGCTGAGAGGAGAGAAAAAACTTACACTATTGAAGGAAAAAATTATCTTTTTGATCTGGATTTCAATCCGGAAGCCGAAGGGGCATATGTCATTGACGCCTCTCATTATGGCAATATCGCTCATTTTATTAATCATTCTGTAAGTATCAGAGTCAACAAATCTATTTTGAGTACTATCATATTATATTTAATTTGTTAGTGAAAAAAACTAATTATGTTTTGATTTCATTTTCTCAGTGTGATCCCAACCTTGCTGTGTATGCGGCGTGGATTGATAATTATAACACAAATCTGCCTAGAATAGTTTTCTTCTCTAAAAGAAACATTCGTCCTGGAGAAGAATTGACTTTCGATTATCACATGACAGGTAAATGTTTGATATTAAACAGATACAATCGTAACATTCCGGTCCATTTAAATTTTCGAGTTTGCTTAAATCAACTAAATTTTCTTATTTTCAGACGTCGGACCAAAGCAAAGTATAAAACAGCGACTATTAGACCAATTAAAACACAATAAGAACCTGACTGCTGAAGAGAAACAAAAATTCGAATATATGTTGTCCATTAATCTAGTTCATGCATCACCTTCATCATCTTCCACTAAAAACGATTCAGATGATGATGCTGAATCAGTGGCGGCTTCTGAAACCAATCATGACCACTCGGATAACGAAGAAGTTCCTGAAGAAATAGTGAAAGCAATAATGTCTAATGGAGATGGGGAATTGAAAATTCCAACCTTTTCACGACATAACTTTTCAGGTTCATCAAGTCGTATTCTTTGTAAATGTGGCGCTAGTAATTGCAGATTCTATCTGTTCTGAGTGTACTTCCATCATCATCGTCATCATCATTGTTATCTTTTCATCCATTCAACACCCATTTTGAGATGATAAACTGATTGAGTTAATAATCGATCATTCATTACATTGAAAAAACTTTCATCATGTTGATTTACTACTTGCATAAAACCTCATTACAAATTTGATTCCATCTTAAGTACATTTTATAAAGTAATACAACTAGACACCGAAGCTATCTTAATGAAAATAGCGAATCACTTTTCAGTGATTGCAATAGATTACAGTGCAATATCCTCACTTAAAAGTGCTTAAATATCATTAACCGCGATTAAAAAGCGACCTGTTAGTAGAGTCCGCATTTTTGAAGTTTAATTGAAAATCGTTGATTTATTTCATCTATTTTTTAAGAAAATTGGAATAGATACAAGTCTTAAATTGATATTTTTCATTTGATGCATGAAAATATTCCTCTTCTACTGAATAATCTGAGTTCTTGAGTCCAGAAAAAAAATTGCCAAGAGTTTTTATACTATTTTATTCGATAAATTCGTCAAAAATACAAAATGAGAAATTTTTTTGGCCCTATTCTTTAACATTGGTTTTAAGCAAAAATACAGTTTCAGTCCTTGGTACTCTTACGACCTACAAAACGAGAAATTCTTTGGCCCTTTTCTTTAACATTGGTTTTAATCAAAAATACAGTTCCAGTGAGATAATCAATTTCTATTAATTTCAAAAAATGCATGAATAGTGTAAGATGCTAACCACGAATATTCATCTCCATACGACAATTAGATAATCAATTTCTATTAATTGCAAAAATACATGAATAGTGTAAGATGCTAACCACGAATATTCATCTCCATACGACAATTAGATCAAATTTAATAAAACAAAAACCGGGGTGTTGGAAAATCAACTAGAGGTGTTTGAATGATAATAACTTCGAAATTGCTGGGACATTTTTTTTTATTTTTGGTATCATTAGAAAGCTGAAAGTCCAACTTAAAAAGTTCCGTTCATTTTCAAAAAGAAAATTTTAGGTGAAATTTGAAGCAATTTTGGTTAATTTTACTATGGGATGAAAATTCAATAATAGGGACTAACATAATATAATGTTAATTCAAAACTAATAATATATCACGAGTCTGTTTACTTACTTGTTAGTGCGAAAAATATTGAAGCGCAAACAGGTCTAGTCGATTTTCTAACACCCGGTACATGGGTTTGACAAACGTTTTCAAAAGGAGCTCATTTAAAGTCCATTTAAGAGAAGATGCCATATTTAATTAGGCTGCATGATAAATCAAATTAAAGCACATAGTTTTGCGATTAAAATAGTTTTGCGATTAAAATGGTGTATCATTTGTCTCTCTATCACACGCCTAACTCGCTGAAATTGCCAAATCTTCGTGAAGTTGGAAGTTGACATTCTTGAACCAAGATGGCGACTTCTCACCGAGCTATCTCTTCGGCTCAAAAGCACAAAAGCGTCAAAATCTGATTTTGCCTTTCGTCAAAAACCATGCATTTTCAACTTCATACCAAGGTTTTGAATGTCCAAATTTGGCCTCAAAGTTGTTAAAAAGATATAATTCGCCTATTATAACTCAACATAGATCGATTGAAAGGTCCAGGTTACCATTGAAACTAAATTTCATGAACATATATTAGAAAACGATTTTTGATTTGATTTCAGTGAAAATTTTTGATCAAAATCAATGTTATTCAATGGGAGCTGTTAATTTTTCCCATCTTCCAATTAAATTTAAATATCTCAGCAATTAATTGAGATAATCAATTTCTGTTAATTGCAAAAAATGCCTGAATGATGAGAGATGCTAAATACCAATATTCATCTCCATATGACAATTAGATCGAATTCGTCAACAAAACTCGATTACCGTTCAGCGTAAGTCAACTTGATAGATGTTTTTGACGATTGTCTCCATTTAAGGCCATAACTTGACAATTTTTGATCAAAATTGGTTTATCTTTGCCCAACATATTCACGAGAAATGTAACTTTATTTGAAAATTAAATTTTGATTGTAAGTCTAGTCTAACTGTCGCAATTCAATTATGAAAAATTGTTCAAAACATTACTCATCATACGTTACATAATTTGAAATGAAACTAGACAAAAGGACTAGACTTAAAGGCGTCTTTTTCAGACATTTTCAGTTACATCAAACAGTTTACAAACTATGACTTCATTAAGAAAATACCAAAATTGGAAAAAATTGGGTTATCAAACAGTTCTGTCGTTTTTTACCAGTGACTTTGCTTCGATTTTGAATAAGTTGGAAGTATTCAATTGACTCAATAATTTCAGGGATACAAGAAAATTAGTATAAGTGCATCCAGGCCATTTTTCGACTCGATAAGAGTTAATTAACTATGATTAATTAGCTAATCAATATATACTAGATGAAGAAGAAATCTAAAGGTGCCAGAAACTTATTGATATTTTTGATGAAAAAATTAAAATAAAAATTATATCAAGGTCCATATATTACTGAGCAAAATTTGAAACTTCTAATCATAATCATTATTTAATTATTCAAATCGGTGGTTCAAAAAAATGAGTTTTTTGACCATTTTCTATGGGATTTTTCAATAGGATTTTCACTCAAATTCAAAAGTTCAATTGAATAATCAGAATTAATTTAAAATCGAAGCTAAATCATCCGAGAAAAAACGACAGAACTTTTTGTTACCCCTAATAATTGCAAATTTTGTCATCGGCCAATTTGCTATTGCTAATCGGTTATTCAAGGTGTCTATTATTATTAGGTGGAGTCAATCAAAAGTCCCGATCTTCATCCTTGATCACCGATATTTTCAATTTGATTAAATTCGCATAATGATTGGTGATATGCTCATGTTCAGTTAGTTGACCAATAAACTACGATACGACCGTTGGTCAAAAATAAATCAAAAATAAATTTAAAAATTTCAAGTTTCTTTATTTACACTTACACGATCTCAGCTTTTAATTTCAACTCGTTACACCATGAAAATTGCTTTGAATATTGATATTGTCAACGTTTCATGTTTAGATGCATTAATTAATGTTTGTAGTTAATCATGCTAAATAATTCAAAAAGTTTTTCACAAAGGCAAATTCAAAGTTAATTGATTTGCAATCTGCTTATAATTTAAAAATCTATAAATTATTCTAATATGATAGATTCATGTGAAACATATCGTAAATTCATGATAGCAACTTAATAACGGACATTCTTAATGTATTATCATGAAGAGTAACCATTTTTGTCAATATTTACTTACGATAATATTTTGAATGTTATTGCAAAATGAAGGAAAATAACTTGACAATCAGTAAACATGAGATACATTTGACAACAACACAAATCATATTGTTTCAAAGACGATGATAAAAATGATGAGTGCAAGGCAACAAAACACGGGAAACGACCTTCAAGTGCATATTTTGACCTTAACAAATCGATAATAATCATGATGATGAAATAGGAAAATTTGATAACATTAAATCATTCACAATAAAAGGCATTTTCATCATATTTCCATGTTCCCTCCTTTAACCATTCACATAATACACAAATTTGTTAGGCCAACAACAGCAGTTGTAATGATAAACCAATCAATGGAAGAAACACTTTTACTCAATTTTACCTTCGCAACAAGTGGACAACTCAAGTATCTAATATTTAATTTAAACATACGCTACAACAATAAACTTAACGATGATGGTAATTAAAAACAAAGGGAAGAGCCTTTCAACCCAAGGATCGGGGTAAACTTATTGTTGAGCCTCAATTTTTGCTTACCTTTTGTGCTGTTTGGGTACGATAAACCATAGAAACAATTTAATAATAGTAAATCATTCGCAGTTGGTGTTCTCATTGTTTCCATTTCCATTTAATTTCAATCGTTGGTTTATCAATTGAAAACAATTTACTTTCAATTTCAACTCAACAACAAAAAATAATTATTGTACCTCAGCATCATCTATGAGACAAAAAGCAAACCAAAAGCAATTATCCTGAAATTTATTAAATTGTAAAAATTAATATCTAAATAAACGGATTATGATTTTGTATTGTTGATTTATACATTTAACCTGTATTGTGTTGAAGTGTTAATCAGTTGGTCAACTAATAACATTTATATCGATAATGTTGAACCGTAATTGAACTTTGATTGAACAATTTAATTCTGTGGCCAACTGTCAATAAACATTATTTGATGTTGAATTAAGACTGGAATTAAGATCAATAAGTGAGCTTTGTATAATCCTGTTAGTTAATTGAAAAACACAAATTCAGATCAAATTCAATTCCAACCACATTGTTCAATCAAAACTTGTAAGGTTTTAAGATTAAACAATTTTGATCAACTATTGACGGTTTTCATTGAATTTGTTATCTCATAATAAATTGTTATTTCTTGCTAGTAAACAACTCAGTTGATTGAGCTTATTAATTATTGAGAATCAACAATAAATGTAATCAAATGAATAAAATGAAAACATTAGACTCTGGAAAGTCTTTAGGCTTAATAGTGTATTTACTGAGCATGCAAGCCTAATAACATCAAAATTACCTTTGATAATGTCATTACAATTATCTAATTGTTATCGATTAACATTGAATGATCATCCAACATGATGAGATGCATATATTGAACATTGAATAGACAAAAATGACTTTTTCACTTACAATATGCCATAATGTCAGCTTATTTTGTTAATCTGTTGCTGTGAACCTTCAATATCAAGCTCATGGTCTAATATAAATCATTTCATGATTACTAATTAGCTGTTTGTTATTAAATGAAAATATAAAAATGAGTCAACATGAATGATTGTTAAACTAAACTCAATTAATTGATGCTGTTACCATGCGATGATAAACAGGATTGCCAACTTTAATATGTCACCTTCAAAGATGAGCTCAACAACAGTTTAACACTCATTTTTACCCAAACAGAGCCTAATTTTTTCACAATTTAATACTCTAATAACAATTTATGGTAAACCTTGGTCTAAATTGATTAAAATAATCTTCTGTTGGCGATGTAAACAATTGATCAATCAAACATTAGGTCTGTCACCATTGGCGTTAATTTGCATTTCTTGAATATTGATTTTCACATTGAATGAGGCTTTGATGGGATTATTAAACCATTGGCGGTGTCCTTAATTGTGTCTCTAATTGTGGCTGAGAAGGAAATTACATTGATTTGTCAATTTAGTTTAATCAATTGTCTCCATCATCTAATGCGCTATTCCATTGTTAAGGTTTATGGTTTTAACCTTTATCATAACAAATCAAGGTTCATCAGCTGTCTTGTTGGTTATTGCTGTGTATAAAAAAAGGTAAACAGTGAAATAATCATTTACAGCAACCTAATTTTTAGAGTCGATTAACCCAACAATTAATTTTAATGTTTATATCAACATAATCTGGTCAACCTTTGCAGTTAATTTAGTGATTAACAAGCTAATGATAATCATACTCAATGTATATGTATTTTCGTCTTCTGATTAACATTGAACTCACTCAATTTTCAAGTACATCCCATTGTCACCGGAAACAATAGAATCAAGTTAACACACATTTACTTGATTATACAACACAAGTTGATAAACATTCATCAACTTAACCTAATCAACCTCATTTCCAGGTAAGATTTTTGAAGGTTTCAATAGCTGAAGTCGAGTAAGATCCAAGCAATTCCAACAAGTCAGAAACATAAGCACCCAGGCACTTAGCCTAATCAAATAAACATCAGGAAATCGATATCAATTTTCAAATTACATAATTTCAGGAATAAATTAAAGGGTGTTGCGAGTTATTGTCAATTAGCTTACCCGAACGCAGATAAACAATAAAGATGGAAATGTCCAGTGGAAATGTTAAACTTTACTGTTGGTCAGTTTCATAAACAACTGGTAATCTCCATTCGGATAATTGGCAAGAATAGAACGCAACACCCTTTATAATTTATTTAAATTTGTATTTAATAAACAATCAAAAGCAAGCAAAAATTTATCCAAAATTAAAAATTGCCCATCAACCCCATCTCTGGATTATTAAAGAAAGCTATCCTCAAGATGTTTCAGCGTTTTTTTGTTTCTCGTATTTTCTTTGATTGTATATTTAATTAAATGTGAATGGTTTTTACCCATCAAAGGGTTTGTCTCATTTATCTGTTAATCGTATACATTAGCTTCCCTCTGTAAGATTAATTAATTCTTCTATTAGTTCTGCAATTAACTGGTATTTTTTGTATTTTAATGGTCACACACATTCATTATAACCGTTTGACATGGGTACCTGTCGATTCCATTCATTAAATCAACTCATTAATCAATGATCAATGGTAAGTTAGTTGACTTTTCACATCACTTTAATCGTGTTTCTATCATTTCTATTTCCTAATTCAGTTATCAAATTATATTGCAACATAAACACAAACGAAAGAAGAGCTTGACATCAACTTTAAGATACAATTAACCTTTCATCATTGAAAACAATGGACTCTGTTAACAAGGAAAAGCGTCTCATTTTTTCCAACAATATTCCGCTGATCATGAGTTGAGATGTATGATTAAGCTATTGTCATAGTGATTTGAACCGTCTTTGATTTAACCAAATCAATCATGCAACCAATAAGTGGTGTTGATCAATTGTTTAGCACCACAGACCAATGGTTACCCATTGTGTGATTTGTCTCATCATTTAACTTGCCTAAAATTGATGTCTATTATTTCAGGCATGTCTCTGATTTTATGTAAAGGGGCCAATCAATTGTATCAAATTAATGATTACCCCTTTCATTTAATCATTCATCTCATGACTTTCACTCAAAATTAGGGATGAAAAATAAGCCAACAAGGGGCATAAAAGGGAATCTACCATTTTTAATTTTTCTTTGACATTCTTGCTCATATTAATGCTTTTCCCTTTTCTCAACAGTTTCTTTTGTTCTTTTAGTTTATGGTTTGGCGCTTTTTAATATAAATATAATCATGGTGAGCCTTTTTGGTGTGTTACAACTCTAACCAAATGTTCATGTTGTTTTCATGTTAACCAGGTATTTGATTGATCTAAACTATTGTCTAGAGAAAGAATCTAATGAGTTTCTTGTTTCGTCTCTTTATTTAGCCATCCCACAAACAGTTTACATTGTCTTGTATTCACCTCTATGGAAAAAAGGAAATTATTATTTTCATTTGATCATTATTCATGATTGTTTGCCTGAATAACTAGCATCATTATGGAGATAAAGATGAATCTGGGAAGTACCGTGTTTTAAATGCCTTTGTGTCGAATGGAGTTTCATGAATTAGAACCAGAACTGGAGGAAAGCAACACAAACAGAAAAGACACTGAAAGCAAAGTGCAAAAAATTTAATTAGCTACCATTCTAGTTGGAATGTGTATTATTTGCTGGAAACCTTGAAAAATATGTGAGTATATGAATGATTAGCATTGTCATCCATAGTAAAATAGTCACAATTGTCAGCTTGAATGTTGCAAAAATGCTGATGAGTGTGTTCAAAAGTAGCCTCATAGCGGCCACTTTAATGTGTTGTTATTTTATATAGATTCACAATTTCATATGATTTTAACCACAGAGCAAGCATTAATATTTGTTTCAAGCTCATGGTTTCTCGTTCAAGATGAAACTTCAAAAGTAATTGGAATCATCTTATCTCATATGAACAACTCAGATGACAACCATTGAATCTTCAATTTGTTTTCCATTATTTTCATCGTTCAATTTTGCCTGCAATCATATAACTATTTTAGCTTACATAATAATTGCCATTACGACAGTCGAATCAACTCACAAAATTTTGCTCAATTCTAGTAAATTACTAGGTTCGTTAACAGACTCGTTAACATTGAGATTATGATTATTGACGATTTTTTAAATTGTACCATATTGTATTGGAAAAGTTCTGAGAAAATTGTTATTGATAAATCTATTCAAAGAGGAAAATCTCCGAAGTAAAAATCTAAATTAACAGTCATCATATTTGTATAAATTTTGCCTATTCTTAAGTTATTCAGCTGATTGTCAGCTTTTCATTGTGAATACAACCGTCATAATATGCATAAGTTTATTGGAAGCTATTATAATGACAATCTTTTCCTCTATCAGTTAAAAATTCACTGAATTACCGACATTTTAAAGAAACTGAAGCCAGTTATTGCCTTTTATGGTGCTTTATCAACTCTCAGACAAGATGACTTTCCTAAAATTGACAGTTGAAATGATTGCTAATTAAATTTCTGGTGTAACACCAAAGTGAAAGTTAACCTTTCATCTCGACCTTAATAAATCAAATAACGATATTAATTTGATTATCTTCTCTTTCTTTTCCAGCTATTGATTGCAATCCAATATCCTGATGGAATACAAAAGTATGATGGTTAATCATGATATGCAAAGATCTCAATGAATCTCGTCAAAATTGCGGAAGCTTTAATCATCAACTAAACCATCTGTACAGCTTATTTCCAATTCATTGTAATCACCATTATCATCATCAAATGAATTTGAGATCAAAATTTAGACCAAAACACGTAAAATATCGGGAAAAGGAGAGTTAAACTGATACCAGGATGTTCAGTGAAAACAGCACAATCAACATTAGAGAGAAATTGAAAAGATAATCAACATTTCGCTGATGAAAAGCCTACTTTTACTCAGTGAGATGAGGATGATGATAGCGATGAGCGATGATAGTTATGATGATCAACAACATTATTAGGATAAAGATTACCATTATCAGCATTGATTGGCAACAATAGCTAGTCAAAACAGTAGTGAAAAAAGCAGTAGTTTGAAAGTCAATTAACTAATTCTTTTGTTACAACAAGTATCCTGAATTGATTTAGTGATTCCCTGTAATCCGTCAGCGATAACCCATTAATGAACGATAAACCATGAAAACTCGAAAAAATTCGTCTATTGATAATTTCGATTGTATTATTTTCATTGCCTTAAACTATACTAGGTGTCCCAAAAGTCACGCAAGAAATGAAAACTACCTGTTTGTAAATCATGAGCCAAAGCAGATTTTACACTTAATTGTAACCAAACTCAATTGTGCTTTCATCTCAGTCCAATGTACTGTGACTCGTTAAACGTTAAAACGATCCCTTCATTGTCAATATTAACATAAACCGTTAAACATAATCGAACAAAAATAAAAGTAAATTGAACAATTGGACTTAAAATCGGTTGATGTTCAATCAAAATGTGTTAACCTTATGGTATTCAAATAACTAAAAAATAGCCACAAAAGAAGCAAAATATGCAAAAGAGAGTAAAATAGAAGTTACTAGAAGATCGCAAAATAGCAATGAATCAAACATTTGAATTGACAATAATAAATGTGAACAAATGAAAAACAACTCAGCAAAAACAAGCTCAAAGCAACATTGAAAATAAGCTTATTGACTACAATCATGAGAAACAATTAAACTTAATTTTATTTGGATTAACAAAGAAGCTGAAAATTAAAGCTGCTCGATGCTCTTCCATGTTGGTAATCAGTCTTAGCTTGGCAAGCTTAACTATTAATATTTAGTACATAAAAATTCAGAAAATGTTTAAATTGGAATTAAAAATTACAATAAACCTTCCGACTTTGTTTGATTCAATTTCTTCCCTGCTTCCATATCAGCCCTCTAAAGGGGTCCAAATGTTAAGCTTAAGTTGAACCCAATCGAACGGAAACACTGTCTTCCCCACTAGATCGAAACATCTACTCTTGCCATTCATCTGATGTGTTTTGTTCGTGTTTCAATGTCATCCTTAGCTGTATTGAGCTCGAAAATTATAATGAGAAGAGTTGACATTTATTCATGCATGATTTTCTTAGCACCTTTGATTCAGAAAAATGATATATTTTCAAAGGAAAACAGAATATCACTTTTCAGATTTACTTTTACATTCATTTCTGTCAAATCACTCAAACTTATTTCCAAGAAGTTCGCAAGTCCTGTTTCTAGTACTCACCTTATGACAGTTTAGACACAAAAAGGCGAAATTGAAAAAACTGAATGAACCATTGGATTGGGAATTTAAATTTTACAAAGATGACATAAAATTAACTGTAATCTTAAATTTTGTTTTATAAATAATCAAATATGAGAAACGGAATGTAACTGGCCTGAACAATAGACAGAGATGCGAGAAAAGCAGAGACAGACTAAGTGACAGAGAAACCGTCTGTTTCTTTGAAGTGGCAAAAACCAATGATTATCAGTGACGCCAGTGAATAACCTTTTAAAATATTTGCTTAATATTTGGTTACAATCAGGTGTCTAGTCCAGTTCTCGAAGTGACCATCATCTTAAACATCATTATCATTATCAAAATGATCTCTATCAATAATTAATCCACTGTAAAATAACTTTAGCCAACCTTTACACCTCTACCCTAAGGCCACTCTACTTATGTACATTTTGGTGTATATTTAACCTCACAACAAGAACGCATTTTATGATTGATTGTGTTCTCGTTGATTCAATTACAATCATTTTAAATAATTGGTTTACCACAGATTCCTGAAATACCTAGACCTAAATCACATCTTTACCTTCACTCTGTATTCCCATTCAACCTCTGCTCATCAAAATTACCAGTTTTGTCCTTCCATCAAAAAAACCGTTTAACTTGCGAATCTCCATAAATAGTTAACTGTTATCGAAAACAAAATTGACGTCTTAATGTGTATGCAATTGATTCACTTTGATTGTTTCAATAAATTAACCATTCTTCTATTATTATGTATTGTATTATAAAATAAGAAACAGACGATTTGATGTAACCATAAGGGAAACAGCAGGAAGGTGACGAACGTAGGATTTCAATGAAAGAATAGTTAATTTGAATAATTTATTCAATTGGTATATTTCCGAATGTCAGAGGATCACTTTTTTTCATGTTCATTTGTTACAATAACACTAACTATCAATGATTCAGAAATAGAGACAAAAAATCCCATAGAAGTTGAACAGCTCAATGCATGGTGGTTATGCAGAGTATTATGCAAACAGAATGGATAACAATAAGAAAAGCGAAGGTGAAGAGTGTGAAATTAATCAAATCAACATGAACATTTCACCGGGAAGTCCATTTTCATTAGGAACTTTCCACCAAAACTCAGCAACCTTGAACACAACTCTTTGATCAATCTTTAGTCTTTCAACTTTTAAAAATCATCATTTTTCATCCAATGACATTACACGAAATGATCAATGAACATTATGCTTTGCATCTTAATTGTCATTAAACATGCTTCAAATGAAAGTCTAAAATTCATTGTCTTTAATTGATTATCACCAGAACCATCCTGGCGAATGAACTGAAGAGACTTTGAACCGAACACTGACCTGTCGAAAGCCATTAATAATGATTTCAGCAGAAAGAAAAGAGACTTGACTTGTCAGATGAATTTCACCGATTCAAGAACTTCTAAAATCTCGAACATTTCAGTCTCACTCTTCTCTGTCTATTTGAGTGTCTCTTCCCTTTACTCTCCCTTTCATCCTCTCATCCTCACCTACTCCCTTTACCTTGCCAGTAACTCACTTCAATCTCTCTCTCCGCCTTTCTTCCCCTTTTGTCTTCCTATTTTGGCTCTTTCTTTTCGCTGTGACACCTTTAAAGTTTGCAAAAAGAGACTAAACTAAGAGAGTGAGCGCGTGAGACTGGATGAGAGAGTGAAGTACATTTGTTTGCACTCTCTTTGCATCTCTCCCTCAGTTCAGTTGAAGCAATTGAATCGATATTGTAATAGTTAGTAAAGTAAATCTGATCATAAAAGTAAAAAGCTTGCAACCTCATTAATCAATTATCATCTTCATCAAAATCTTGGCATTTTTTCCTACTTCTTTGCCATTCCAAGAAATTGAGGAATCAAGAGAAGGAAAGAAAGAAAAAAATTAAACTTCCAAAGATGATAATTGTCTCTCCCTGTCTCTGAATATCCTCATTTCCATGGGCCTTTTAACCTCTAGTGAGTCTATTTCTGACTTTACTTTATCCAAAGACGATCAACTGTCAACTTTATTCAATTTTGTTTTCGTTTTTTTTCATCAACAGTGTTAACCATCGATAGTTGTTATTGACTCTTTGGTGTATTCAATCTTCAACCTGTTAACCTCTTGAACAACCTTAAACTTGATTCACTGTATACCATGAAATACCGGGACCACGATTTAAGTTTATCAGCATCACGGATACGATTAAACAGCAAGCCGACATCAAACCAATTGGAAATGTGTTCAATTGTCAACAACAGTTATCCTGCACATTTAACTGTTACACACAACATGATGAACAACGCGACAAACAATAACGCTATTAATAACAATAATAACAATCAAGGTTCTCGTGGACAATCACCTTTATTATTGGATGAAGATGGTGTTGATTTGAAAAGAAAGTTAACCAAATTATCATCTAAAAGTGATAAAAGTTTAGATTCAATGAGTGAAGAAGGAATTGGTTCAATTGATGGTGAAATAGTATCTTGTTGTTCATCCCTTTCATGTTCATCAACATCAGTTGCAGGCATTGAGACAAGCAGCAGCTCATTTGGCTATGGGTCACTTCAGACCAGTTCAGCGTCACCCTCACCAAGATCTGTGACACCCTCATCCAGACCCGAGTCACGCAATGAACTTATCAATGGTTATGTTTCCAGGAAAGGTTACAATTCCCCTGAAATAGTGAGCCCACTGTCCAAGCAGCAACAGCCAAGCGTCCATGAAAACAGTTCAAGTGAAAGTGTTCAATTGAAACTGGAAACTGTGAAAGACAAACCAATGCATGGTAAAGTTGAGACAATCAAAAAAGGTAAAAGCAAAAAGAGTTCAACTTTTCCCTCAACAAGCAGTTCCTATCGTGAATCCAGTGTCTCTAATAAATGGGAGCAAAGTAAATTATCGTCTGAAGATAACCATGGTTGGACTCGACCAAAGGTCAATACCAGGTAAATGTTCACTTTTTTAACTCTAACCTTTTCGCAGACCGGTTATAATCCGCCAACTTTCATCCACCTTTTATCTTCTTCTTAATCTTTTTTACCTTTTTTCTTTCTTCCACTTTCAAGTTTCACCTTTTCACTTTTCACTTCCACTTTTCACTCTTCATCTTCCTCTTCCTTCCACATATGGTTATCCGATACTTTTACTCACAGCATTTACATGTAACATGTTATTCAATACATGAGACTTTCATTTCAAGTAGATTCACTTATTAACTGGATTTATGCAGTTTTAAATTAACTCTAGTTTCAATGGTAACCCAATATGAAGTTATCCTCAACCCAATGACTTTTTTTTACCATCTTAAAAGGGTTTAAACCCAAAACCAGAAGTTTACATTTGAAAACCTAAAAAATGATTTAAGTGTTTAAAGGCTAAAAATTAAACAGATTATTCTTGTTTTTGGATTAACTCAATTCAAAATCTGAATCTTTTAAAAGTCTCTCATATTTTGGGTAAAAGTAAACCATTTACAGTAAAAAAAAACAATTCAATTTTTACTAATACAACCATAAATAACATATAATGTTAGCTGAATCATTTCTCAACCTAATCAACTATCACTAATATATTTATAGCAATTGTAATTAAATTTTAACAGTTTATAATTGAACATATTGTTGTTATAATTAATATCATTTATATTAATAGATTGAACCCAATTTTAACAGAAAAGGTAATTCAATAGCTAACATTATTATCCTAAAACAAATTAGTCTAATCAACTTTTTTGCCCAATTTGATGATAAAAGTGACTTTAATGTTTGCTTTCGGTCAATATATTTAATTATAAAACGATGAGACGATTAATTATTGAATAAATTAAATCACTTAAAGCCATTGTCTGTTGAAATCAATTTCCAATTACAATTAATCAAGTTGATCATCATTTAATCAAAAGTAATGTTGTAGTCATGTTAATGTTAACAAGAAAGCATCATTTATCATCTAATTGCTAACATTACTCTTTACATCATCCATTGTCAGTTAATTGTAAGGCGATCTCTTGTTAGTGTCACAAATGCAAAATGATGATTATGTGAAGCTAATCAATTGAACCAAATTGTAATTTCAAATTGATTAACATTCATCCTTAACCCATCATTTGCATGGCAAAGTATCAATGAAAAAGCAACTAACGGTAACTTTTCAGCTTTTTTAAATTTTCATCTCAACAGTTTACCCAATTTAGCTAATTGCTTATGGTAGTCTCTATGTGTTAGTGATTACAATTTCCTGATTCAGATGATCCCCGATCATATGGCAAAAACCCATGATCTCATTCATTTACACTTATTAACCTGAAAATGTGAATTGCTTAACTGAACAATTATTTTTCAACAAATGTTCAATGTTTATCATCAACCATCAACCAGAATCCGTTCAACAGACATCACCATTATACCAGCTCTTTAAAGCAATGAGACAGCCATTCTCATGTCCTGGTTAGTTTAAATTGATTTGATTGTACAATTTACAGTTTCTCTTTTAATCAACACAAAATGAGAAACCATTCTGATGATGATGATGATGGTTTTTTTTCACCTTCTTTCTACCTTTCAAAGTAATATTAATTTACAATCAGCAAACCATTGAAACGTTTTCATTAGCAGATTGTAAAAACACACACACTTTCATGTCTACATTGCAAAAGGGAAGAGACAAAAAAGCCTTTTCAACCTTTTCTTTTCACCTGAAAAATGTTCATTTTTTTCTTCTTCTTCTTCTTCTTCTTCTTTCGGCCATATTCTGACTCAATTTTCATTATAACTTGATGTTGATTCCATCTAATATTGTGGCGTTTTTATTTGTTTGCACACTTTGCTTTCATTGTACTACATTTAAGGTTTACATCATGAAAGGTCAGGTTAAAAACTAAGGTGGAAAGTTCATGATTAAAGTGATTTTCATCAAGACTAGGCAAGGTTTGATGATCTTCCTAAGGTGAACAGTTGATTGACTACTTGCATTAATCACCAAGGACTTTGGATTATTATTACAAGCAAGGTTGAATCACAATTTAAAAATTAATTGCTAAAGTTGTTCAAATTAAACTAAATGATGTTATTCAAATGATGATTAACCATTAATCGAGTATTGTTCAATAAGCAAACTCTGTTGAACATTTACATGAATACATACTAATCAAGTCTTCTGAGTCAACAGCTTACCAACCTTGAGCCTTTTACAAATGTTAACTTTTGTAATTAAATTAAATTACAACTTGATGATAATCAACTGCCAATGGGTTATTCAATATTGAAACTTGAAACAAATTTTTTCCATTGTCTTCGACTCTGTTGATCGCAAAGTGTTTTAAACACACAATCAAATGAGATAATCAGCTAAATTAACTAAACACTTGGTTAACAATCTTTGTTTAGTTTTATTGTTTAAACAATGTTCAATTCAAGTTCAATCCATCTCAATGGATAAGCTTTCAATGAACAAAATGTTAACAGTTAGTCAAAGATGATCCCAACTTGATCAACTGAAATTAAAATTAGAAACAATTAGATTCCAAAATAGATTTACCGAAAATTTCAATTTCTCATCATTTTAATAATCATTTCTGAATATTAATAGTAAAGTCTAATAATAGTCAAATCTATCAAACAATAAAATTGATCAAATTCAAGTTTTGCCAAAAAAACGCTTAAATCTTAGTCGACTCTTGATATTGAATATGAACCAAGGTTAATGACAATTGAATAATATCATTATTTGGTTCCTTTTTTGTCACAAAAATAGCAATTAATTTCAGGTTATTTATGACTATTATCATTGAGTATCAATATACGATGGGAAACTTGATTTGACAGTTTCCTCCTTTCAGCAAACATTTTCAAACTTAATTGTAATCATTTGTCAACTTATTATGATTGATATTTGTAAATCATTTTCCATGTTTTCACTGTAAATCAAGGCAATTTAAGGTTGATTACCATTAGGTGTGAGTGTTTATTTTGCACTCATCTTGATCATCATCACCAAGGACAATTTAACTTGATCAACAAACGCAATTAACAGTCGTAAACATTTTCCACTATTGGTTTATTAATAGTACAAATCACTTTACATTTGAAAAACATTTTAATCGCCAAAATGGTTAATAACAAGTTGATCGCAAATTTTGATGCAAAATTAATCAATTATAACAATTCAATAAACTCGGTAAATCATTGATTCCACCATCATTAGCATTCTGACAATTTTTAGACAGAAACTGATCTTTTAATGATTCTTGCCATTCTCATTATTCGTTTTCATTTTGAAATTTCCATCTTTTCTTGATTTCGATCAACTTTTAAAAAATCATTTTCTAATTTGATTGTCTCTCTATTTCAGTAACGCAAACGAAGTGATTAGGACGATCCTGGCTCAGCCGATGAGTTCATTGGAAAAAGATTTGCTTCTTTGCCCTGGTTCAAGGATTCCACTTCGTCGATACACTTCTGAACTCAATTTGAGTTCATCTGTTTCTGGTTTTTATACTTCATGTACAAGCTTTCCAAGCAAAGGTTTAATCGATTCGGATTATAATAATCTGACAAATTCGCGTCTTTCCTCAAAAAATTTATCCCAATCCAAGCAATCGTTATCTTCCTTTGCCTCATCTTCCTCACCCTCCTGCTCTTCTTCACCTTCACCTCCTCCTCCTCCCTTTGCACCCTCAACTTGCTTACATTCCTCTTCCTTGGCCAACCGTCGACGTAACTCTGACCTTGATCTAGATCAGTTGGGTAGACTGAATGATGGATGGCTTGACGATTGGACATCAGCAACATGTAAACTCTGGTCTAAAAACACTACTAACAGCAATCGTCCACTCGATTCAACCCCATCCTCATCGACCACATCCTCCTGTTCATCTTGCTCTCACGCTTGTGACCACCATTCAGATGATGGTTACTCTTCATCATCTTCACCAGGCGGTTCATTCGGCCGTGAATCAGGCTCAGTAAGTCTATACGAGCTGAAGAAGCTTCGCCAAAGGAATTACCAAAGGAAACGTAAAAATCAAATTTTATGGTCACCATCAACCCGATCCAGATTATTGGTTCAAATAATTAAATTAAACAATCCAATATCGGTTGCCATGCAATTAACCGCCATCGATAAAGATCTCTATCTTCAAATAAGGCCAACCGAGATGTCAGCTCTGTTACTTGGAAGGCTCAAAAAATTTGTAAGTAAACCCAATAAACCGATCCAACCCTTGCAAGTAAACCGTAAAACCAAATGAAAAGGAAACCAGAAAAACCAAAGAAATTTCCTTTCCCTTAAAACCTTTGCAAAAAGTCAATTAAGAATCACCATTTTAAGGCCAAATTGGACACTTTTTTAAAGGCACAATCTGCCAAGAAAATGTTTACTGCTTTTTTACCTCCAAAACTCTACCTCTTTAGCAAGTGTTTGTACATTTCACGACTGATCTAATGCTGATTATCATCCTTACCGATAATGTATCATTATATTACAATTTACATGAAAAACAAGGAAGGAAAATGGTTAAAAATGAATTAAAAAAATCAACAACAAAAGGCAACATCGAAAGTATTGCAATTACAAAAAACAAGGAAAGAGTTGTAAGTGTAAATTATAAAGACAGGTCACTAAGTATTGAAACAAAAAAGATTGTCAACAATCATTGTTAACTTTCAGTTGCTGCTTAAATTGATTGTTACATGAATTAACAGAGTAAACATTTGATCATTCCTCTCAACCCTTTCAGTGTTTCTCTGAATCCTTCAATCGACCTTAAGATTTCAATCATCTGTTGGTCAAAGATATTCCCATTGACAAGATCAAATCAATAAATCAAGTCTAGCAAGGTTGACACGGAAAAACATTGAATACACTTAAATAGAATCAACAAAAGCGAATCAAATTGGTCTTTGATTTAGCAAATTAATTTCCCTTTTAACTGGTTCAGTCCATTTACATATAAGTGTAACTGATTGTAACCCGAAGTAAACATTATCTGGTCATTTCACTGAAAAGTGTTACAATTTGTTTGCTGCCCAAAGCTTAATTTTAGTTTTTGATTAGCAATTAGATTCTTATTTAAATTAACCAATTGATAATTTACATTAAATTGCTTACTTCTCACCTCAACCTTTACTTGAATTGAAACAATTAACTGACGATGTTACAGGAACTGATTAACATCCTTATTTGATTTGTTCATTTTTTCGACTCACAATTAGTTAATTGTCTTTTTTTCTGTTGCCAATCAAATTTGACTGGAATCAGGAAACTAAATGTTAAATATACTTCATATTAGGAATCTTTAATCATCAATTAATCTTTACTTCAATCAATCAAAAGATTGAGAGAATCAAAAATTTAATACAAATTTGTTGATTTTAATTGCAAATTTACAATTAAAATCTCAACATTCACAAGCCATTCAATGATTAATGATCTCAAATCTAAGTCAATATTTCAATGTTAAAACATTAAACCATTTTACCAATCAATCTGGTTGAGGCATTTGCAACAATTAAAACAATAGACTTTTCCCATTAAATTAATATCCAATTGAGTTGATTATGATTAGGTCAAGGTTATCATTAATTGATCCCTCTTCATTCAAATCGACCTGATTCTGGACCAAATTGTGTCTTCAGTAATTATTTGAACAAATTGAGACAAAATTTGATACTCTTTACCAGTTATGATAATCGGGTGGGAACATTAACCCAAACACCAGTTTTCATTATAACCCGATGATCATCTTAATTATCATTTAACATGATTCAAGTTATTTTCAGTTAATTGCAATTACCTGATAACATCATAGCCATTGTCATAAACTTTAATCGTTGCTCTAAGAGGATTTGAAAGGTAACAATTGATTTCAAACCTTGTAATTCAACAAAATGATTGCTATTTAAATAGCAATGATTTAATATTACTTGAAGTTTTTCATTTAATTTACATTGTTTCCAATGTTTTTTCATTGTCAATTGTTTAGCTCGCCATTTAGTGACAACAGAATCTCTTGAATCGCCTGTTGATTCATTAATATCTTTTCAGCTTTTCACAAATTTCCATTGAATTTGTCATCTCTCGCCATTCCAGGATAACCATCATTAGTAATACCATCATGATAATAATTTGGTGAAAATCAATGAGATAAAATGGAAATGCAAAAAACCCTCAAAAATAATTTAGACCAAAAACAATGTTATCAAATGAGGCCAAGGTTGGTTCAGGATAAAATGAAGTGTAAATCAATTTCCACCATTTTAAGATGAAATAGTTATTCAAACTATCGCTGAACCAATGAATTAATCAAGTAAAATGGCGAGAGAAAAAAATGATTCCATTTTCTTGAGTAAAAAAAAAGTGAAAAAAAATCTCTTCCGTTTGCTATTGTTGTAAATATCAGCTTCAATCTTTAAGTTCAACAATGAATGTTGAAACATTTACAGCAATATTTTCACAATTTAATAATCACTTTTTTGTCGCTTATGATTTGGTTTCACTAATTTACACAATTAACGGTTTAAATACAAATATAAGGCAAAAAAACATGTAAAATAACAGCAACACATCGACACCAACAAGTCAATCAGTAAATTATTGAAACCAGTCATCTAGAAAATTAAGTTTCAAGTTGATTTGAAAAAAATAGTTATTAATACAATTGGAGTTTAGTTTATATTTTAAATAATCAAAACCTTTGGAACCTTTCATCTCACCCATTCAATCTGAAGACCAATTACAATTAGAATAGTCGGACAATTGAATCAACTTTCGACTTTCATTTCAAGTTGATTAAATCTCAACAATTAACTTTCAACTTTCGCAATTTTACATTAAACATTTTTAATGAAAGTAGACTGTTTAGTCTTGATGGAACCGATAATTTGATTAGTAAATTATTTTGCATAACCACATTGATTAAGGAAGAAATTGAAATTCTGTATTTAGAGTTACCCATTTGATTATTGATTATCCAACCATTACCAACAATTAAGTTAATTTTAATCAACTTCAAACTCAAACTCAAACCATTCACACTGATGGCTGATAAAAGTAAACCCAGATCTGATTGTGCCTTTCATCGCCAATGCAAAACATTAATCATGAAAATTGTGGGCTAAATCAACTTCAATTGTGCCCTGAGAGTGAATCCAGTTTGGACTCAACTATACCAGTTGCACCTAATAGTCAATATTAAACACCTTCAAGGTTAACATCTGATTATCATCTTGATCATCATTTAATTGACAAATGAAGCAAAGGTTGATGACGCTCAGTTGATATTGAATACTTGTTCATTATCAATACGATTACCCTGAATGTTGTTATTAAAAGCAAGTGTAAAAATGTACAAAACTAAATATAATGTAAAGATTGATTTTGCGTTTCTTACCCTTGATTGGTGTTAATGTGATTCTTTAATTAAAAGACGAACTGCAAAAACTTGATTTTCCCTTGCATCCAATTTAACCCTTTTTCTTGCTCAATCCTCACAATTTGCTAATTTTTTTTCTTCTTCTTCTTTTCATGATTCAATATCTCTCAGGATTCTGATGATCTCAATGGTGTACGAACTCTGTTAGAGTTTAGTGAGCAAGTTAAGAAACTGGTTTGCTCAGTGATTAACCGGGAAACAAGCTCAGAATCACAGGCTCGCAAGATTGCAGCCTTCATTGAGGTAAGAATTGAATAAATCCTTGAACTAGAAACGCCAAATTACCAAATCAACCAGAGAAAAATGGTAAAGAATTTTTCAGATAACATTCAATGTTTAACAACAAGTAAAAGTGTCTTATCATGGTAATTGATTCAATTTTCATATTCAATCTGTACCATTGTTTATGTTTAACTTCCTGAATAACTTAACCTTTTCCAGTTTCTTTTTTTTTATGTAATTTTATTTCAAGCTTTTTCACTGAAAAACTGATTGATTGATTCAGTAATGAACACATATTCAGGTCTATCGTTGTTCATTGTGATTGACCTTCCGTTTATCTTTATTTTTATACTTATTTGAATCATTTTTGGGTTTACTTTTTTACATTTTTCAAGGTACAAACTAAAATTAATGTTTTCAATTTTTCTCTTCCTTATTCAATTGCACTTTTCCCATTACATTGATCACCTTTTCATTTCTTCTCGTTCGTTTCTCTCACTATTACCTAATAATTGAAGGTTAATTTCATGATAACATTGACTCAACATTCAATGTATATTGATTTTGATGAGACTCTTGATTTTCTTCAGTTACAATGTTTACATCATCCCATTGATTCACTGGTTTCATCTGACTCGGGCAACTTCAATTGTCTCAATCTATTCAATTATCAATTATCATTTGTCCAACATTAGCTAATCATTTATTGTGGATCAATCAATCAATCATTCCGAGTGTTCAGTCAACTTGTTTGTTTTAATGTTTAAGATTGGCCAATTTAACCAATATCATTGCTAACCATTACAATGATTGCATTTTCAATAGCCTTGATCATCATTGACATCCAAAATTATACAATGGTCTAATAAAGTGTCATAACAATTATGATTAAATTGATTTGGTTGCAATAATAGTTCATCAATATTATCAATCGACTGTCAATATTTACCAAAGAGCAAACACTAATCTAATCTTGTTCTTGTTAAGGTTGCCTGTGTTTTAAGGAAGCTGAGGAATTGGCATTCCCTGGAAGCGATAATCAAAGCATTGCAATCACCATCAGTCTATTTTCTTGAAACGGCTTGGACTCAAACCAAGGAACAATTTCCCATTCATTTCAGGTAAGGTCACAAACACAATCGGTACATCAAAATACATCAAAAGCACGATACTCTTAGCAATTGACGTTACATTATAAGCCGAACACGAGAAAAAGGTCGAAATTGAAAGTTTATCGAAATGAGTTTTGTCGAAGTGAATTTAAGTCGTAAGTCATTTGCAAGATTGAGAAGCAATTCCGTGTGTCAGTTATCTTTTGAATTTTAGATATGAGTTCAGATGCTATTCGGCCTCACTTTGCTGGTGACTTTGACTGCACGCTATCAACAGATTATTTTACGATTAATTAATTTACTTTTCCACTTTGAAATGGTTCATTTTGAAAGGTAATATAATTGTCGCTCATTTGCTCCTAATATTGTCAACTGTGAAAGGTTGACAGGCTTTACAAGTTCAATAAACATTATCATTGAGACAATAAACAGTTACGAGCTTTTCTGTGTTTAATGATGATTATTTAGGTGAGTTTAGTTTGTTTTTGATTCTAATAAAAGCACAGGATCGAGGATCTTGAAGGTTAATTAATTATTTCCTATTGTTGACAATTAACTTGGAGGTTGATGCATTGATTGACACTGTCTGAGCAGTTAAACCTATTCAACAGTTGAAAACAAAAAGTCATTGAATGTGATTTTTGGATGAAAGTATTAAAACGTTTCATCGTTAATTGTTTGTGTTAACCATTGCATTGAGAGTGAAACAATAATGGAAGCAATTGAACACACAGTTAATCAGACGAAGGTTTCATTGTGAATCAACCAGAATTGGGTTTATTATTGATAAAAGGACGACAATTAATTTCCGTCTTTAATCGAAGGATATTTTTATAACTTTTAAATTCACTTAAATCCGGATCACCAAATGGCTAGCATTTAATCTCAATGGAGTTAATGAAACTCGAAAGAGGAAAAAGGATTGACTTTTTTGTCCATTAGTGTCATTAGTCAAGAAGTATCAATTATTATCATTTAATTATTAAAAGCCATTCCTGAATCCGGATATTTGTCGAGGTTGACAATTGATTTACCTTTGTCTTGGTTAATGTTGAACGGATAAAGTGTCAATTAGACAATTAGTTGATTCGGTTAACCCTTCAATTTGCTCAATATTTGCTCATTCACCTGTTGATCACTGATTATATTGATTTTTCATTCTTAACCTGTCATTAAATCACTGTTCAATCTCACTTAACTACATGTAATTTGATTAGTATTCAATATCTTTTGTCTTCACAACCAACATTAACTTTATGATTGTAGTGAAAATAGTAATAACAGTTTGCTCATGATAAGGTCTTAAACAAATGTCTTCACAGGATCAACGATAATAACAATTTTGTCAATTGTTGTATCGTGATGATTTACGAACAATTATCATAACTGATTTAAAGTTCACCAATTTGCATTTTATAATACAAATGATGGTTAACATTTTGAAGATTAAAGTGTTAACCAGAAAAAAAAGAGCCAAAAATTGAATACAAAACCTTGAACTTCAATTAGCCATTCCATAATGATTAAGGTGCACAATCAAATTACAGTAATGATGATTTAATATTAGCAACTTGATTCTGTGCTGACCCAAGAGACCAAGCTATTAAAATGGTAATTATCTTTAGACTGTCAAATTGATTGTTAACTGTTAGTGTCTGTGAGATGAGATTATCATCAGGAAATTGTACCGATTCTCAATAATAATCATGATTCTGATGAGGTTAAACAGCAAATTCACGGCCTTTCAAGGCTATCCAATTCACAATGAGCTTTACTTGATAAACTTGCTTCTCCATATTGTTCACATCATCAACATAAACATGATTAAATTGAGATTCGAGTGATTAATGAAACATTTGGTAACAATTAGTAAATGTACATTTCCATCCTTTTACCCATTCAAATGAACCAAACCTTGACAATGAAAAGGATTTGCTGATTTAATCTTCAAAATAAGGATTTAATTCAAATGTTGTTTTTTTGTTGTCAATTGAAAGTCACTGATTGTTTTCAAGTTGATGAATCAAGAATCAGAAATAATGAAAAAATTGTTGATATTAATGTTTTGACAGAATGAAAATCAATTGTTGATTAATGAAACACTTTACAAACCTGAAAATAATTGTGATCAAATTTCAGGCCATTCAAGCTATTACATGATTGACCTTTTTTTAGGTTCAGGGTAACATATTTGACTAAGATTGTAATTGTTTTTGATCAGGCAAATGAATTGATTAAACTGTTTAACTAATGTAAAGAGAACCCGAAAAAAACTGTTCATTTGAAAGGTTATTTGCTCAAATTAATTATGATAATGGTTAAAGCAATCATAATAGTGATTGGGAAAAAAAGGGTTTAAACGATTGTGTCCATTTTTAATACTTTGACCAGTTTAACGATGAAATGAGTTTACAGCGATTAACAGCAACAAAAAAAACAATAAATTATTAATTGTCATTCAATTTAAACGGTTGGTTAGTTTGTTTGAACAGTAAACAGCCTTAAAACATGAAAAGGTAAACTGATTAAATGGTGACAAAAAGAGTTATTGATGACAAAATGATTGTATGAGATTAAATGAGTGAAGAGTAAAAAATTATAACTCAACTGACCATTGATCAAGTTCATTTAGATTGGCCAGAATGCTTGAATGTAATGAATTGGGTCGGCTTGTGCTAATTATGGATGTCAGTTGCAATTATCGGTGCAATTTTGTTGTTATGATGATCTTGCTTTTGATCAAACCGTAACTAATAATCACTTTTTTGTTTGTCATTCAGTGATTTTCTCAGGTTGACATCACTGGTTAATCTTTGCGACAATTATATCCTTCGAATGTCTCCGTCCAAACCATCGATTCCTAATTTCCGAAATCTGGTTCATTTCTTGGAGATTCAATGTGCAGCCAAGTTTGATTTATGTGAAAATAAGCCTAAATGGATTGAACCGCCAAGCATTGCAGGTAAAGTCTTTCTTGTTACTTAAACAGCTGTGATTCTAATGTTATCTCTTTACTTTCCTTTGTTCAGGTTGGCTAAACAATGAGCTAGTCCAAGACATTCGGGCTTCGATTGGGTTAACATCAATCAATTCAAATAACGATGATTTGGTGGTGGCCACTCTTGACCCCAGCAAGACAACTTTAATACCCGGTAATGAACCAGTGAGATTCATTGTCCCATCGACCCTTCCACTTCCATGGATCAATTGTGAGCCTCGGTCAATATCATCAGCCCATCGAAATTCAGTCACCTTTTATGTGTTAACAGCTTTTGAAGAGGAACTGCGAAATATACGGCGATTTAAGATGCGAAGGAATCCCATTTAGATTGAAATGGCCTCGGATCAGATGGCATAACAGTTCAACTATCAAAATCAATTTTATGTTAAACCTTTTTTTTATGAGAATGTATTGTTGTTAGAATTGTATTTAATGTCTCAATTGGTTGAATGTATTGTTTCAACAGCATTCCATTATTCACAAACAAAGCCTTTAGACGAGAGTTGCATTGTAATCAAGGAAATTTCACAAAATTAATGAAAATGGTTACGACGATAATATTTGATGAGAATTTAAAATTTTATCCTGATCAATCAACTAAATGCGGGTCCAGCGTGCAAAATTCATTTTAATTGAAGTCAAGTTCATATTCAATTCAATTTTAACACTTACAAAGTTACTGTTACGAAGTTTCCAATTGAATTTTATTGATTCTAATGTCTCAGGGAAACAAATGGGTTTAAAGCCGCCGAACTGAAAAACCTTTGAAAGTGCTTTAGGAGTCGCCATCTATTAGCCACATTTTTAAGCTTGCCATTAAGTCTTATAATGCATCGATAGATGGCATTGTATTACTTTATTTAAGCAACAATTTAAAAGATTGAATTTACAAGTTGAGTTATTTAACTGAAATTATTTGAAACTAAATTTTAACTTAACTTGAGTTTAAATTTTTAGAAAGATCTTTTCAAACATGGATTTTCATACCTAAATACTACTTTCAAGAAAGATGGAATCGTTAAACTTGGGATTCGGATTTCGTTCTAATCACTCGTGCAAAGTTTATTATTAATAACTATCACTTCATCCATGGTTACTTGATTAATTTCAGCTTTCTTTCTGCAAGTAAACCATGTTTTGAGTCTACTATTCAGCAAATCCTTTTTGATTAAAACATGAATCTCACAAAAGGATTTGAAAATTTTGTGTAACCTCAGAATTTCTTCATTTCATTAAAAAACAACTGACAATAGTTATCTTCTAGTTCATTAATTGTCTGCGCGAAGCGAAGACACTTAACTTAAATGAATTCACGTTTATTTTGTTCAACGATTACTCAAAAATTATAATCACGATTTGACGAGATTTTCAAAATAGGTTCTTATAGGGGTCAATTTACTATATAGTTTTTGGCCCAGTCCCAAAATTTGGGACATTTTATACCAATTGAGGGCACCAACAACGAAAATCAGCTCCAAATTAAAGAAGTGTTTTGACTTTGGTGGGTTTGTAAGAGCATATAAATTGAGTCCATCAGTGTTATTCAATAGTTTATCCGGTCGATAATTTTCGAGAAAATCGTGGTCAAAGTTAAAACTTCGATAACCTTTTTATCGACGAGAAATAGGTTTTAGCTCTCTAACTCTTACGGACTAAGAAAGTGGAAAGTTAACTAAAATCAACTGATTTGTAGAAAGTTGTTTTTGATTTGATTGAAATTGATTTTTATAAGGAACACAATGAAAACACAACAAGTAAGAGTGTTTGAATCAGCATAAATTATTTGAGTTTTATGTAATACTAGAAGTCAATTTTGATAACTAATTGAAGACAGAACTATAGCTGAAAATTGAGTATCCCATGAATTAAAGTAATTGCCTAGCTATGATGCAAAAAGTTATTTGTTATGATGAAATAATCTCAATTAATGCCAAATATCTTGAAACAAATCTAAAGATTCAAAATTTCAATTCGATTATTGAGAGTTTTAAGATTCGACCAATAACAGTTTTATTTTAATTTGAGATTCGAAAAATTAAAAATAATTTATACAGCCAGGATATTACAGAGTAACGAAAATAGCTTTAAAATAAAGCTGTAATATGAAGATATTTTCACCGAAAGTCAAACAAAAATTTCTAATTAATTGCACCATTAATTTGATTGTACATGTTGACTTTTGTTTGGACGGTTCGTAACAACAGTGTAAAAACAATGAAAGTTTCTTTTGGTTGATACAATTCATTGTTGAATGGATGCTTGTTAGTTGTATGTGATGCAAGCCTTTAAAGCTAAGGTTAATCGCTAATTACGCCAAGAATAACAATCAGATTGTGTTAAGTTATGCTTTGATCTTCTTTTCTCCATCCAACCAAGGTCTAGAAATAGGAAGAGTTGATGGATAATGAGTTCCTTTGCGTCTTGGAAGAGTTCCATCCTTGTTACGTAAAGGATAAGTTGCCAGCATGATGGGAAGTTGCAATTTAATTGGTTTACATCCTTTACCATCGATTACAAACTAAATAAAATAATAAAGAAATTAAAGGTAAATAAATTGAATTTCAATTTTGGATCATTGGCATAGATATTCAAACCATGGAGGAAGATCTGCTAAAACCTAAAACGTCTTGTTAAATGAACATCAAATCAAAACAACGGACTATGTTCAACTTAAAATAGATGTATTTTTTGTAAGCTGATATTCATTTACTTCGAGACGATCAAAAGGCTCGAGTAAACTTGATCAAATCAGAGTGTATTCCTCAATGCGTTAGTTTCTCATGATTTAACTTTTAAAAGGTGTTGCCACTACCATATACGTACATAAACATCATATTGAATTTTAATTAGATGACATCCACGGAGATTTGTTGGTGGCAAGGGTGGAATGTAAAGCAGTTCCCCTCTCCATTGATCAGAAGCTTTTGGAACTATTTTTCCTCTTTCAAGTGATGCCAGTTCCCTTGATTCGGAATGAGCAAGTTTATTCTTGACCGTGTATTGGATAGTCTGTTGTGATGCGAGGATAAATCGGAAAGAAAAGAAAAGAAGGCGTTTGAGATTAGATTTGCATAAAAATATCCATTGAAAGAGATTAAAGGGAAATGAAAAGCATGAAGATTGACAAAAGTATTGAGAGACATAGAGCGAGAGATAAGGTAAAGATTACAGAAGAAACAGACATTTACATTGATCGTGAGAGAGTAACTGAAAAGAAGAAGAAAAAGGATGAAAAATAGAGGATAAAAAAAGGAAAAAATAAGCAAATTGAAGCATAAGGAGAGGGAAGAGTAAAGCAAAGAAAAGGTCAGATAAATAAATAAAAGAGTGAAACTGACCTCGGTGAGAATGGCTTTGGTCCTTTTTATTGTTACTTTACTATTGTTCTCAATGTGAGCATAGATTTTTATACTTTCTCCAGGCACATAGCCTCCACGGTCAAGACGAACTCGACAACTGACCGTTCCCCTTGTAATACAGTTGATACCAATTTTCTCTTCAACTTCACAATGAAAAGGTTGCTGTATTTTGGTAAAAAGAAGAAGCAAAAACAGAGAAATAGAAGGAAGAAAAGAAGAGAAAAAAAAGTAAGATGAATAACAATGACAAATGAAAGAGCCAAGAAGAAAAGGAAGAAAAGAAGAAGAAAAATATATTCGTATTAGTTTCATTATTCATTCTCTTATGTGAAACAGCATTGATCGTTTGCAAGTTTAACTTTAGCCCTCTATTTTTGCTGTTCAGTCCAATGGTAAAATGAGTTGAAAAAAGCGGACGATAAGAAATGACAAATAAAGATGTGAGAAACAGTCATAGATCACATTTACAATATAAAGAGTTGTTTACTTTGATAGGAAAACCTTTTCATACCTGCTTTACAGCGTTTCAGTCGACTAATGTAAAACTTTTATAATGCCAATCCCTAAGCATATTCAGAGTAAAGAACATCAGTTTTGAACAAAAAGAACCACGGAAAACAAAATTGGGAACATCAACAATAAGACTAGGTAAAGGTCATTAGGAAACAAGTTCAACATTGAAAAGGAAAAAGGAAAAGGAAAAAAATAGTTGCCTAGTTCAAGATGAATTTTTAAATTTACCTTTTTTAAACTAGGAAATCAACAATTTAAAAAGACTGTAACTGTGGTTGAAAATTGCAATTGTAGGTGAGATAGAGCAGACCATTTAAAGGCTACATATTACCAAATTATTTTCAAATTTGACCTAACCAAGCCTTCTGGTTTGAATAAACAATGAATTACAAATGAAGATAATTTAAAGACTAATTGGGTAAAATATAAAAACTCTGACAATATTTGGCTCTTTTAAAGGCTACAATTGCCTAATTTTAACCGGTTCAATTGTGATATTGAGGTCCAGTGTTACAAAGCAAATGGTTAACATGTATACCTCCTAATCACCATCAATAATCATAATAATGATATTGATTAAATGGGAATAATGTGATGATAGTAGCAATAAAAATAATAATGATGACGATGAACTACAACAACACAGGAAGGTGAAAAAGAGAGGGAAAATGTAAAGATGATGAGATGAAGAGTTTAAGGGCTTGGTGGTGATAGAAACCGACAACAAAGCAAGTTTCTTGAAAGCAAGGTAATTATCGTTATACAGAGGAGCGGCGGATGGTTAATGTAAAGATTGAGATCTTACAAGGTCAGTTTAGTGGGACAGAAAACTGATCAGAAAGAAGGAAAAGAAAGAGGAACCTAAATTTTTTGAATGAAGTTTCAAGGAAAAAAGAGGAAGAGGTAGAAAAAGGACGATTTTAAAGAGATGTTTTTCAAAAATGAGTATAATTTAGACACTAAAATTCTGAGCAAAACAGGCCGATTTAACGAAACATATTGCCTGAACCAATTGTTGGTATTGGAATCACTATCTAACTGAAAGGCGGGAGGAAATAGGAAAAGAGAGTTGAAAAAGCTATACAGTTTTAAGCAATCGTTCAATCGGGTTCCTAACATTGTGAGCAAAAACAGCAAATAACTTTCAGCAATAACCAAATAGTATTTGCTTTCTCGCTCAACTAGAGTTAAAATATTGACCTGAAAAAATAACAACACAACACAAACAGCAAATTGGCAACGAAAAGGAAAGAAACCAGATATTTGCAAGATTTTACTCTTGAAACTGTTTTTCAAGTTAAATTGCCTTTTTTTGGAGCTACTATGCTGTAAGAGAGTCAACTTTTTCTTTGACTAGTAGGTGTACGTGTGTTTTGTATTTGCTTGTTGTCTTGATAAGATGAAAGCACTTTGCTCTTGGTGAACAAATCCAGACCAAAACCAGAGCTAAATTTGTTGAACCATGTGGACTCGGTGTTTGAAATTATTGACAATGATTACCGTTAATAAACTTGGTTCCAGATTCAAATCAATTGGATTCATCACGATAAAAACTTGTTGATTTTTGTGAAGTACATTTTGGGGATCCTTAAGAACTGCTTTACAATAATATTGGACCCAACCATGTTTACCTGAAAAAAAATTAAAGTGTTACTAAACAATTCAAAAAAAAATATTCATCTGATCTAACAAAAATTTGAGATTTATATGATTAATGGAGTGAGAATTTAGAGTCAAAGACAATTGTTAAAGAATGCATTTTTGAAAGCTATAAATTCACATCTAATTCAGATAATATTCACAACAAAGTAAGCTGACTTTGAGCTTGAATTTGATTTGAGGTTTAGTTAGAAACTGTAACCATCTATGATTAAAAAGTGCCAATTGAGCGAGTCAAACGTCTATTGATGATATGAAATAAATTCAAAAGCCTAGGTGAATGCTAACCAATTGTCTGTGGCTCTTGTAGTCTCGAGAAAGTAATCAATTTCAATTGATTCAATCATTTATTTTACCTAAAAAAGTTGATGGAAGACCTAAAGGAAGTCCTAATTTGAAGGGGAAAGTGTGGACACCAGGAGACAAGATGAGGATCCGGTTACCAGCTACAGAACCATTAGCAGAGCTTCCAATATCTAAAGAAACAGGAAAAAGAAGACACAAAATTAATTTAGTAATTTGAGTAAGGAAAGGTTTAAAAGTTGAGAAACTACATGGACATTGATGGATATGAATGGACATTGCCGTCCAATGGAGACTAGATGTAAAATAAGGATAATCTTAGGAAAAATGATGAGAAAAAAACGCTTCATGGATATCTTCAGAAGTCATCTTTCAACTGGAAAAGTCACTATCTTTTCCTTTGCTCAAGTTTACTCCAACTTGCTGGATTCTTGGGGTCAATTTTCATGTTTTAGTTGGTAAGCAGCAAGAATAGGAAAATGTAAAAACTAGAAATTTTGACTGATAATGATGAAACAAGACTCGACCAAGAAATTTTCTGGAAAAAAACATTCAACCAGAGCGAAACATTACATAGAGTAAAGAAAGAGCTAAGCTTAACGAAAGCAAAATAACGCCAAATGAAATTTAATCCAATTTATCTGCTCATCCATTTGTTTTCATGGTCTGTGAAAGACAATTTTCAACAGCAACAAAAAAACAGTTGACAATTAAAATGTTTTAGACTCTAGTTGGAGGATTAAATCAAAATTATGGTTTTTAGTGATCCTGAAACTGTGAATTTTGAACCATAGTTAATGGACATGCAATACACACACAAGCAAAAAATAATGAGTTGAAAATAAATAACTAAAAGTATAACCTGAGGTTACTATTGAAAAGCCTCAGGGTAAAATACCATTAGTGAATTTGTTTTTCTCCTTTTCTTTTCAACTCAGAAAGCGAATGCAAAGGCCACAAAAAAAGCGGGAACCAGGAGAAAATTTCAAGACAATAACCATTCATCTTGTTTGGTTTTCATTGGTTGCGCTTTTACTTCATCTCCTCCTTAACTTCAAATTTTAAAATTCAGTTAAAACTAACGAACAAACGTTTCTTTATGATGGACGGAAACGTTGAGGGTGAAAACAAAAATCTTGATTCGGTTTTTTATCGATAATGGGAATAATCTTGATACGCTATATGAGCCGCACGAAGGCTTGATTAACCAAGGTACAATGATAATATATCCAATTTAAATGCTTGATTTAAAGTTTTACAATGAATTTTCTGAGAAAAAAGAAGAAGAAGCAAAAATTAATTCATTGGTGAAGAGGCAAAGAAGAAGCACAAACAGGTCAAAGTTATTAAAATGAGAAGCAATTAAGATAGGAATATTATCATTGTAAGTATAATCATTCTGGTTTAGGATAACATGTTGATTTTAGTCGAACGAAGATGATGATGAATGTCACTGAGTTTGTGTGTGTGTGAAGGAGGAAAAGGAAGGCGAAGATGAAAAGCTGATAACTACCGAAGTGAACACAGCAGATGAAAACAAAAACCAAGAGGGAAAGGTCACAGGTTTCAATCTGCAGTTTGGTTGTTGCTGTTAACAGTCTTGAAATAAGTATTTTGTTTGATGATTGTTTGATGATGTTGGATGAAACGATAGGCGTGTTTACTGTGCCCAAACAACGGATGCCAGCTGATTTTGGAGTTTCAAATTAACGACTGAAGGACATGCTATTAGAGACGCATCAGAGGAGAGAAAATATATTTTTTTGGATTGTTGCTGTTCATCATCATAAACAATAACAGTTTATCGTCTTCACTGGCCTCAAAAGTAAACGAGGTTTCCTCTTCCTTCTAGCAATGTAAATTAATGTAATCAATCTAATCATCATCTATCGTAAGGACATCATCAACATGTGAAAACCGACAGGAAGTTTATCTGGAGAAGAAGAAGAAAGATGAGAGGGAGAGTGAGATTGAGACAAATATACAGAGAGGAAGAGGTAAGGAAGAAACAAATTTTGTAAAGGAAGGTTTTTTAGCTTTTTTAGAATGGAATCGCATCAGGGAGCAATCAATTCATTAGCTAACTCAAATTTTTCAATATCTATGAGCCATTTCTTCATAATTAACTTCCGATTGCTGTTTAATCCCAAGATTTCGTCTGTCTGTTCCTCTCTGTTAGAGAGCAGTCTGAGAACCAAACTTATCGGAAAACCATATAACTGAATCCAATTGCGTTCCAAAAAAACAAGGAAGATAAACTTTGTCTAATTTCTTCATATTTCGTTATCGTTTCTTGCTTGTCTCCTCACTGTTTTGTCTTTTCCATTTTCACCATTTTCTTCAGGTCAGAGTTTAATGGTTGGCTGAATTTAAAGAAAAAAAAGGCCACAAAATGTCTGGAAATGGACTATGCTTAGTTTTTCCTCTTTCTTTCTTCTTTTTAAGGGGGTGACACTCATTTCATTAAAGGATAAAAAAATGATGAAGTTAATGATGAGATGGAAAGCGTGAGTGATGATGGCACTAATAACCTGATTGATGTTGCTGAGTTTATATTTAATCTTCAATTACTTTACCACCAGTTCATTTCAACTTTTCATTTGATATCACATTCCTCAGATAATTAGAGCAGCTAAAAATTGAATGTTGGAAATATTGAAAGTGAAGTGATAACTTGTTGATATCTGTGAATTTGAATGGTCAGAAAATTTTTTTAGCACAGGGAACAGGTTCAAGAACAATTTCAGGCAATTGATTGAATAAACATCATTAGAGTTGACCAAAAGTTGGACGTACATCTTTTTGGCTAACTGTTGTCATTGAAGTTGTCACAGTTTAACTCAAGTGAAGCGAAATAAATAGCAAAAAAACAGCCACTCACACATTCTAATCAAATAAGTCAATTTAACCAACAAAAGATGATAAGTGTGAGCCTTGACAGATTACGCGAGTTAATTCAACAGACTCATTTAACAGGATTGAAAATAAAGGTCAACGTGAGCGTTGTCATCGATAATTTGTGAATCATGATTAGTCTGAAGCAGGAGCAACCCACAGGAGGACCTTGGTAAGAAAAATTGAAATACGCAATACAGTTCTACAGCTACTCAAAAAAAACATTGGAAGCTTAAAATAATTAGTTAGGTAGGATGATAAGAATCTTGAACACCTCAAAATTTGTTCACTACCACAGGGTTATCATAGAGAAGATGAAAATAAGTAATAACAAACAAGTGGGTAAAAAATTGGTTAGCATAATTACGAGATTAATGTTAAAGGATAACAGTAAGTAGCAAAGATTAAAAAATGTTGATGAGGATGAGAAAATAAAGAAGCGGTCAATTGAAGGCCATGAAATAACACATGGAATTTTTGTAGAGAAAGGATTGGGAATCCTTGGGTTCAACTCTAAAGAAAGGATTAAGTGTAGGTTATCATCAACAATTTTACTGCTTTTCGTTTTTTTTAACAAAACATCAACTTGATTGCCTTTTTCAAGATCTTCTTTTCTTACTTCCCTTTCTTTCCATTCCTTTTCTTTCTCTCTCTGCATTCCGTCCATTCTGACAAAAAAATTACTTTCCGGAAATTGGAGGTCAAACTGTCCAGAAAAACTAGAAACTTAAAGAAAAATGTGAAACACAAAGGAAACAATAGAGGTATTACAACTGTAACAACTTTCAGGTAGCTAAAGTTTACAAAAGACAATTTTCTCACCATTTAAAAAAATTCACAAAAAGAATCAACGGAAACAGAAACACCAAGCAACATATTGGTATAATCAACTGTGTTAGAAGCTTTGAGAACTTGTATAATTTTACACCATGTTTGGAGATAAGATCATTAAAATTTAGTTAAAGATTAAACATACCGCTTTTAGTTCCACCGTCACCAAGAAGTCTCATACGAAAATCAATGTAATTTTCTTTATCTGTTTGGATAATTCGTCCTTTGTCAGATAAATTAACAACTCCTTCACCAATTATGTGAAAGTAAAGGCCTAAAGAAAGCAAATAAATTAAAAAATAAAAATTATCATGTTTCAAAGGAAAGATAACATGTTACGTCACAAAAGATAAAACCAAAAGCTATAAAATTGAGATTAACTGGTTGCTTGAAAAAAATGGAAAGATTCAACTATGAACAAGACTAAAGGATATTGATAAAAGAGATAAGATGTCTTCTGATTGGTTATAGATTGAACTTTAATGACTAATGTGAAACAAAAAGAGAGACATACAAAAAGTTATGTCGCCAAGCTGATAATAAAATGGAAAAGGATTATTAACGGTTATGTTGCAACAGATAATTGGAAAGGGTTTACTACTTACCAATGGCTGGTGTAGGTTCTTCCAGTTCCAGTAAAACTTTACCAGAAAGAAAGGATCCAGGAAAATAAAGAAGACTTTCATCGTCTAACAGTATAAGAAATTTTTTCAACTTTTTGGTAGCCATTAAAACAATCTAACTCTACAGTTGAAGCAGAAGATCAGGGAAAAGAAAAATTGGTCGCAAAATACAATTTATGATGTTTCCAACTGTATTGGAGTGTTTTAAAATAAGATGAGATTTTAGAGGGAAAGATAGAGAAATGAAGAGAAAAATGAAGATATTCAAGGTCTTCTCATTCCTTCACAATTTCTCTCCAAATAATTAACCAAAAATGGTAAAACAATTTTTTCTTCAACAATTTTCATCATGAAAAGGTGGATTTCATTAAGAATGTAAGAAAGCAAGTAAGAGAGGTATGAAGGGAAGAGGAGAGAGAGAAAAAGAGAGAGAGATGAAAAGTTGTTCCCGAGTTTAAAATATAAATGAAAGAAACTGAATTAAAGATGTTCCCATTATCGTTTTCCCGATGTATCGATGTAAGCCAAGCTTTTCAGGTTCCTACGTCGAGAGAGAGCGAGAGAGAGAGAATTCAGTCTTCATCATGATTCAGGTTCCAAAAGCAGGATGAGCAAGTTTAGGCGGCAAAAAAGAAAGTTGAATAGACGAAACAGTAAAACTTGAAATCAAAATAAAACTTTGGGAAATTAGGAATTGAGTACATTATGGTAAAAAAATGTACAGATGAACATAAAATGAACCATGACAGGCCGGGACTAGTGCAATATAGTCCAAATAGGGTTAGACAAGTAACAATATATTGACACCACTCCAGGCCTGCTACAGTATCAGCCAGTCAGAATTTGAAACGCAACTAACGAAAACTTGGGTATTAACAGAGATTTATAGATTTGTCAGCAAGACGGAGATGCAAAGGTCTCACTCGTTTGCCTCCCTTAGTCTCCATCTAGCGGATCCAATGTTTCGGGTAAAGGGAAACAACAATTCAACCTTTACCTTTGAATACAATGGAGGTCTTCTTGTTTAGTAAATCGTTTTTTCTTTTAACTTCTAACAACAACTGTAAAGTTTAAAATTTTATTTAAATAGCAACTAGGTTCAAAATTTTTTTTGCTTTCTCTTCTTTTATTGTTAATCTTCATGTTCGTTTCCCAATTTTACTTGATCTCAAAATTGTTGATCTCACTTTGGATCCATGGATAGATGTTTCTCTTAAACTCTTTTTCATGGCTGGAGCCAGGATTTCATTGTTTTCGTAATACTTTTTGTACTTTTTGTTTTATTGCTGTTTTTCGTAGTTTATCTTATTCTTTTCTATCTCTAATTAGGATGTTTTTCTTGACCAGTAACTTGATCTACGTCTTGCACGGCGTCTTGACTTTTTTCGTACACCCAACAACAATAGTCGTAATTGCTCACCAGGATCAAAGCGGGTACCCCGTACAGGATAATACGATTCACAGCCATATTGAGTTTTAGGCATAACTCTATCTCTTCGGACATATTGATATTCCTCAAGAAATTGATATTTATTTTTTAGCCAGCTATTTACGAAGAATGGGCAACGAGCGGGTAAACTTGTTGTATAGTCACAGACTTCATTGACACAAATAAAACCAGCGATGCGAAATATTATTTGATCACCACACTTTGGACAAGATCTTAAAGTACCGAAAGCCATAGCATCAGCGAGAGCATAAATCTTATCGACTCTATCGTCCGACATTGATGATAAATCATAACCATTGTCTTCTAGTAAAGCGTTCAGTTCTGAAGATTTCAATTTCACCAAGTTATCAATGTATGAGTACATGAGATTAGATTGAGAAGCTAACGATTCTTCCAAAGAGGAATAATCATCAGATGAGAATGACAATGATTCACTTGATGAGGCTTCAGCTCCATATTCATTTTTCACAGAAGTCCGCCTATTTTCATTCAATGGAGGTAGCTTTGTGATTAAAACCTGTTGATCAAATCGTTTCAAATCTTCAAAACCTGATATTTCTGGAGCGGATCTATTTGAACCAAAGCCAATTTTCTGTCGACATCGAGCAAAACAATTTATATGGAACCAACGAGGAATTGGAGTACCAATTAGCAACGGTGTATCTGAATTTTCATCATTACGGCCAATACGAACAGAGCCGATAGGAATATTTCTATCACACCAAAGACATGTAGAATAGCCTGAACGAGCATATTCAACCAGAAAACTTGAAATTGGAGCTTGTCTTCTTCTTGAATGATTTTGAACCTTTTGTTCGATCAATTTCTGATCCTCATATCGCATTAAAGTGAAATTTGATATGTCACCAGTTGTTCTGGGTTGAAATTTTTTAAAGAAACAATTGAAATGAAACCAAATTGGTGTGTATCCATCATATCTAGCATCGGCTACTAATCGACCAAGACGAAGTGAATCTTTAGGAATATCTTCTTGACACTCTCGACAACCGGAATAATTACTGCGAGCATAACCAGCGATATAAGGTTGATGAGCACGAAGGTTTATTGGTTCGTGAGATACTTCAACTGAGTGAACAGAAGAACTAGATTTTTGTGAACTGCTTGAAGCTTTCGATGAATCTGAATTATCATCAGACGAATTAGATGACATTGAATTGCTTGGTCACTAGCAAGTACGGATTTATAAATGTTAATTAATACATATATTAATTGATTAAAAAATACTAAAATTGTTCTTATTTGATATCTTATTATGATCTTCACTCAAGAGGATAATAATTTCAAAGAATTTATAATTTTAAACAATTATTAGTTTGTATTGATTGTTGGAAAGTTACAAATGAGTGGAGGATTGAAAAATGAAAATGCAATAAATTGAACTTTAATAGAAAATAAGGAAAAAAAATTTGAAATTCAGAACAAAAAATACCAAAATCATTCAAATGAAAAGTTGTAATAAGATGAACACAAAAGGTTATTTTAAATGTTAATGTTAAATGCTAGAGAGTCGTAAATTTTTAGGAGTAGTCAAAAATTATTGATGGATTTGAAAATAGAGAAAATATCTAAATTGAAGAACTATCTTGACAATATTGAATCTTCTGTCATATTTCATCACGTAGATTAGAACAATTTGTTATCAAACTCCACCATCAAAAGGTATCTTATTTTTAACTGAGAAACATCGTAGACAATAAATTCATTGTAAAGCAATGAAGTATCTTTAACACCGGTCGATACACCAGGTCCGCAAGGCACGACAACATCTCCATCAATGACTTTTTGTTTCTTTGGATCAGGAGCAGTTTTACCAACACCTTTGACACTATGTTTTCCAGCGGGAAGTTCAGAGACAAAATTAGCTTGAGTAAGCTCCCACCTAAAAAAGAAAGTTGAATAAAAATATTAGAAATTAGATGAATGTTGATAAAATTTGATATTAAAACGAAAAGAGAAAAATTGTAAAAATTGAAACTTACATGTCTCCAAGAGCAACTTCACATAAAGCAAGTAAACCGACATTATTGTTAGACTGTGGGTGACAATAATTGGCACTTTTGGTAGCCATATCAGCAAAGTAAATACCTTTACCGAACATGTAACCAGTAACAGGTGCCTCAGGAGGCGCAATTTTGAGACCTTGAGATAGAATACTGGCAAAATTGGTAATACGAGAACCGTGCCAAAGAAGCATTTTGTTGTGAAGATTAGCGTGTTTCTTGTATCTTTCTTCTTCTCCATGTCGGCAGACTTTGAAGGCTTCCATAATTTTAAGTTTACAGGCATGAGTTTTAGCGTGAGTATTTGCTAGATATTCATTGATAACCTTGTACTCAGGTTCATTGGAGTTGAGTACGTTTACATCAGTTTTCAATTGGAGATAATGTTGCTTAATTGGATCATCCGTAACCTTTTCTTGTTTGACAGTTGTCATCAATTCACAGGCAATCTCCATTTCCATTAGTGCATCGAGCATTTCTCTCTTCTTTTCTATTTCTTCTTTGGTTTGGATTACCGGAGGCCTATCAGTATCGAAACTGTGAGGAATCAAAGTGAAAAATCTTTCACTTTGACTAATTAATTTTGCTTTGGACTTTTTAGAATCATCATTAATCAGTTGACTTATTTCAGTGAGAACATTATAAGCTGCCAGAATTTGGTTTTTAGATAATTTACCAAGAGGCATTTTGGTCATATCTAATTCGAATTCTTTCATTTCTTTTTCCATCAACTGGACGTCAAACAGCATCATTACTAGCTTTTGTAATGCTTCGGGTAATTCTGAATGACCCATTTCCATTTTAACACCTTGATTGCCATCGCCTCCATAGCTGATATCCAATGGGTAGTACAAGTTAGCCTTTCGGACCATCTTACGACGCATAGAATAAGGATTACCCGTTTTATCTTGGAAAACTTCTTCAAACTTCAGTCTTGCCTCATTCAAACTGCGGAATGGGTCTACTTTAGATCCACCAATGTCAGTACCTGTTCGACCCCAGGCTGTAAATACCCAGAAACGATTCTTTTTCTTCTCATCTTTTAATAGTTGAAGTTTGTAGTAAGAGTTTTTGTTCGAATGGAAGTCGACTTTGTTCAGGACCTCGGAGAAAATAACGTCATTTTCTTTGTAAACAACTGCAATTCCTTCCAACTCAGATTGAGGATCAACTGCAGCACCATCTTTAATGACAAGCCTCTGTTTCTCTGGAAAAGCTGCTGATTTTGATTTGGATGTGCCACTTCCTATATGATTAAAAAATGTAACCCAATTTAGTTTCAAGTTTAAAGTAAAGCGCAATTAATCTTTAGTTCGCTTTCAAAGATGGGACTCTGAACAAATGCCAAATAATTTCTAATAAATATTTGGATTGTTCAGATCATTTTTCTTGGTATGTTAGTGACCACGAATAGAAAAACTCACGATTCATGGCGGTATGTCATACCAAAAATTCCCAATTAAAGTGAAAAAAGGTATTTACCTGACTTGGACGATTTAACTTTGCTCTTATTGACTAAGTTAGTGTAGCGTTTAGCGACATCTTGAGTTCCCCAATCACACAACGAGTGTTTAACAATAATGGAGGCAACATCATCAACACTGGCTAACTTGATATCATCAATAACTTTCTCGTCAACCAATATAACATTGCAAGATTCAGCTGAACCAACTTTATCAGATTTTTTCTCTATCTCTTTAGTATTGGTAATACCAAATAAAACTGTTCGATCGAAATTGGTGACAACGGTGGCTCCCATTTCAGTGATTGCCTTTTTCAAATCTTTCAAGGGCTTGGATAATTTACCAAAAATAACAATTTTATGCCCATTCAATGGTTTGGAAGGGTCAAGTTGGGGAAGTGATTCGTTTTGATGCCCATTTCCATTTCCAACTTGAAGAGTAACATCAACCGCGTCTACAGGACCTTGAACTTTTGGTATAATTCGAACTCGAGGCTTGTATTTGTAGTTAGCAAGGAAATCGTATGTTTCCTTATAATCAGGAGGAACTTTGAACGCTTTTCGAGCAGGAGTTTTGGTTTCATAAACACATTTGAGACAATCAGAAACCATTCCACTACAAATATATCCAGCGATACGGAAATATAACTGCCCAGTTTTGCATTCAGGACATTTTTCAAGCGCTCCAAAAAGCATTGCATCAGCTAAAACCTCAGCTTTTCGTGTTCTATCTCTAGGAGGATCATATCCATTGTATTCTAGAAGACAGTCAAGTTGAGGAGCCCTGAAGTCTTTGAATTTATCAATGTAAGAATAAAGAAGATCTGACTGTTCTTGGAGAGATTTTTCAAATTTGATTTCAGTTTTGCTCTTTTTAGCTTCAACTTTAACATTGTTTGCATCATCTCCCTTTCGTTTAGTACCCATCTTAGGTATTTTTTTCTTGAGCAATTTTTGATCTTCTGATTCAAGACCATCAAAACCAGGTAATTTTTCACCAGATTCTAAGTAACCTGTTTCTTGGCGTGCAGACACAAAACAATCAACATGGAACCATCTCGGAAGAGGCCGGCCAAGTCTCGCAGAGGCATCTGATTCTTCGTCAATTTTACAAATACGAAGCTCATTGACAGGTATTTTAACTTCACAGAGAACACAAGCAGCTCTACTAGATTTAGAGTACTCAACACTAAAGTCGGAGATGCTGGATGAAACTGCTTTAGGTGAACCAATTTTAGCTTCAATTCGTTTCTGGTCTTCAAACCTTAATGATGCGAAGTGGCCCATATCACCAGTAGATTTTGGACGGCATTTTTCAAAAAAACAATTAAAATGGTACCAGTGAGGAGATACACCATCAAAAGCAGGAACTTTGACCATTTTAGCTAATCGTAATTCATCTTTACCAATTTTTTCTTTGCACCCTTTACAGGCGGCTCGGTTACTTTTAGCATATTCACATTTAAAGGGTTGGTCGACCCTCAGACTTGTAGAAGGTTCGTCGTCCATATTGTTTCAATTCGAAAAGGCAGATAGACAGTGTTTTATTAACTTAAACAAAGGATGCAAACAATATTCTTCAACTTGAAGTAAACACAAGATTCAAACGAAACTAGAATTTCACCAAACAAACATGAGACAGTTTAAAAAGAATCCATTGGTTGCAACTTGCCATTCATAAGCCGGTTATTTCAAATCCATGCTATTTTCGTTTCTAAGGTTGACAAATTTAAATAAAAAGCGCCATCTCTACTTGAATGAAACATGGTTAGCCGGAAAACAGAAACAAAGATAATCTGTTAATCTATAGATGAAAATAAGCTAGTATTTTGAATAAATGGAATACGCCATTAATAATCCTTTAAATCTACTTCTGAAACAATTAGCCTTAAGATTATCGTTTTAGAGGTTCATCCTTGATACAGACCGAATGAAAATCCCTCTGCACTTGCACTTAAAAAGAGGGCTAAATAAGCAATTTATTGACAGGAATATTGTAGTTTACAGGATTTGGATTATTTTTCCACTGAATATTAAGTATTTGAAATTCAATCAACAGGCTGTTTGTATATTATTTCATGAAGTGTTTTCATTCAAAACTTGTAAATTGCTCCGATTTTTTTGATTTTGTAAGAATAACATAGATGGAGCTTGACTTAGCGCCAAACAATTTAGCTGTCATCAGGAATTGAATTTTTACTTCAAGTGCGTTTTTAATTTTATTATTAATCTATTAAATCTTTTTTTGTCGATATTTGGTGATTGTCTTAGTAATTTCATCTGATTAATTTAATTTTTTAATTTTCATGTGGTTTACAATGTGATTTACTGTTTTGGTTGTTGCTTTATCCGTTTGGTGGTGGACTTCAGTTGCTTAGCTACATTTCAACAGCTTTGCCTTCTTCAGATATTTTTTTGTTTTCTTTCATTTGTTGTTGTGATAGATTTTTTTAATAATCATGGCTAATTGGACTCCGAAGGAGGGCAAAAATAGCCATCAACCGTTCCAACCTCGACCACCAATTTATCAAGCAACCGAGTTTGATGGTAAGCGGTTGAGGAAAGCAATTGCCAGGAAAACAGTTGATTATAATTCTTCAATTGTAAATATGCTGGAGAATAGGATTTGGACTAAAAACCATTTAGATAGGAGAGTTATACAGCCTGATTTCGGTTACTATCCCCAATTACTACCTCCCATGTCTTTTGTTGACAATCCTGTCAATTGTGTAACAACCAAATTTGTTCGTACTTCAACAAATAAAATGAGATGTCCAATATTTTGTGTCCTTTGGACTCCTGAAGGTCGCCGTCTGGTTACTGGTGCATCGAGTGGAGAGTTTACCCTTTGGAATGGACTGACTTTTAATTTCGAAACCATTCTGCAAGCTCATGATACTGCTGTTCGGGCTATGGTTTGGTCATCCAATGATATGTGGATGGTTACCGCTGATCAAGGTGGTTATGTAAAATACTGGCAAAGTAATATGAATAATGTAAAAATGTTTCATGCACATGATGATCCAATTAGAGGTGTTTCAATGAGTCCGTCAGGCAATAAATTTGCGACCTGTTCTGATGATGGAACCATTAAGATCTGGGATTTTTTCTCTTGTTGTGAGGATAGAGTTCTTCGAGGCCATGGATCTGACGTTAAAGCAGTTGACTGGCATCCAGAGTATGATCTTATTGTTTCAGGAAGCAAAGATAGTCAGCAGCCAATTAAGTTATGGGATTCCAGAAGCGGAACGAATTTAGCAACTATACATGCTCATAAAAGTACAGTTATGGACGTCAAATGGAATCAAAATGGAAACTGGCTTCTAACTGCATCTAGAGATCATTTAATTAAAATTTTCGACATTCGAAATGTTACCACAGAAATGCAAATTTTCAGGGGCCATAAAAAAGAAGCATGCTGTAAGTTTATTTTTGCGTTGAATTTTTTGTTTTGGATAATTGATTAATCTTTTATTTTCATTTTAGGCTTAGCATGGCATCCAGTCCACGAATCTCTCTTTGCTAGTGGTGGCTCAGACGGTTCTATCCTGTTTTGGCTTGTTGGGTGAGCGAAATCAATTTTTTATCATATTGATAAGATATAGCTTATTTATATTTGACATTTTTTTAATTAATTTCTGCGTATCTATAGAACGGAGAAAGAAGTCGGTGGCATGGAATTAGCTCATGATTCTGTTGTTTGGTCGCTAAGTTGGCATCCTTTAGGACATATTTTAGCATCTGGCTCTAATGACCACACTTGGTAAGTTTTCAATGGCCTGGTAGTTTAATTCTTATTTCCTCTATTAGCTCATCCTATTTTTTAAAAATTTTCCAGCTGATTCGCTTTTTTATTTAATAATACTTACTTAATTTTTTCTTTCGCAGCAAATTTTGGACAAGAAATCGTCCTGGTGATAGAATGGGTGATAAATATAATCTTAATATTATGCCAAAAGGACAAGAAGAAGTTGAATATGAAGATGTTGATGCTTACCCGTCAATTCCTGGTATAACAAGAGGTGATAATGAAGAAGATAATTTCCCAGAAGAAATGATTATGAATAAATCGATTCCCGGGCTTGGTTTACCAGTTGAGTCAAATAACGAAACCAAAACGGATGAAGGCGAAGGTCAACCTAACCAACAGCGTAAAGTTCCCTTCTCCAAGCCTGTTCCTAAAATGTTTGAAAATCAATGGTCTGATCGAAAATCTCATCCTGTGATAGCACCGCCTAATGATATCGATAGACAGTACAATACTGATCATCATCATCATCATATCAATTCAAATTCATCTCAGCAACCTCATCCTCCATCCTCTCAGCCTCCAAATGGTCCCCATCAACCTCCCTACATGCATGGGCCTCCACCATTAGGACCTCCATCTCATCAATATCCTCCTGGTCCACCACCGCATCCAATGGATCATCCCATGGATGGTCACATGGGCTATCCCGGAGGTCCACCACCAGGACATGGTCCTATGCATGGTCCAGGTCCAAGTGGGCCAGGTATGCCTCCTGGTGGACCAATGCCTCCACCTCACATGAGACGAGATGATATGGGTCGTGGAAATGATTATCACTACAACATGCATAATGATCGTTTTCATCATATGCCTCCACCACATTCGATGCCTCCTCATCACCCTAAAGACAAATATTCTCATCGTAATCAACATCCGCCATCTCATTCACCACCGCCCATGGGTGGCCCTATGTACAATGACATGCCTGGTCCTGACTATCATAGACGTGATATGCGTTGGAGGGAGGACGAGTATCGAGGTAGAGATGAAGACTTTAGGAGACATAATTATGAACCAAGAGGTCCTGGTTGTGAACCGCCTTGGAGACGTCCTCCTCCCCCTCCTCCTGATGAATTTCATTGGAGACCCAATTACCCGCCTAACGATGTTAGGTGGAGAAGAGATATGAGAGGTAACCCAAATGATCAAAGATGGGACTGGGATAGATCAGGACCTGAACATCATCGTCAAATTCATCACTGATATTATTAGTTTTGGAAAGTTTAATCAATCTATTAAAATCTAATTTAGATCAAGTTTAAACTGAAACCAAATCTTTAATTAACTTGTAAACAAAAAAGACAAAAGATTTGTTGCGAGTAAATTTTTTGAAATGTAAATTTTTCTACGACAAATGAATATACTCTTTTGTTATTCACATTAAAAGATTTATAAACCAAACTTATTGCTTTCAATTTTAAATTCATTTGTTTATTAGTGTCTTTTCGAGATTAGCATCCAATTGAGATTAATACAAAATCAATATGGGCCAAAATAAAATTCAAACAATGGTTTGTTCACGCTAAAATAAGTAGATACAATATTGATAAAGATATGAAGATGATAGGTTTTCAACCAATGAAAATTGAAAGATTGTGAAGTGCGATTTTAACAAAAATAAAGAGTAATTATTGCAGGGTAGTTGAAGATGATTGAGGTAAAAGTGAAGCACTTCTTGTTGCTCGGCTTGATGAACTTCCAGAGACCACTTCGTGTCCATGAATAAGAAAACCGATTCGTTCTTGTAAAGCTTTAAAAACCTCTTTCTTACAAGTGAAATAAAAGAAAATAAAAGCTCCTTGAAGACCATTGAGTATGATGAAAAGATACCAGAGAAGATTGATTCCGGAGAAAGCTGCAAAAAACCAGAAAATCCATGTTAAGCCCATGAGAGTAGCTAGGCGTACATAAAGCGAGTAACGTTGAGAATTTTCTTGACTTTTTGAATTGACCACTATTCGAGTTGATTGTTTGGTTCGATATAAAAACCAAGTGGTTAAACTGAAAAAGACAACATTAATAACAATAATTGTCGCAACAGGAGCCACAAAAAAGGCTAATAATGATTTACGCTGGCTTATCCAGCATATACGATGACCATACATGGGGCGATAGTCAAAAGGTATATTGGAAAGGTCAAATGAAACAGAAATTAAAACCACTGAGGCTGGAAGTAACCATGAATAGAGTGAATATTTAAGAAAATGGACCATTGAATTGGAAAGGCGTTCATGGGTTCGTTTAAATGACTTCCATGCATCATAAGCCATAACATTCATCCAAGCAAATGATGCCAAGTACCAGTAATGAATGTTAATTGCTGTAATCACGCAGAAAAGAGAGCCCCGAGTATTAGGAACAATATTGTCATCTGATTCATTCAAGGCTGGACGAGCTAAATAGCCACAAATTAAGGCCACATTGGCTGCTAGTAAAGATCCTGATAAACACATAAGCATTCGAGCACGAAGATTACGCAGTTTAGGAACTAAACAAGTCACAGTTAAGTATGCTGTTAACCCCAAAATTGACAGAGCTGAAGTTATTATAGATAGTATTCCCTGTATGTAATTAGAGTACATCGGAGATGAGTAATGAAGACGATGTTCATCATAACAGGTTAAAATTCCTTCAATTTTAGTTCCAGTGACGGAATCTATTTGAGTAAAGTTTTGATACAATCCATGTTCCAGCTGCGTTAAGCGTTCCTTCAATAAAATAGAACCATCAGAGTTTAAAGTGTAATCAGATGATTCGAAAAAGATGCGTAAACAATCAGATCTTAGAGTGGTTCCATCCTTATCTCGTGTTATTGATTCACAGCGTCCTGTTTCAGGGTTAACTGTATAGTTGACATCACAACGAACCGTCATGCAACTTTGACTTGCTGGATTATAAATTTGATATTGAGTAAGTGAACAAGATGAATATGCTGAAACATCAAACAACTGACGAAGAGAAACATAAGTAAATGATGTTGGAGAACGAGCTGGACCAGCCATTTTGTTCAGATCACAATCAAGACGTCTTAAATTAGACTGCGGGACATAATTACAACGGGCACAAAAAGTATTGCGATAAATTGTTTTAGTTGAAGGTAGACCTACAAGAAAGGTATAAGCTGAACATTTGCTTGCTACAATTGGATCAGTCCAATCAGTTGAACATGAATCGATAACAGGTTGACATGAGCGAGTGCCAAATTTACTTCTACTATCATATTGTTCCAATTCTGGGAGTGAAGGTTTACATCTCCATTTATTATCGATAAATAAACCATCATATTGATCATTTCCGAGATCAGGAGCGATAAACTCCCATAATCCAGTTGAATAATTGAAATGTTTCTCATTGATGTAAGGGGTGATATCCAACATTGATGTATTGTGATCACATGTAATTGTCAAGTTCCAATTGTGAAGACTGTCATGATCTAAATTGCAAAAAGCACAAAATAAGTTACGATAGAATATTCCCGATGAGGAACTAAATGCCGGTAGCCATTGAAGAAATGATTTAGGTTCTGAAATGCAAAGATGCTCAATTTCACTTGAACGAAATGATGGTTTACATTGTTTAAAGGCATAGAGTCCATGTAACGAGATCGGCAAGTCTACACAAGACCAAGGCTGACTAGGGCTTGTGGGATCAAAGTTTGATAATTTGAAGGCAGAACTAGCAACTTTATCGATACAACAATCATTAAATTGGACACAATCATCATCACAGTGACAGTTTTCCGGATAAAAATCTGAAGATTCAGAAGTCAATTCTCCTTCTAAAACAGTTTTATTACAAAGGTCACGTCCAGTATTAAAGTGGACCTTACAGAGATTGTAGACACCAATACGACGAGATTCATTTCTCACTTGTTTCCAATCGGATGAAATATCAATCGTTTCAACTATTGAAGATGATGGTGATAATGTAGATACTGATACAGAGATTTTTCCTTGCGTCACTAGAACAATAAAAATAAAAAGTATATTTTGAAGAGTGATGAGTAACTGCATGATTGTTATTGGTGTTTATACAGTGAGAATATAATGATGAATGGAAAAAAACTCTTCAAACTGTTGGGATCTTCCTGTTATGGATAAAAATTTCTACTCAAGTGTTGCTGTTGTTGCCTTAAAAAGGTGTAAATCACTGACAAGTCTCTTTGAAAAAAAGTTGGTCCAACTTGTTGCATTACTTTTGATGGGAAAGATAAAAATAATAAGAAAATGTACACACACAAAAAAAGAGTGAAGAAGATGAAGGATATCCGGCTAATCCAACGATAATTTCCTTGTTTGATGTAACACCGAGATTGTTGATTAAAGTGAGAGTAAATGTTAACATTACAGGGTGGCGAGAAAGTTTATGTGCTTAAGCAACGCCCATTTAATATGCGTAGAAACCAATTTTAATTTGTTTAAATCTATTACTTAACCTGTTCATATTAACCGCTCTTTCATGCGCATATTTATCCCCCTTTTACTTGCCCCTTTCCACATAAACTTTCTCGCCACCCTGTAGATAACCAAAATAGTATGAAATATAGAAATAATTGGAAATCAGTAAATACTGCTGGGTTAGGAGCAAGGAACGTAAGCAAATGGCTAAAAATTTTGGCAATTAATCAAGTAGCTCTGAATCAATTTATCACTAATAAAATTAAGCTGTAAGAGATGAAACATGAAATGGCAATTTGGCGCATTTTAACAAAAATAGTGTTTGTTAAGATAAACAAAAAAAGAGGGAAAAAGAAAGAGTTACTTTTGGTAAAGCTAGTAAACAAATTACTAAAAGTTCAACTTATCCAACAACCATTTTTAAAATGGCGACAGATTGCTTTTTAAGTCTCACGCATTTAACCGCATTTCTTGATGAAGATGAGCATCAGAAATGAGCAGTAATTTTCCAGAGATTTATTAGTTTTATTCAAGTTAATCAGCTGACGGTTGATTGTATTGAATAGCTAAAAAAGAGACAAAACACCAGTTTTATGCTTTAGGAGTTTATGATTTCAACAATGTCACTTTAATGCGAAGTACTGGAAATGGAAATCAGGAAAATAACCAGTTTTCTTTGGTTTAAACTGTGACAAGTGTAAAAAATATCATCTTTTAGGGTAAGTTATGCCTTTTTTTCTTGATTTATCTAATTTAAGATAATTTAATCAAGCCCGAAGAGCAGCGAATAAGATCATGCATGGGAATAGCAGAAGGAAATATTTATTTTCATAGAAATCTTCTCTTTTGAAGTCTAGTAACATTAAATATTTTAATTTAAAAGAAGCTGAATTTACTGAAACGGTCGAATTAATTACCAAGCAACTTTCCTTCTACCATGTAAGATGCCACTAAATCATATGTCAAATTAAATTGTCTATTCTTATAAACAATGTTGATTATTAGTGTTAGCATCAAAATTCGGGTTTGAACCTTTTATTGGACCACTTGAACTGCGAACGGCATTTTATGTGTTATGCGTAACTTGAAACAGCCCATTTGAAATACTGAAATCTGACATTTCTCTCGTATGAATCTTGAAATCCTTATGGAGCTTCTTTGACTAGAGGTTAATAAGGATGAACTCATTCAATTGTTATCCACTTTATTTCAACCCATTTGGTTAACTTGTTTCTTGGTTAGCAAAATGTTGAACAAACCTTACAAAGTTTCACCAATCATGATTTTAGTTTCATGTTAGAATTGATCAACATCTTGAAATGAAACTGATTCTGATTAGAAAATATAAAAGGGCAAAGTTTGATTTTTTACCCCATTCAGCAATTTGATTGGCAAAGGAATCTAAACTGGCTCAATTTAAATGGCCAGTTGATTTGAAATTCAAGACATCATTTTCATGTAAAATATTTGTTTCCCCAATAAAGTGATCTTGATTCCGTCCAATTAAATACCTGAAATTCATATTGTTTTTACGTTAAAAGTACATCTAATACTTAATTGAAACGATTTCTGCTGAAAAGCTTTTTGAAAGTTATTGTATAACACATCTACAGAAACATCGCTAATCAATTATCACTGCTAGATCTTTTAGATTGAATAGCTGCTAATCAAGTTCAGCGACATTTATCAGCAATCTGTGAATATCAGATTACTCTTAAAATGAATTAATAAATGTTGAAATGAAAAAATGAAATTAAACTCAACCAGTTGAAAAGATTGTGAATAGTTAAAACTTGGCTGTAAATCAGCTTCAGAATGAAACTCGTAAATCTCATAATCTTTACATGTTTATTTGCAGCTGTATGGACAAATGAAAGCGGTCAAATATCAGAGACAACTTTGATAGAGCTTGAAGATAACTTCAGACATGCCTCTACTAAGGGTCCATGGGTGCCGGTTCCAGTTGATGATCCAATTATTCAAAAGTACGCCGAGGAAGCCGTTGAAACACGAAATAAAAAGTACGATGGTCATTACAAAAGATTGATGTCTGTTGATGTGGCTAAGAAACAGTTCATTTCTGGATACAGATTTGAAATCGAAATGACCATTCGCGAAACTGAGTGCCATCAAAATGACCCCAAAAAGCATCAATGCCAATTCAATAGCGCTGTGAGTATATTTAACCATTTTTCATTCTTTTTGATCAATCGATCACACTTTAATTTTTTGATTTGTTTACAGCGCGCACCTGAACCAGTTGTCTTCGATGTATGGGTAAACACAAGAAACCAATAGTTTACCTAAATTACACCTCAATTAAAATAGCTCTGAAACACCATGGATCAAGACCTTTTTTCTTGATTTAACAATAAATGCAAGCGACATTAAGATCGAACTTCTGATTGAACTTATTTTTTTCTTTGTATAATGAAAAGTTTTACAAGGAGGCATATATTTTGCATATAACGTGTGTATTATTTGCTGAAAAATAATATTATTCAATAAAATTTAACATTCAATTTGTTTTTCATCTCGCATTTACGTTAAACGTTACGAGTTACGTTTAATAGTGAATTTCAATTTGCATGGCTTACAATATTAACTTTTTAAATCCAAAAATCTGTCTGGTTCTATGAGAATTATAAAATTGAGGTGTTTCCGATGAAAAATTTATTGAGATTGAATCCGATTCAATGTCAATAAATTGTGACGTTTTGTGACGTCACAATAGATTTTTCCGGTGAAATGTTAATTGGATTTACTTCCGGTGACTTTTTTGACCTGTGAATGTTTTTTTCAGCCTTTAGATCATTTTTAGAACAAATTAAGTCCAAAAATTTCGATGTAAATTGATCTGAATCGACTTTTTTGGATCTAGATAACTCGATCCATTTTTCATCGGAAACAACCTTGATGGACAAATCACAGCCCAAATAATCTCGTATTGTGTTGGGGAAAACTTTTTTTTGGTTATTTAGGTTGATGGTTTATTGTTAGACTAGAAATATTTTCAAAACTATCTTTTGAGTAAAGAGTTTGGTTAAAAATTTGGTGTCTCAACTGTACTAAAAGAGACCAAATGAAAAATTTGAAGTCAATTTCATCAGTGATTGTCCACCAGACAAAAGGTAAATCGAGTAAAGATCAAGCGTTAGCTGAATGTTGAACTAATCACACCAAGAATTGATTAGAAATCATTAACTAGCAATACAACCTTTTAGTATCAAAAAATATTTTGATGGATGTTATGGTTAAACGCAACCAATTCAACCTTTGAACCCAATTCTCATCATTTGCATTTTTTTTCTTGCCAATTAGATCAGCATCTTCATCATCACTTGCAACAAAACTATTACAATTCAACAGAGTCATTGATCATCTCAACCAACATTATTATTAATTCATTATTTTTTCCTTTAATACAAAGTACACTTTACATGTATTTCAATGTTAACCAATTGATGCATGTTAAAGTGATAAAACATCATTTAAATCAATTGAAGGACATAATAAATGTCGAAAAATTTAATTATTCACAATCGGATAATGATTAATATTTTAATTCAATGTTCATCTAAATGAACATTGAGTGAGAGAAGACGAATTGAAAAGAAAGAGAAGATTTTTATGTGAAATAAATGATGTAAACTTGTTAAACTGTTATTGATATAATCATTAATACTAGGTCAGCCGTGAGCCGGCGTAGTCTGAGCGAGCGTTTGGACATCAGTCCTTCGATCGTTTTGTCTGTACTAAGCGCTAATAAAAAAGACCTTCGAAAGAAAGAATTTTAGGAATACTTGAAGTTTAGATGGATTTTTTAGCACAAACATTCGCAACTTAAGAAATACTGATGAATGAGATTATTCTTTTTATAAAAAGAACTTCAAAATGCGTTTTGAAAGGTTTGACTTCAAGATAACGAATATTGAATAAAATTTGGTTTTATGCCTATAAACCTAGAACGGCAGTTTATTTTTGAATGTCAGACCTTTCTGCACTGCATCTTGGTCCGACATCTTAAATTTTGTTGACTAGCAACCTCAGTATCACCTCAGATTCGAGAATGTACTGAGGTAGACGGCCTGAATCAAACGCAATCATGATAGTTGAACAAATCGCTATCAAATAGCACTTTATATTGAGCTTTTTTTCGCTAGCTAGAAGATACTCAGTGGCTAAAGTGAATGATAGCTGATTGAGCACTCCCAGCAATTGTTACCCTCATCTTATTGAAAGCCCATGTTATTTCAATCTGGTTGCAAGTTTGTTGACTAGCAACCTCACTATAACCTCGGGTTCGAGAACACGCTGAGGCAGAATAATCGCGTTTATCTCCTTGTTTTTTTCGTTTTTAAATCTCAACCTCATGCTTGAGTACCACTTGAGGTGTACACTTGACGTGCAAATACTTTTGCTGAGATCACTTGGTCAGCTATAATTTGCTTTACCACTGAGTTATTTGCCACTGAGTGACTCTCATCTTATTACAAAAACAATCAATTCTAGCATTGTAGCTCTTTTCACGCGCTTCACACAAAATACACAATAACGAAAACATAAAATTAAAATATTGAAATTGATTTTTAATACAAACCAATTCATTATGCATCATTTATTAATTAAGTATCAAAATATAAATAATAGCAATCTTTGCTACATGTCGGCAGACCATAACGATAATAAATCCTGTCCAAATACTTGTTGAATTTTATCCTATGTTGCCGGTAAAAGTCTGGATCTGAATGTCGAGCCACAATACCTTCAATCCGACTGAGGGCTAAACTATGGCAACGCTTTTAGCGCAAAGTTCTATTCAGTTTCGTATCCTTACATTTCAGTTCATTTAGTTTCCAAGTTAATTTTCGTTCCTTTGAGTTTCTTGAAATGACTGGATTTTGTCTAATTAATCACAGCCTTTATAAAAAACCTGACCTTCTCTGGTTCACCTTAGGATCGCTCTTATCAAGATGTAAAATGTGTAGTTTGCCTCCAGGAAATTTCACCAAGTGCAAGCAATCAGTTCAAACATGGATTGTGTGGAAAACTAGATAACCAAGCTAAGCGCTCGCCAACTAAACGAGCAGCATGGCGATACGACATAATTAATAAATCTTAACATGTTTTAAAAGAGAGGATTTCCAAGGGACTATCCAAACCTTTGCCAATAATCGTGGAGATTTTTTGGTGACAGTCGTGAAATGTGATGACAAAACGCTTGGAATCATAAATTGCCACCGGACGTGTAAAGGATCAAAAGATGAATTCATATATTTAGTGGACGTCTTTTCTGCAGTCGTGCGGCTGCAAACGGGGGGTAAAGACGCTCGAGATATCGAGTGGGACGCAGTTGATGCAATAGCTCTTGCAGGTGATTTCAATTTGAAAAATGTTTATTATGGCAAATCAGTTGACCGCAATTACGATCCAAAGGAGCCGAAAAATAAAATACAAATCTTATTATGTTATTTATTATTCCCTAATTTGGTGCCAAATGAATGGCAAGACAAAAATCGTGGATACGAAATTGATTATTTGTACATCGAAAAATTTCAAATATCTTTATACTGTTGAAATTGCAAAACCAACAAATGTAGCTCACCAATCTGAACATGAACCCTATGAGCAGTTTATTCTCTAGATGGATCGATTGATCCTTGCACCTTTGCAATTGACAACAAAGACGAGTCTTGGGAAGATTTAAAATCACATCTCACACATCTTTTAGGTCTTAATATGAAACTGTTAAAAATTTACCTCAAAATCAAATTTGAATAATCTTATTAAAATAAATTACAATAATTCACCCCATATTTGTTGTGATTTTTTTCGCTTAATTAGATGAAAAAACTGGGCTAAATGACTTTCTATCTATTTGCGATTGACTGCAAATCTTGTTGACTCAAAACTTCAGATTGACTCAGAAAAGAGTACTCCCAGTAATTGTTACTTTCATTTCATGAAAAGCCCATGTTATTTCTATCTGGTTGCATTTTAGTCAGACATCTCAAAGTTTGTTGACTAGCAACCTCAGTATCACCTCGGATTCGAGAATTTACTGAGGTAGACGGCCTAAATCAAACGCAATCATGATAGTTGAACAAATCGCTATCATATAGCACTTTATATTGAGCTTTTTTTCGCTAGCTAGAAGATACTCAGTGGCTAAAGCAAATTATAGCTGACTGAGAACACTCTGCAACCGAAGACATTCTTAGATATTTAAAGTGATTTTGCACGCATATGAGGTAGAGGGTCAAAATAAAATTTAATCATGATAGTTGCACAATTTTCGATCAAATTATTACTAGTGCAATCATTTTATTAATAAAGCAACTAGCAATCGGTTTGGATAAATTAAATTGATTTCAGTTCAATTTAGTAACTTTTGTAATTTCACTTGACTGGCTACCTCAGGTTGTTCTCAGACCCGAGAAAAACCTGAGGCAGAGAATCAAGAAAAATGACTACAAGCTTTTGCGGTCTAAACACCGTTTTATACTGAAATTGAATCTTTTTTCTGATTCAATAACATTCAATCATGATAATTTACCTGTTTGGATAAATTAAATTGATTTAAGTTCAATTTTGTAAGAAAATTCTGATTGAAAATCTATCTTCTACATACTAAGCAACACATTCCTAAGCAAGTATTCAATGTATATATGATTAAACTAATCAATTCAATTTTCAGTTTAGAATTAGTCAACAATTCATATTAAATTGATAGTTTGCTTCTTAATTAATACTTTGAACGCGAAAAAGACTGAGAAAATTGAATACAACTTAATTAAACAGAATTTCTTTTTCTTCCATTTCACTTGACTGGCAACCTCAGATTGTTCTCAGGCCCGAGAAAAACCTGAGGCGGATAATCAAGAAAAATGACTACAAGCTTTTACGGTCTAAACACCGTTTTATACTGAAATTGAATCTTTTTTCTGATTCAATAACATTCAATCATGATAATTCACCTGTTTTGGCAACTCGTAGGAAGAGAAAAAGACACAAGCAATGCTGCGTCGCAAATCTCTTTTATCTAAATAATCCCTATCTGGTTGCGGTTCGGTTCTTCAATTAATATCTATCCTGACGCCTTGGTTAGAGGATCGACTGCCTAAGAAGTAAAAAGCAACAGACAATCGTTGAAAAATTGAATTGCATTTTGAATTTCCTGTTGCTGGCTATTAAGCATATTGGATATGAATTGAACAAATTAAATCACAAAACATTGAAAACAAATTAAACTTTATTGTTTGATTACAAATGTTGATATTAATTATCAATGTTGATAAAAAAGCAATTTTACTGCTCAGTAGCGAATTGTGGAGCTAGTTGTGCTTGAATATCCTTTATTGAATTCTGTAATTCTTGAATCGATAATTCCATTATCTGAATCTGTTTTTGAACCATCATGCTACATTGGCACTGAGACAGCACTTTCGCTTCCGATGGCTCACCCAAACTGCACAAAACGGCTTCCACTGACTGCACCTTCAATAGAAAAATGAAAACGAATTAATACTAATGAATACAAATACTTGAGAAAACTTACTTTCTGAGCCGAGCCAGTTTCACCTTTTTCTTCTGATACGTCTTCATCAGTTGGCTCCTGAATGAGCTGGAGATGGAGATAAAAAAGGCATTAGTAAATCGAAGACTTATCTTCGCATCTAGTAACAAATACTGATATCTGTACAAATAAGAAATAAAATGTGAACTTACCCATTGAGAGGAGACATAATCTTCTTCTGATAGATCTGCATCAATTGGCATTACCTTCTGAGAGGAGACATAATCTTCTTCTGATAGATCTGCATGAATTCGCATAATCTGGAGATGAAAGATTAAAACAGCAATTATTAATAATGAATTAGACATAGAAAGAAGTGCACTTACCCTTTGAGAGGAGACGGATAGTTCTGCTTCTTGACATGAAGCCTTAACATCTAAATTCTGAAAAACATTATTTAGTTAAGATTTTAGTTTTAGATTTTTCTATGGCTTACCTGCTCCGACATCATGAATGCTGATCACTGTAAATCAAATTGAATCAAATATCAATAAAATATCGTTGAAAATTTATTGTATAAGTAAGTAACCTGATCGGAAAAAGTTTGGTATGAATTGTCAAGATGAAATTTTACGATTGGAAGGCAAAGCTGGTTTTTAACCAGTTTCGGTTAACACTACCTTGCCCTACCTCCAGTAGGTAGGGAAAGGCCACAATTGGTTGGTTTTTGCTGGGTCGGCCATTTGTGAGGATGATTTTCTCCCTCACTCCGCATAAAATGGCCGACATTTTTTTGTTTGGTCGTCGTATGGACCAACTGCGGAAGCCCTGGCCAATTGAACTTAGAAATTGATATGCTATTGTCTTTTACCTTTATATTGAGGCGGTAGATAAGGCTTTATTCTAATGGTGATAGGGTGGCGGTATCAACATTTTTATTCGAAATATTTGCCAGAGGCACTGATACAGCGTTAGTAGCGGGGTATTAGGCCTTCCATCCCCTCTGCATACCATTTGGGGGGCTGCCTTGCAGAATATGCTTCAACTTCAGCCTTTAGCTCATCTAGAGACGAAAATCTCCGCCCCCTTACATATCTTTTCAAATTTCTAAAGATTAAAAAGTCGGAGGGAGCCAGTTCAGGAGAATAGGGGGGTGGGCAAGCAAAGCCCATCCTAATTCCTTTATGCGGTCCATAGTTGCAACTGCCTTATGGGGTCTGGCATTATCTTGAAGATAAAGAGTCTTTGTTGAGCCTATACCACACTTTAAACTCCGAATTAAAGAATTCACTTCGACTAAATATTGTCTGTAAACCTCTCCGTTTATGGTGGCACCTTGTTTTATCCAAAAAATTTTAATGATGCCGTCAGAATCCCAGAAGACAGTCGCCATCACTTTTGGGTCACGTCTTTCACTAGTTGGGACTCGAGTCAGTTCTGACCGGTCACTCACCCATTCTAGTGACTCCGATCTGGTCTCTTCTTGATACACGGACAACCAGGTCTCGTCACACGTGAATAGTTTTTGGAAAAACATCTTATGGCTTCTGTTGTAGCACACCAAACCACGTTGAGCAGCTGCCATTCTTTGTTTTTCTTGGTCAGATGTGAGAGTGTGTGGGACAAAGACTGGACCTAACTTATTGAGCCTTAGGTAGTCATGGAGGATATATGAATGGTGGGTTTTGATACACCAAACATCACAGAAAGCTCGTCCAAAGTTGATTTCTTATCTTTTTTAAGTGCAGCCAAGATACGGGGGGCGAGACTTTCATAGTCAATTTCTGGCGGCCTTCCAGTTAAAGTCCTATTACTCATATCCTGTCGACCAATTTTGCACTGGTGATACCAATACTGTATAGTAGGGAGTTCAGGGCATGCAGCCTGGTACGTATTTACCATTTCATCGTGGATCTGGCTGAGTGACCGCCGTTTTTCGTAAAGGATTTTTATCCTGTAGCGTTGTTCTTCGTTAGCCATGGCACTTTTTTGAAGTTAACTGTTGAGAGACTAGCTATTGAGTGGACATGAGTTGGCCCCCTGGGTAAAAAGTTATGGAGAATTCAAAAAAGTGTTGCCATCTAGCGGAGATTTACAGAACTAGGTTAGAATAAAGCTTTATCTACCGCCTCAATACTTATATATATTAAAATTGTTCCAACTAGTGTCGTCCTAAAGTATGTTTTAACCTCTAATAACTAAATTTGATGTATCTTCCTAAACCTGTGTATGTGAACTGAGATGTCTTGGTTTGAAATTGCATCTCTCATCAAATAAGTCTGAGTTCAGAATTTTTATTGCGTGGAAAACTTATTTGAAGTCTACCGAAAAGCTAGTATGGATGAACATTTTGAAATCGTCAATTATCCTGGTCTAAGTAATCAACCTAGTCCTAAACCTTCATTATCAAAATTTTATTACACCTTAGGACTGAAAAAAATGTTACGCAGAACCAGGTTTGGCCTTCATGAGTGAATTTTATATAATATTTATTTTTTAACCTTTGCTTGTATTTATTTTGAGTCTAGAAGGAGATGATACAACTTTGTTCAGAGATATTTTGAGAAAGTTGTATAATGAATTTAAAAATTCAAATCCATTTGAGCAGGTCCTCAATTTTAACTTCAAAATTGGGTAACGTTAATTTACCTGATTGTGGTGATTATGATGATAAAGATGTTAATAAATATGATGCATTTTTCATCATTGTCCATTTTTACCTTTATCTTCATCTCATCAATATATTTGTTGTCATAGCCAGCGCAATAAGATAAGTAAATGTTACTCTTTTGCACTCTTAAACAATACACCCTTTAATATGCATAGTTTGCTCTAAAGAAAGTAATAAAGAGATTAATTAGAACTGATAAAAAAGTCGAAATTAAGATGAAAATGATAAGAAATAATGAACTTAGTAAACCAATTGAAAGCAATGAAAAATCAAGACAAAATTTTGTCTTGAAAATTAAAAAAAGTTGTACTCAGGTAGGTTTAACTATCACTATATCAAGCCCGAAGAGCAGCGAATAAGATCATGCATGGGAATACCAAAAGGAAATATTTATTTTCATAGAAATCTTCTCTTTTGAAGTCTAGTAACATTAAATATTTGAATTTAAAAGAAGCTCAATTTACTAGAAACTGTCGAATTAATTACCAAGCAACTTTCCTTCTACCATGTAAGATGCCACTAAACCATGAGTAAAATTAACGGAATATTTGAAATGCTGAAATCTGACATTTCTCTCGTATGAATCTTGAAATCCTTATGGAGCTTCTTTGACTAGAGGTTAATAAGGATGAACTCATTCAATTGTTATCCACTTTATTTCAACCCATTTGGTTTGCTTGTTTCTTGGTTAGCAAAATGTTGTTCAAACCTTAGTTACCATAACTGCCATTGGAAGTATCATTGGGATTTTGAATTTAACAAGTTTCACCAATCCTGATTTTAGTTTCATGTTTAAATTGATCAACATCTTGAAATGAAACTGATTCTGATTAGAACATAATCCAAGCTTCGACAATTAAGCCTTTTTGTTTCTCGAACTAATCACCTTTACAATTCAAAATTTCAATAGATGTTATATGCATGAGACGAAGAGAGTTTTGCCAAACAAATCTTAATTCAATTTAAATAATTCCTGCTGAAAAGATTTTGAATTGCAAAGTTATTGTAAAACACATCTACAGAAACATCTGTGATCAATTTGTTATCACTGCTAGATCTTTTAGATTGAATAGCTGCTAATCAAGTTCAGCGACATTCATCAACAATCTTTAAATATCCAATTACTCTTGAATAAATGTTGAAATGAAAAATGAAATTATACTCAGCCAGTTGTCAAGATTATGAATAGTTTAAACTTGACTATAAATCAGCTTCAGAATGAAACTCATAATCTTTACATGTTTATTTGCAGCTGTATGGACAAATGAAAGCGGTCAAATATCAGAGACAACTTTGATAGAGTCTGAAGATGACTTCAGACAAGCTCCTGCTAAGAATCTTTTTGGTCCATGGGTGACGGTTCCAGTTGATGATCCGATTATTCAAAAGTACACCGAGCAAGCTCTTGAAAGACAAAATAAAGAGTTCGGTGATCGGTACAAAAGATTGGTGTCAATTAATCAGGCTAAGAGACAGACCCTTTCTGGATACAGATTTGAAATCGAAATGATCATTCGCGAAACTGATTGCAACAAAAATGACCCCAAAAAGCATCAATGCCAATTCAATAGCGCTGTGAGTATATTTAATCATTTTTAATCATCTTTTTCATCAATCGTTTCACACTTTACTTTTTTGATCTGTTTACAGCGAGCACCTGAGCCAGTTGTCTTTGATGTATGGGTAAAAGGAGACTAATAGTTACAAACTTAAAGCGCTAAAGATGAACCTAAAAATTGACTTAAGTTTGGCCCGTTTTTGTTCACTTAACCATTACTGTGATTCATTGTACCTTTATGAGGAGTATTTGCATCTAACGTGTGTATTATTTGCTGAAAAATGAATATTGTTCAATAAAAAAAGATAATTTGTTTTTCATCTTGCATTTCGTTTAATTCAACTTATGCATTTTCACATTAATCAAATTTCCATTCAAACTATGCGTATGGTCTCAATGTAATTGGCATTTCTCGGACATCTCGAATGCTCAGTTAGCTCAACTCAAGAGTTTAACAGCGAATTTGTATTTGGGTGACTTACAATATCAACTTTTTAAATCCAACAATCTGCCTGGTTCTAGGAGAATAATTAAATTGATAGACAAATCATATCCCAAATGTTTCTCATTCCACTGAATCTCATATTGATAGATCAATTTTTTATAAATTGATGCAAATTAATAAGGAACACAAGTTTGATAAACTAAACCACTCTACTTGTTGGATCGGCTGGCTGTTGTGATCCATATTGGCATCAATTTAGTATGCACTGAATTTAAATCCTCTACTACTCATCTTGTTATATTGTCCTAATAGCAAAAGACAAATAAGTTCTGACTGAAAATGGTTATTTAAAATCAAAATACACTTTAAACTAGAAAAGTCAATTCAAGTTGCAGAAGCAAATTAAATATTAATACAATTTTATGCACCTAATTATTGTCTTCGCTCATACCAGGTTGAAAACACCGGATCTCGTCAGATCTCCGAAGTTAAGCAATCTTGGGCCGGAATAGTACTTAGAAGGGTGACCTCTTGGGAACAACCGGTGGTGAAGACTTTTTGCAACAATCATTTTGTTTACTTTTTTTACCGATTGAATTCAAATATTAATAATTCATGTAATAAAACCGATTTTATCTTACATGTTTCGCTTAATCTCTTTTTCTCGGTTCAACAAGTGAGCCAGAAATGGCTTTAGACTAATTTTAAGCACAATGTAAAAAAATTGACCTGCGAACTCAACTAGAAATAACTGAAAACATTATATTCAAGAGTAATCTATTAATTAGCCAATTGAATGAGAAATTAAGTTCGTTCAAAAACATGCAAAAATGAATCCTTTGTTTACAAAAAAAGAGTGGCTTTTGACAATCAAGTTGACACTTGGGTCAAGTATCAAAATAAAGTTTGAAATTAAATTCAAATAATTTGTTATTGGTATTGGTATAAATCATCAATAACCGGTTTGGTGCTTGAGCCATTATGTCACGATATGCGAAATAATGGCCCATTACTTCATTGCTTCATTCTAGTGCATCGATTCTGTGAAAAAATATTGATTGTTCAATAAATACTTATATTGGCATCGAGCATCGTATTGGCTTTTACAAGCGCCAGATGGAGTAGCTAAGATGTTATGTTGTCAAGGAGATTCATTAAGAGTCAAATTTTGTTTTGTAGGTTTTTTTTGTTCAAAATTTTTCATCTTAAGCTCGGTTTCTATTCCCGTTAACTAGTTTTTTACCATCAATTTGATATGAATCGCTTAGGTGACCTAATTAGTTATCAAAAATCTCCAAAAAGTCCATCGTCACCGGCTAATAATTACGAGAATGAAAAAAACCGTAAGTATGATCGTCAATTGCGTATTTGGGGTGACACTGGACAATATCTTATTGAGGGAAGCTCAGTTTGCTTGATTAACGCTAATGCAACTGGAACTGAGATCTTGAAGAACCTCGTTCTTGCTGGTATTGGATCATTTACCATTATCGATGGATCCAAGGTTTCAACTGAAGATGACAATAATTTTTTCTGTGACCCTTCAACTTCTCTTGGTAAATCTCGTGCCTCTGTTAGTTCTCAAATGCTTCTTGAACTTAATCCTGATGTTAGTGGTGATTATATCGAAGAATCAGTTGAAACTTTACTAGAAAGTAATCCATCATTGTTTAAAAATTTCACCACAGTCATAGCAGCTAATGTACATAATGAAAAAACTCTGATTAAGCTATCAGAAATCACATGGGAATACAATATACCCTTAATCCTTGCCTACTCGATCGGATTTGTCGGTCTTATTAGGATTCAAGTTCGTGAACATCCCGTCATTGAGGCTCATCCAGACAATACACTTGAAGACTTGAGATTAGATAGGCCATTCAAAGGTAATATTTATCTGTCTTTGACCTGTAAGGTGCTACTTTGATCCAATCAACTAACCTTTGATTTTTTCCTTTGCAGAGCTCAAGGAATATCTAGAATCCTTCAAAGATTTTGAAACGTACAGTAGATCTGAAGTTGCCCAAATACCCTTTGTTGTAATTATTTACAAATTTCTTAAAGAATGGCAAAAAGCTGGTGGCAAGTCACCTAATTGTATACCCACTACATTCAAAGAGAAAGAAGAAATACGCAAATTAATTAGAGAATGTATGGCTAAAATAAGAAACAATGTCAGGAAAAAAATAGAAGCTGATACAACCGAAATCGTCATCGAAGGTGAAATCGAATTGGACAATTTTGAAGAAGCCATCAGATCGGTCAATACTGTTTTATTGCCGTCAAACAAGATTCCCAGTGATACTTTATATTTACTTAATGATATTTCCGTGGAGAAAGTCATGGAAGGTATGGTTGAAAATTCAAACTTTTGGCTATTAGTTCGAGCTTTGAAATTATTTTTAAATGAAAAAAGTGACGGCTGTTTGCCTGTCAGAGGATCCTTGCCTGATATGACTGCGGACACTACAAATTATGTTAAACTTCAACAAATATATCAAACTAAAGCTAAAGAAGACGCCGAAACCCTCTATAGTTGCCTTACTTCGGTTTGTAGTTCATTAGGAAAATCAATGGACACAATATCAGAAGAACAAGTTAAAACATTTTGTCGCAATACCCATTTTTTGAAGATTATTAGAACCTCGCCGATATGGTCCGAGTATGGCTCAAATCAGGATGACAAGATTTCAATTAAAACGGCAACTAAATTGAGAGAATTAGTGAATTGTGCCGATTTTGACGGAGATGAGAGTGATGACCTGATATTTTACCTGATGTTTCGTTCCATTAGTCGATTTTTTACTCTTTACAATAGATATCCAGGTTATTGTGATGATCTTGTTGAAAGTGATATTTCAACCTTAAAAAGTTGTTTTAAAGATATTATAAATGATCTAGGCTGTGCTAACTTATCGAAAGATGATTTCATTCATGAAATGTCTCGGTATGGAGGAGCTGAGTTACATTCAATTTCTGCATTCATTAGCGGCTGTGCTGCTCAAGAAGCTGTTAAATTTATTACCAAGCAATTTGTCCCTCTTAACAGTATCTTAATTTATAATTCCATGTCATCTAGAACTTCAACTTATCAATGGTGATCAGTTATCGAAAAGAAGGCAAATAAGAAGAAGCGAGTGTTAATGACAAAAGCAATTTGAAAATTTTAATTACATTTGTGTATCTATTAATCCCAGTGAAAATTGACATTAAATACTTTTGATTCTAGCTCTTACATTTACGTATCTCATTAAAAAAATGAACAGCCATTGTCCATTGATACTTGATTCACACGGCGCCAACGTTAACAATCAATGAACAAAAACTAAATCGATAAATAATTAATACCTTTTTTACAGTTGGCATTTAATTTTGTGGTTATAAAAAAAAGTTAATCTCAAACGCATAAACTGTCATCAATCTAGATGTTACAGAAATGGCTAGTCATATGATCGTGAAAATATTGATTGAATTGTACAAATTGTAGATAAAAGAAAATGATGAATTTCAAGGTTAGCTTCGTTTCATGAATTTTGATTCTTGAAGTATAAATCAACAAATGCAGGATTAATAGTGTAAATATTGGTAAATGGTAAAGATTTTAATGTAATAATAATAGTAAAATGAATCACTTCAACAGAGTCAATCTAATTGAATAAAAGTTTAAAACCTTTCATAACAAAGCAAGAGATTTCAGAATCAAGCTCAAAGTTGATTAATCTCATTATTATTAAAAAGCTTGACGTATAGCTGACTTAAGATTTTAACAGCAATAGTGATTCCAATTTGGTGGCCGTCATGACTGAAGTACTAATGATGATTATTTTCCCAAGAAAAGATGATCTCTTATTAACTAATTTAGACTACCATTTGGATCACCAATGATTCTGAGGATAATGTAAGCTCCAGTAAATAATGCTGTACCAAAAAGATCTCCCAATGACATTAAACAGGGAATAGCATTGTTATCAGGATCATATTCGAACTTCCAGAGTAATGGAACTGAAACATGAGCAATGTACAGCAATAAGGCAACTTGGACTAAAGCCACAACCATGAAAGCGAGTAGGAACATTCCAGTTATCCAGATTAATCGTGGTAAAATCAATTTCAAAGCAACAATGTATATTATATGACCAGGAACAACCATTAAAAGTAGAAGACGAGCTGTTTTTGCATTTGGATCTAAAAGGTGCCATTCATTGGTAAAACAGAGAGAAAAGAAAAATTAGAAATTAAATTAACCTTTGAATCAAGATAACGAGAAATAAATGTAATAGGAAAGATACGGAATGGTTATTCGACCTCAACAAAATGGCTTTAATCCTTTTTTTGTTAAATTACAATTGCATTTCTATTGAATTGAATAAGTCAAGTTCAACTTGATTTTTAGCGGATTAGTGTAAAGGTTATTTTTGATGTACAATAGTAAGCTGGTGCACTGTTTATTCATTTAAATTATCACAGTAAGCTGGATTGACTTTTAATGCTGAAGATTGATGATTTATGATATGATTTGATTGATTAATTGATAAATGTATTGATTCATTATTGAATATAGTTTGAATTTTTTACCTCTTCCACTCCGTTTACATTCAGAATCAGATTCTCGTTGCTGCTTATTTTTATGGCTGCAAAATACCAATTCTAATTGGTTTAAACCTTGATTAACAAGTAATACATAGAAAGATTTTCTGTTTATTGTGATTGATTGGTGGGATCAAGATTTAATTAACCTAATAGCTATTTAATTGTTGTAAAGTGCAAATTTGAGAAATTTAGAGGTAATTATACGATTTGGGTTAAAATTTTTGTAGTATTGTATACAAAAACATATCATGTAAAAGATGTATAGTTTTACTAGCATTGATTTACTGTGATTGAAAGCTAAATGTTCAATTCCTGAAAATATTTACCTAAAATTGATAAATAAACTAACTTGAACTGCACTATTTGCATGTTTATTCACGAATTTGAACATTTAAAATATTTACAAACGAACTTGGAAAATTGTCTATTTCTGTGAATTTCCCCAAACCAAAAGATCTCATAAATTGCGAAAAAAGAACCAAGAATTTGAGTTTATTACCTGATCCAAAGAAAGCTCGATGAGGTGGTGTACAAATTTTCATTTTTCCTCCATCTTCAGTAGTTGGGAACTCTCCTAGACAGCTTCGTCGATGGAAATATGTGGATATTCGGCTTGCTTGAACAGCAACCAGATTAGCACCGACGCCGTTAATTATTGGTTGGAAGAGAGCAATTGTTTTGAAATGTACAACTCCATAATCAAAGATGAAACCACCTAAACTGGAAATGATCATAGCCATGATAATGGAAACCCAGCCTTGACCAATGATGGTTCTCGTATATTCATTTGTATAAGCAATCCAAATACAAATAGGTTGAGTGAATATGAAAAAGGCAATAACACTACAGGTTAATTCAAGTGAATAATAGCGATGAAAAGCGTACGCTGAACCGGCAATCAGGCAAACAGCAGTTAAGTCACCAAGAAAGGCAGCAATAAGTGTTGACACATTATCTGGATTAACGTTAGCTTTCCTTGATATAATTACAACAGAAACCATTACGACAGCCAAAAATAAACCAGTTACTGAGGCAGTGACCAACGAGGTAGAGATCAAGATTAAACTTTTGGATAGATCGAAAGTCATTAATTGCAATGAGGTTGAAGCAATGGCAATGGCTGAAGCAAGAAAGGCAACAATCACAGCTTGACATTGAATAAGCGCAATATTGCCAACAGCGACCTTTAATTGTTCACTTAAAAGATCCATTCGGCCCAGGTTAGCTTGAGTAGATAAACGAGCAGCCAGGGTCATCTCAAGATTTCCCTTAAAACCAAGAAAAGAAGCAACCAGTACAAATAAGCCACCAACGGAACGAAAGACTTCCCAAGTTTGAACATAATCGAGTATAAGACCAGCAGCCACATTACCGAAACCGGCAATTAAAAAAGGAATGAAAACCTGAAAAAATATGACTTTTGTAGTTTCATTATCTTCTTCACTTGATCCATCGTCTCCCATTCCCTCTGGACCAAAAAATTTACACAAATCTTGGGAAAATCGACGACTCATGGGATCGCCGAATAATATTGATCGGACGGTTGAATTTTTCCGTCCACTTTCACCATCAACAATTGAACTTCTCTTTGGTCCTATTGAATTTTCTGGACCTGACGCTCGACGCCGATGACCAGTCATTTCAACATCAGAAACTGTGTTTACTGATTCAAAGCTAGATGTACGAAAGTTTCGTGCAAATATCGGGACCGTGTAAACAGAGCCCCAGTTTACGTTGGAACCTTTTCTCGAAGGTTTACTTAAATTAACCATTTCAGGTCTGGGAACAATCGGTAAATCGATTGGATTTGATTTAACCTTTCCATTGGTGTTATTGTTATTGTTATTATCTTCATCTTCACTGTTTTGACCGTAAGGTAATTTAACTGATTCACTTTTAGTCTTATCACAATCATCTGGAGAATCCTCTTCGGTCAATGTAACTGTCTCAAAACGATTTGGTGATGTTGGTGATTCTCTTTGAATTGTGGTTAAACCGTTTTGATGAGAATGTAAACTTTGAATCTGGGAATGTTGATGATGATTTGGATTTGATTCACTTTGGGTTTCAGTTAAATCTAGAGATGATTGGATAAATGATGGATTATCTTTTCCTTTATAATCCATGGTTAAGTAAGTTGAAATTTAAATTTAAAATATGAAAACTAATTGAAACCGGTAAAATTGATTGATTTCAGTGAACATGTAGTTAACAGAAGCTAGACAATATGTTAACACGCAATTGATTAACACTTGATTGGTGAATGTCTTGAGAGCCACTTTGTGAATAATTAGATTTTTAACCAACAGTTTTCACGTTTTCACATATTCTCCTAGAATTTTATGGCTCGTTTTTTCCGATATCTTCATCAACTTTAGCTTGCTCTTTTTGTCGTCTTCTCTTGTAATACCAACTTGTTGAAACAATAGATATGAAATATTTTCAAGGATTTTCTTGCTCTACCAAAGATCAACAAAGGACTGGAATAAAATCAACATAAGGTTTTGGGTCAGTTTTGCATCTTTGCCATGCAAGTCCAAGTGAGAGTTCTGACTTTCCTATGGAAATTATAAGAGGTTAAAATGGCCTTGTGGTGATTATGATTATTGTGACTAGGAATCATAATAATTTGACAGTCCAGATGAGATGTTGAGCTGACTTTGGTTATTTTGATCAATTAAAATTTTTCTTGGTAACTATTGAACTGTAGAAAGAGAATAAATATCAAAAACAAGAGAAGAAAGATGAGAGAGAAAGAGGAAAACTTAAAAATCACAAATAACAATGAAAACAATCAACTCTCTACACAATAGAGAGAATAAAGATGAAGATGAAGATGAAGAAGATAAGGAGAAAAGGTAAACTGAGTTAGATAAAGTTGATAATGTCTTTGGCTCTTGAACAATACCAATGGAAGCTAAAACAAAAACTTGAAGAGTTTTTATGATTTCACGGTAAATAGCAGTGAAACAATAATAAAAACAATAATAAAGACGACTATGATGACAAGAATGATGTGATAACAATTGAATCGACAAATAAACTCATTAAAAAAATTAACAAAGAGACAGGAGAAAGAGAGAAACCCAGTGAAGTTGATGAAGAAGACCCATGTAAGTTAATAGATGAACATCAAATCAGGTGAACAGTAAGCGTTGACAATTGTAAAACAGTGATAATTTCACGAAATTTAAGAGAGTTGGTCAAACATGTGTTAACCAGAAAAGCAAAAGTGAGTAAAGGCAAATCCAAATGAAGGAATGTTTCTGTTGTTGTTGTTGTATTACAATTACTTAAACACAATAATTAGAGTCTAGTTGAAGCAAGGGTCATTACATGGAGTAACCAAATTGATGAATTGAACAGATTAATTTAGTGTAAAATGCTTTTTAAGATGTGATAATGTTAACACAATCATGCATAGATAACAAGTGGTTAAAGAGAGAAGAGGAAGACGAAATTGGAATGGAGAGTAACACTTTTTCAAGGGAGAAAGACATGTTGATGGTGTTAATGGTGAAAGATGATTATAATAATAATGGATGATGATTATGATAATGTTGATGTTGATGATGTTGATGACGATAATAATAATGATGATGATAATGATGATGGAATAGGAATAGTTGGTTAGGAATAAGAACTGTATTATACTCCAATAAAGATGAATCAAATTTAAGCTAACCTAAGGTTTTATCAGGGTTAATTTCTATAACACTTTCTGTTTTTTTATTTCTATCCTCCATTGAACTGTAATCTAAAATTAACTCTTTTTAATTAACCCGAGTTTTTTTTCTACTCTTTTCTCTGAGTCAAATTAACCTGATTTACTGTTAAATATTATGGGTCACAAGTGGCTTTTAGATCATCTCATTAAAATCATTAGCTCATTTAGAGAAATCAATGTTACATAGTTAATTAACTGTTGCCCCCTCAAAAGACAAAGGGTTACCAGCTTTGGTGTCAAACGGTCTTGTGATGTGATCTTGATTTGTGCCTTTATTGTCTCATTTTTAATAGTTAATTTATTTTTATGCTAATTTTTATATTATTTACATCTCTTGCAGTGTTCATGAATTGATAATTAAGTGATTTGATTTTGTTTTATTGTGCTTTCCGTCAAATAAAGAGTACAGTATATTGAACCAGATCAACTTACCATGAGACAAATGTCAATTTTTTGGTTTTTTTTCTACAATAAGGTTTGATTAATTTAAATTTTTCTATTAATGGTTGTTCAAATGTATTCAGTTTCTTGTTGATTAGTTTTTAATGTTTCTTTTCATTCTTTTATTTAACCAGCTTTCTGAAACTAAATTTTTCAATGTTAACTTGCACAACTGATGGGACTTGTATTTATTCAAGACTTTTGGATCAACATCATCTTCATCTTTTTTGATATCTTTTTTCCTGATATTCACTGTACCTTTTTGATGGATTAATCTACCTTGAGACGTTCCGTGCAAGGGCAATGGAAATTGCTGATAGAAATAATTAAGCAAAATCTATCACAATAATGTGTATTATTTTTTCTGTTAATGTGAAGAAAAAAAATGCTGATAATGCTTCTCATTTGTTCATTATTTTGAAAATCAACCGTGATCTTGTTGTGGTTTCAGATTGTTCTGTAAAGTTATTCTCACTCAAATAAGTACATTGGTGTTTTCGTTAAGCCTTGGAAATCAGAGAATGAAAAAAGTCCTAGTCAGCTCATGACGTTCAAATCATGGTTAACATTACAATTAGGATTCACCCATGGAAAAGTTATTGTAATTGAGAATAGGAACAAATTATAAACAAAAAGCTTTACGAGATGAAAAAGCATGAACGCAGACATGAGCATGAGACTCAAAAAGGCCAAAAAAGGATTTACTAATGAAGTAGTTAAAGGCTAAATGTTAATCAGATGCTGATTGTCACAGTTTAAAAATGATATAAGTTTTTGTACATCTGTTGTTACACATGATGCTCAACATGTTTACAAACAATCATTGCTATAAGCAACATTGACTATCATGTAAATCAAACAGCTCAATGTTGTCAATGATTATCCAACTCTGCATCTAGGTTAAATAGTTGGTCACTGGATTAATCAGCAGTTGTTGCTTTTCCAATATCTGTATGGCATTGAATTTTGTAAGTTTATTGTATCAAAAAATGAGATGAAAAAACAAATCAAGGTTGATATCATTTGACATTTATCAAGGTAGAAACGAAAATTTTGTTTATGGTTAACATTTGTATTGTTGTTGGGTTCCTTGTATCTTCATATTGGATCTTTTCATTCATTGTGAAGCTTAATCATTGTATACATTAATTTTAATAGAAATGAATTAGTGATCTTTAAAGTGGTTCTCATTTTTTGATTGTTGATGGCGATGAAACCAATAGCATGATTAGCAGGCTCGAGTGAATCTGATGTATTCTGAATAAAGACTTTAATTTGTGAAGGTGATAAAAACATGGTTTAATTGTTTTTATTTTCATTTAACTCTTTCTTCTAGTTAATTGTAAGGCCAAATGAACTGCTTTTCAGTGTGAATTTTATTAGACAAAAAAAATATAATTCAATTAACTTGAATATGTAACAAAATGTTGTTGCCCTTCAACATTAGACTGTATTAGCTTATTGGTCATAAATTTTCTTCTCGGCTTTGGATAATTGCTTCTGATCACTCAAGATTTTTAATTTACAGCCAGTCTCAAAATATGAAACAAATCATCATAAATCAGAATTTGTTTCAAAAGTATAAATCTAAACCTCATCAGATAAGTTAGGCTTAAACTAGAGTTGAATCTTATTATATTTAAACTAATTCAACAAGTTATTTTAAATTAAAATCTTTCGATTCATAGTTTTTACATCCATTTGAATTGAGCAAAGTAAATTTTAGCAAAGAAGGTCAGACGTTTTATTAAAAAATTTGTTTATTCAAAAATTTTGATTGTCTCAAGAATCATTAGCAATTTACTAATTGTAAGAATGATTAAATTTTAATCAAGCATCGATACCATTTGTTATGAATTGTCGATAGTATCGCTCAGATTATTTCATCACTACCATCTGGAGTTGAAAGTTGAAGTTTATTTGATAACTGCAAGTTTTATTTGTTTACATTTGCAAAGTGTTTATAAAATTTGTGTTTAAATTGTTCAAATTAATTGCAAATGCTCTCTATCATCAAATTTAAACCTTTATCAGGGGCTCATGATGAAGGTCCTCCATCTTACTTATTAACCATCGACTCTTTTACTTTTCTACTTGACTGTGGTTTAGACCCTAATATTGATAATGAACCTAGTAACATTTATAATAAAAGTTCCATTAAAAATGTAGATGCCGTTCTTCTTTCTCATCCGGACACTTTGCACTTGGGTAAGTTTGTATCTCACTCACCATTAAATTAGCTTAGGATTGCAGTTATAACCTTCTCTGTCATTTCTCAATCCATTCACAGGTGCTTTACCCTATCTGGTTGGAAAATGTGGATTAGACTGTCCCATATATGCTACAGTTCCTATTTTCAAAATGGGACAAATGTTCATGTATGATCTACATCAATCTCGTCACAATTATGAAAATTTCAATCTTTTTACTTTGGATGATGTGGATGCGGCCTTCGACAAAATCATTCAGTTAAAGTACAATGAAACCGTGCCTTTAAAAGGAGGACAGGGTATAAGTATAACTCCCTTACCGGCAGGTCATATGATTGGTGGTACTATTTGGCGTATTGTTAAAGATGGTGAAGAAGATATAATATATGCTGTTGATTATAACCATAAACGAGAAAGACATTTAAATGGATGTTTTCTGGAACATATCTCTAGACCTAGTTTATTGGTGACTGATGCATATAATGCTAAATATTCTCAAGCTCGAAGAAAAGAACGTGATGAACAATTGATGACAAATATATTGGCCACACTACGTGATGGTGGTAATGTTTTGATTGCTGTTGATACTGCTGGTAGAGTTCTTGAGTTAGCTCACATGTTGGATCAATTATGGCATACTCCTGATGCTGGTTTAATGGCCTATTCATTGGCTCTTCTAAATACAATTTCCTACAATGTAATCGAATTTGCTAAATCCCAAGTAGAATGGATGAGTAATAAGATAATGAAATCTTTTGAAGGGCAACGTAACAATCCGTTCCAGTTCAGACACCTTCAATTATGTCACAATTTAAAGGAGCTTCAGCAGCGTGTCCGTGAGCCGAGAGTTGTACTTGCATCTCAGCCAGATTTGGAATCTGGATTTGCTCGTGAATTATTCGTGCAATGGTGCACGAATCCAAGAAATAGTATAATTTTGACTCAAAGATCACCACCTGGAACTCTTGCTCACCAATTAATGAATTCTTCTCAGAAGTTGATTACGCTAATCATAAAACAAAGAATACCTTTGGAAGGTTTAGAGTTGGAAGAATATAAAAGAGAAAAACAACAAAAACAACTACTCAATGCTAAAAAAGATGTCTCTGACTCTGATACAGATTCTGATTCTGATGACGATATCTTACCTAAAAGTGTTCATGGACCCGGAGTTGCTGCCGGTACTGGTTCTAGTTACAATTCTGTTGCAGCAGGTCATGGGACTGTCGTAGCACCAGGAAATGATGTCTATGAAGGTCTAGGATACTCAAAATATGATTTAGTGATGCCTGTTGGTTCAGGCAAAATCAAAGTCGGTGGACTATTTAAACAAGGGAAAAATCCATTTCCAATGTTCCCAGCCCCTGAACACAAGATTAAATGGGACGATTATGGAGCCTTCAGTAACCATAAACTTTTCCCTGTTAGTGAGAATTCAACAGCTGCGGAATCTGGTCAAGGATCTAAATTTGAAGAGAATAAGGAAAATAAAAAAGGCGATGATGAGAATAGTCTTCATCCAGCTTCAGCCAGTGATCAACAAGAAATACCAACCAAATGCATCACCAATGTGCAAACATTTTATGTTAACGCTAACATACAGTTTATCGATTTTGAAGGTCGATCTGATAAAGACTCGTTGAAAAAAATCATCTCTCTCATCAAACCTCGGCGTCTAGTTTTAATACATGGATCTTCCGAGGCAACTCAAGAACTCGCTAGTTATTGCTCATCATCTTTACCCACCAATAAAATATTCACTCCAAGAGTAGGTGAAATAGTTGACGCTACAACAGAAAGTCATATTTATCAAGTTAAATTAAAAGACTCACTTGTGAGTACGCTCAACTTTGTTAAAGCTAAAGATGGAACTGAATTAGCATGGGTTGATGCAGATATTGAAATGTCCGAGGAAAGATCGTTATTACCACAAGACTCCATATCCGGTCAAAATGAAGATGAACTTATGGATGATCTCAAGGCTGACAAATTATTAAGTTTAAAAGGAGATTCCATTCACGACGAAATGAATGGTGATAATCCGTCAACATCAGCATTTTCATCTTCATCAAGTCGAGAAACCTTACCCATACTCAAGCCTCTTGCTCTAAAACTAGTTCAACCACATGAAAATATTTTTGTAAATGAACTTAAATTATCCGATTTCAAACAAGTGCTTATGAACAACGGAATCCAAGCCGAATTCCATGGAGGTGTTCTTCATTGTAATAATCTAGTGACAATCAAAAGGAATGAGTCTGGTCGTATTCTCATTGAAGGAACTCTATCTAATGATTATTTCCAAGTTAGAGAGCTTCTATATCAACAATATTCCATAATTTAATCAATATTATATCATTAATATTTATAATTAAACTTCAAACCCTTTTCTAATTCCTCTGTTCCTTAAATTTTGTAAAATTTCCAACAGCCTAACTCATTTTCACAACTTTCCATTTTACTGTTGTTTAAAATTCAATACAGCACTCAATTTGGTCTTTTTGCCATCTCAAATCATAGTAAATTATTTGTGAATCTGATAGTTGGTTGAACACTTTAATTAAATTTGTGTAAATTAAATAGTCTTTTTATAAATGTGATAACCCTTCTTTTCAAATATTACGGGTTATTTTTTTTAGTAAAATCTGATCATTAATAAAGCCATTTTCATCTCAATCAATAGTTTATTTTTTTAATTTACATCTCATTATTCTGGCAGTTACAACAAGATAATTAACAATAACTTAACTGTGTTCAAGAAAAACATCTTATTATCACTTTTTATCAACAATCAGGTTACAAAATTCCTTCTAAAGTTGATTTTGATACTTTTCTAGCACTTGAAACAAAATCATGCTTAGGCAATTGATTATCACTGATCAAGGGAAGATTGGAGGTTGGTTGTTTCTTGCTTGAAGATTTAACTCGATTTTGTTTGGTTTCATTTGAAAAGATATTGGATGATGAAGAAGCCATTTTTAACCGATTAGTTGATTTATCTGGACTTGTATCTAACCTTGATTTGTCTGTAAAAAAGAGAATCAATTCAAAATTTTTAGAAACAATTCCCGAACGATAATTATTGAGAATAATATTCTTACCTATTCTAGTTAAATTAGTATGTGAGGCACTTTTACTCATAAATTCACTTCTTTTTGATCCGGTTAAATTGTCATTCAATTCAAATTTTAAACCACTTTTTCCAACCCTTGGTCGGGCAGTTCGATTTAGAAGATTATTTGGAGTTCTAACTCCTTTCAGATTCATATATCTCAACAGCTTAGAATTTCCTTCAGCATCATTGAAAATAACATTATCACCATCATCATCCTCATCAGATGGACACTTCAACGTCATAGTGGAAAAGCCGAGAGATCGAATAAGATCAAATAATAAACTAATATCTGTTTGAGCAGAAGAGGAACAATAATTTGCTTCTTTGCAATGAATATCACTTCTAGAAAATTCGCTGTTATTCGTTGTGTTAAAATGATATCTATCAGTTTGCGTGGCCACAGAAATGTGACCATTTTGTGAAATAGAGCTTTGATCATTATCATGGCCTTGGCTATCCTTTCGTTGTTTGCCTCGATTTTTTGCTTGTTCCATAGCAGCTATAACAGCTAAACGTCGTTTTTCAGCTATTTCGCGCTTCTCTTCAATAAGTCGCTTTTCCATTTCATACTCGTCTTTTAACCTTCGTTGAACAGCAAGCATCCTTTTTTCAGCGACCTCTTCTTCTTGTCGAGTTTTTTCTTTTTCTTCTTTTTCTCTTCTTTCCTTTTCCTCTTTCTGAGCTGATAATTCTGCCCGATATTTGAGAATCTTTTGACGTTTCTCATTCCAATCAACTGGGTCGCCACCTCCAAAAATGCTCCCAAAAGAAGAGGTAACGTTGCGAGTATAGCGACGAAAGTTAACTGGTGACCCTTGACTAGATCCAAAAGATAGCAATGAGTGACTTGTTGAAGGCACTGTTCGCGGTTGCTTTAAAGATAGTGGCTGACCCGTTACTGGTTCCTTAGGAAAAGCTGGTTTGAATGGGAATTCAATTGCACCTAATGATTGTGATTTTACCAGCTGATGAGATGGTGATGAGTTAGAAAAATAAGGATATTCTATGGGAGATTCTAACGCTGATGATGACAAAGAAACTTGTTGCCTGGTCAAGTCATTCTCTCCCTTTGCTTTCCAAAATAAGGTTTCATTGTTTGATTGAATGGTCTCCATGCTAGTTGAACATAGGAAATTATCCCCCACATTGGATGTATTAATAGAATTTTCAGGATTATCCAGTGTATTTGTATCACCATCAGCATTATAAATTGTGGTGCAATAGTCGTCATTCCCATTTACATCTAATGGTCTTCGTTCCCAAGTTGGTGTTACACTGGTTACTGAAACATTTTGTGATCTATTGGAGCCTGAAGATAGGAAAAAAATACAGATACAAATAGGAATCAATAATTGCGATTGGTTAAAGTAAAAGTTTCAGTTGAACTCATTGTATCACATTTTTAGCGAATGTATCATTATGTAATGCGCTGCAATCCAAAGTCTCTATGTTCTCAAGATGTGTTGATTTGCGGTTAAAGAAAGATTGTTGTTTCCATTGAATAGATAATCTCGATTAAACTGGAATCAATTGAATTAAATCCTAACAGGATTATATATTCTCCAAAACGTATTAATTAATATCAGTACCTTGGATCGATTAAGAAACTAGTTAATGTTTGTTCAACGTTTTTCGATAGATTATTTTCTATTATTGGGGAAAACTGATCATGAGAAATTAATCAATAGTAAACAATCTAAATTGATAAGATTTCCTTTTTTTCCTTGCCATTGCAAAAAAAAATGAAAATGGTTCTATGTTTACCTATGTAAATCTGTCTCTAAATCTAATCATTGAATAAATATTTAATTACTCTCTGAAAAACAAAGAAGTAAACATCTCTATCCAAAACCTAAAACAAGTTATGATAAAATGTACATGTAAATGCATCAAATTAAAATCAAATGACTTACCTATTTGACTGACAAGCTCTAAAATGGCCTGAAGCTGGTTCTTGCTTAAAGTAATGTTGTCCATTCAAGCTGTCCACAGTCCAGTTAAATATGGGTTATCATTTAATCAGCTTCACAGACCCTTTTGTTTTTGTTTTAAATCCATCACATTATGGTAACCAAGGAGCCAATGTTTGCAAACCTTAATAAATCTCCTTCAGGGAAATGTAATATTTTCAACATTCATTGAGAGTAAAAATCACCAAGAAAAAATTCTCATTCAATTTGATTATAAATGACTAGATCATATTTGATGGTGTACTTTTAAAGTGTAACATAATTATAAAGGACAAATGTTTGTTTATTGTTACAATTGGACAGTGATTGGAAAATTCTGAATATTTATCGGTGTCATCATTACAAAGCCAAATGGTTTACCTTGTTGGTGTGACTTTAACATGTTATTATACAATAGTTTGTGCTCACAATGAGTATACCATGGTATCAGAATGATTTGATTGATTCCATCATTGAAATATTTGACAATGTGAATGATCCACTGTTACCTTTTATTCACCATATTCTGAGTTTGTTGCTTGGCTGACACAACATGAAATGATGTTAAATAATATTTAATCGGTTTTGTTAGATGGTGACTTACTTTTGACAAGTTACTTTTCTTGGCAACTTATTTGAAGGTTCGATCAATGAATAGAGTTTGTAATGAAATGTTGGTTACTCTGAAATTATAAATTTTACTCGACTCGAGAATTTTGACCAAATGATTAGATTAGATAAAAATAAACAGATTGTGAAAAATAAACAAAAATTTATTTTAAATAAGCTCGAAAAATTAATTTGGACTCAAATCCATTTGTAGTAGAAAAATATTAGCTCCAAGTCGAGTAGTGTTGAAAGAAGTATTAAAAAGTGAAATATAATGAAGCTATTTTCTGGAAAAAAGTGAGAATATTGATTCTCGATTGAGATATGTCATGGTAGTAAATACACCAAATAGACCAGAGATGAGAAAAACTGTTTTGTAAGGTATTGGCTTCTTTTGTTTTGATTTCATTGATCCTTTACCATAGCCATTTGAAGTAACTTCTTCAAAAGTTACGTCTTGAACAAATGATTTCATGGTGGCCATGAGAGAGACTCCTTGAGCGTATGTATCTTTACTTGAAGCAATAATATCATTCATATTGGCAACTTCTATGTATCTTGAAACCATATTTGGGTCATTCTTTAAATGATTCCGTAAATAGTGAAAAGTAGATTGCATGCTTCTTAAATGATTCTCCATGTTTCTGAGCATAATAACAACATCAGCACAGCTAAAAGAGAGAAGAGAAATAAAATTTAGTTTGGTTGATTCAAATGATTATTAAATTATTTTAGACATTACTTTATCCGAGACTTTTGTTGCAAATATGAAATACGAGAGGGCTGCCAGTTTCCCTTGTGTTCCTTTTTGATGGCTTCCCAAATCTTCAGTTTAACTCCATATTCGTGTATATCGAGCGCATCGAGATCAGTTTCGTTGAAAGATATGAGATCATTATATGAGATCCGTTGTTTCTTAAAGAAATCAATATAATCTTTGAGGTTGATTTCACCAAGGAAATATTCTAGTTCAGTAACATAACATTCACCAGTTGACGAATCATCTTTGGCAGCTTGGTCATCATCACCTTCTATGTTTTCAAATTCTGGAGTTCCTTCAAATGTAATCTTTTTGCCTGACTCAGGATACACAATATGATCCAAATCATTTTCATCATCTGATTCGAAATAGTCACGGCCAGGATCCTCATAACCGGCGGGAATAGCGACAATGTCTGGCGTATTATCCATTAGTAATGAAAATATAGCTTAAAATTGGAACTAGACTAAATTCATTTAAACTAATTGTAAAAAAACTAAATTTAAACTAAAAAAACAAATCGAAAAAGCTAAAAATATCGAAAAATGTCATGTGATTGGGTTGTACGCAGCCCCATCTACCCGGTCAAATTAAGTGATTGTATTGACCGCCTAGTATGAACATCAATTTAATCTCTATTGTTTTAGTCATCACTGTGATTATTGTACTATCTCTATGCGTATTAAAATAATCCTTATTTTCGATATCTCTTTCTATACGAATATTTACTCTTTGTTTCTTTGTCGTGAAAATTTTCGTTTGTGACACTCAAAATTTCATCTTATCTCAACTGTGTTGCCATCATTGGTTAATTGTCTCTATATAACTCTAGATAGCTACTCATCTTCCCTTGTAATGGGTCAAATTACCAAAAATCAGCTGTCACCAAATCTGCTATTTTTCTGGATCACACTAACCGCAGATAAAAATTGTTTTGAAATTGGATTAAGTTAACACTATTCCCTGCTGCATTACCTTAATTTGAGTTTTGTTTTACTCCTGATTTATTTCGTATTTCCATTTGCCTGGAGTCCGAGAAGACAAAGCTACTCAAATATACTTATAATGCCCATAACGTTAACAGTGAAAAATCGAGCCTGTATGGTCAAGCCATGCCTACGCCTGTGGCCCAAGTGAAGATTGTGTACTTTAAAGATTGCAGCATCAATTTTCCCTTCTTGTATTATTTATCTTCAAGTTACTCTCTTTTTGGTGGCAAGATCAATCAAATCAAATATAAACCCTTTTATTTGTTGACACATTTATTCATCAAAAGTGTTTACTCTTAATCACTGACTATAAAACTGTCCATTTTAATCCGATTGCCAGTTGACTTACTGGTTTTGACCATCTCTTTATCATCACTGGACTGGATGTGTAACAATTTTTGCCAACTCAAAAGGCCTATCATTCAAAGATACGAGTTTCACTTTAAACTTGTCAAGTCATTATCAAACCATCAAATAAAGTCAACAACTTCAATTAGTAACATAATTTTCATCACCACAATGCTTCAGATTTCCAAGCCTGCTCATCAAAATGGTTCTTTGAAAAGGATAAATTGAATTCTGGCTTCACTCTGACAGGTAATATGCATTTATATAATTGAAATTTCCTATCAAGTTGTGAAAAAAATGATTTTTCATTCTGTTTGATATTTAACTTCTTTTTTCTCTCTTCTCGTCTATCTTATCTTTCAAGTTACAGATCTGGTTCAGTAGTCGCAAATAATACAAAAATGGGATCCATGTTATTAAATATGAAATCTGGAGGAGAGACAGAAAAAGGATATTCAATTGAAATTGAAACTTGGTGTCTTAGATGTTGATGAGCAAAAAAAGGAGATGAAAGCAAAGGAAACCAATGGGACATGATAAGAGAAGCAAAAAAAGGAAAGTCAAGATTGGAAAGATTATCAATCAGATACAAGTTTATGGAAGTCTATTCATTCTTTTGTGCAAATAAAAGCAGATTCCGGATTCTGTTTTATGGTTTAGACATGATTAATGATTGCCAAAGTCTAGTAGTGAAAACAAGGAGATGATGATGCAGAAGAAGATGAAGAAGCATCAATGACATTGTCTATGTATTTCCATTGAAACTGGTTAAACAAATTAGTTATACAAACTTACATCTTCTTTTGTTATTGGACCAGTTATTTTTTTTCTTCATCTCTCTATTAATATTTATATTCAATATAATAGTCATAATCAGCTTGATGAACAACAACCGAGTGTCAATTTAATAATATTATGATTATTACTAGTTGACTAAATTTATCATGACAGGGAATCTTGAATTTGAAGTTTAATTCACCATTAATATTGAACTTTTTTCACTTCTTGTTCATCAAAAAATTTTCACTTTGCTTTTTGTAATATTAGTTATATCATCTCGTTACTCATTATAATTATCTTTTGAAACGGAAATTTGATTGTTTTCTTTCAAAATTTTTAACCAGGAAACTATCAAAACAATAAACCATTAACAGTGTACCGTTAAACCATTAAACTAATCATCTTCATCACCATCAACATGAAAGCTATGAAAAGAGGATACAAAATGGTACTTTTTGTCATGTAAAAAGATTGAATAAAGTGATTTTTGCCCAGAAAACAGAAGAAGCAAAAAAGCTGAAGCAAAATTCATTTTCATATTTAGATATGAAGTAAAGTTGAATGATAATTAACTTTAATGTAAAGTGAGATCAAAATGTCAACTAAGAGAGTCTCTTTTGTTTCAAGAGCAATTGACATTGCATACAAACTAAACTGACAATCTTTACATTTGGTAACCTCAATCATCATCTTGGATCAGTACATCAGTTGTGTATAAATCAATATGATAAAGCATTTTATTGCATTGAGTGTTAAACAATTAAATGACGGCAAATGCAATAATTGATGAAAGGTGAAAACAGTTTTATGGTTTAATGTTACATTCAATGATAAACATCCGCAAGGGAAGCAAAGGAAGGAATGACATGAAGATGGACAAATGACAGTTGAAAGTGAAAGACTTGACCTGAAGACGACAGTGACCTAAAGAAGACGAGCAAGAAGAAGAAGAAGAAGATGAGCGTTGAGATGAGAATGAAAAGGAAACGAAGGAATTTTGACCCAAAGACGAAGACCAAGACCAAGACGATGAGGAACAAGAAGATTGTCTTAAAGATGTTGTTATCGGTTTCTTAAGATTGAAGGTGTGAAAGTGTGAAAAGGGTTTGTTACCTTGAAACATGGACAACAATACCTTTGGAAATGTTATTGTTATAATTGTTAACGATCCCAATGGTGGAAATGGCCTCAGTTTGCATTGGCCAAACAACACATAAACACACACAAAAGAAACCTTGGCCTTGGTCTTTGCCTTTACTTGAACCTTTAACTTGAGCCTTTACTCAACCTTTCCTCTTGGCCTTTACTCTCGGCCTTTACCCTAAGGTATTATGAATATAAATTGGCCTAAGCGATCGGTTACAAGTACTTGGATGTGTGAAAAGGTTAAAAGCAATTGATCATTAATCAATTGATCAAGTGAATGTCCAGTAACGACAAATTGGTTTGATTCTGTTTACTCAGTCAATTGTTGTTGAAAACCCTTTGAATCACCTTAACAACTTTCCTACCACCAACATTGTAAATAAAGGCTCAAAACTGTAAACCATTATAAAAAGGTGTTGAAAGGCTTATATATAAATACAAATTTTTTTTACCCAAATAATGGTTAGAAAATGTAAGGCCGCTAAATTTGGTCGAAAAATTTCGGATAATCCGATGATAAAAACGATGTGAGCAACAATTGCCATTGAAAGACGTTAAAATACAGAGCAACAGTGGAGACTTGAGTTTAAAAAAGTGACAAAATACATGAAAAATGGAACAAAAATTTGAATTAAATTTCCTCAAATAATCTCTTTAATCATGGTAATAAGCTGATGAACAATAAATCCAATTGAAATGATTGAAAAGGAAAAGACAATTTCAACTGAAACTGCTTTTGAATACAAATGTAAAAATGAGAAGTACATTTATTACAATTGATGGAAAGTAAAATTGAAACAAAATGTTAAAACAAGATTTAAGCTGATTGAGAGGATTGACTGACCAATTGATTGATAATGCAAGATGATGAATAAATGACAATTCAAGTGTAAACCAATGAAACTGCCAACAAATTAACACAAATGTAAATTAAACTTGCAAACAATTTAAATGTTTAAACATTGAACTGTTTTTAAATAATGTTTACTGTTTTTGTTTGAAAGGTTAAATTGATGGGGAGTTTTTTTTATTGAAGTACAATTGTGATATTAAATTGATAACATGTCAAAAGGAAAGGTTATTAAATGTTATTAAAAGCAAGGTAAGATGAAAATTAATATTAACATTATTATCCTTATTATACCTTGAGAGTGACTTGAGCGTAATGCTAAGCGTTTGTTTGAACTATTTCATTGAATCTTTAATCTCACAGCTTTCATGTATAATTTATATTCATTCACAGCATATACAATTGGGATAATGACAAGTTTTAATATGTTATATCAATAATACGGTGAAAGGGAACAGCAAAGGAGACTCAAAATGAAAAGATAAATAAAAAGCCTATTTTTTGTCCAATGTTAAGTGTGAAGGCGATGTTACACGATTGAATGTGATGAGGATAAAGATGAAAGATGATGAGGGTCAATGAAGGAGCCCTGTAAACATGGTAACACTCTTATCGCAAAGTGGCCTTAATCCGGCTCAACATTGACACTGAGAGGTAATACAAGATGCTCTTGGACCAGAGTCAACATCATTCCTCTTCAAGCTTCAAGCTTTATCCTCTGTTAAGCTCATTCCTCATTCAACAATTGGTAAACATGTTTTAATGTAATCATATGTATTATTATTTGTAAATCAATTGTTATCAAATAATCATTTCATTCAAATTATCCAGTTAAACCTAACCTTTTCCCGTTTAATACTAATCAGTGTGAAGCACCAAAAAAAGGACTTAACAGCTTTTACTTTTAGTTTTTTTGTCTTTTTCAGTTACTCTTAGAGTTGCATGATACCCGAATAAAGTATTTATTGAAAGAACAATATTTTTTTCATGAGTATCGATACTATTGAAAATATAATACTAATATTATAAAATAATGTGAAAAGTATTGCAATATCAATGCCATTTGAAAATTATCATTTTGCTAGGTAAAGATGATGACATAAAAGACAAAAAATTCAAGCCTTTTCCTTAATTCTATTAGTGATTGAAAAGATTTATCCACTCTAGATAGAAGTAATTAGCCTTTTCTACTGCGAATGAACCCAAATTTTGTGAGTTTGAGGCTTTTGGCAGCGTTAAAAAGACACTAAAATGTCAGAAATTTCAACGAAAAAATATATCGAAAGAGCCATACTATTGGAGAAAGTATCGATAAGTATTGTTGAGCTTGGTATCGATAATATTACTCAAAAATATAATATTGCTGCAACACTAGTCACTCTAGTAATCAGGGTTAAGTCAAGAAGAAACGACATTTTTTCATTGTCAGCATCTAACAAGAAATGAAATAGCATTAGAATCGAATTCTGAATTTTTTAAATTTCAATCACGTTGCTTCAAGCAATACAATAGTTCGTAGATACCTGGAATCAAGTAGATCGTCAAACAATTATCAATTGTTTCAATAAATTGCTGACGCAAAAATTGGGAATATAAAGGATGTTACAGGAGTAAGGTGACTGAATTCAAATCGCTGTAATGAATTGCCCCTGTAGTGACGTAAGGATCTGAAACGCTACCTTAACTATCCATAGCTTGCCATACAAGATATTTTTGAGCAAATTTTGTTTTCGGATCGATTCGTATGCTATCATCTACAGTGATGTGCCAGATAATGAGAATAGGTGAGAATAGCTTATTTGCACTATTCGTCGGGCACTCGAATCTATGATTCTCAATCTTGCTTATAGATTGATTTCGCTTAAAATTATCATTGCTATCTGCCTTCTTGAGTTTTTTGATTGATATTTCACGATAGAAAATCAAATTAAGTTAATTAATAATTGAAAAAATCTAAATAAAATTTGGTCAAATTCAAATAAAATTTAACTCTTCTTCAATAGGGACCGTTGAAAAAAATTATTCTCGTTATCTGGCACATCACTGTACTGAATTTCATGATTTAGCTGAATGAAATTTTCTACCTGAAATCTGTTCTGGGTCTGAAAAACACATGTTTTATCATCAATAATTAGAATTTTATTAGCTAACATTTGTTCATAAATCTTTCTTTCACCTTTCTTATTAATACATCTATCGGGTTGATCTTTTTTATACTTTTGAGCTTTGATTTGACGATATGACTTATACCCTAACTTTTCTTACCTCTAGCAAACGAATACTACGAAACTGAGATTTTCGCCGCACAAACGAAACGAAATTTTCGGATTTTTTCCACCACCTTTTCAATTTTTCGCGATTGAGATTTCGAGCACTTAATGGTTTTCCTGAGATCGCAAAATACTTTTCAGAACCTGATGAATTGAATCGCTTAATCATTCGATATAAGGATTGCTTAGATGGCCCTTGATTTATGAAATGTTGAACTGCTGTTTGTCGATTTTTCCATTTTGAGGTAAAATTGGCACACTTGTTTATAAAAAACTCATTTTGAAGACGTTTCATCGCCATGTTCAGGCTTAAAAATGAAAAAATCGACATCAACAGATAGCCTAGAGTCTAGTTAATTCGATCCTTTAAATAGTTTCAAATTATCTTAATCAAGAGAAAACCCTATTAAATTCTTACTCACTTAATTCTGTAACAACCTTCATGCTTAAAGAGATATTTTCCCTCCGAATGGAGATGTTAGGAGATTTTACCGTGTTGTTGTGCAAATTAGGTAAAAGTCAAATTTAGATCTAACTGATTGTAAAATTCCAACGCTACCATGGTTGTTGAACTATCTCAATAAATGCTTCGTTGTCTTATGTGTTTCTGCGTAAATGGGAATTTTATGTGCAACTCATATTCCTTTATTGGCAGTATGACGCGTCGTTTTTTTCATTTTACCCTGTTTGCAAGCATAACTCACAAACGATAGGTGCTGCAGACCACACACTTGAACTATGAGCTTAGGCATTTCAGCAACCATAATTTTGAACGCTCAAGGTCAATTCGTTATTTAAACTCTAATTGACCTCAAGACATCAAGACAATTTTCTAAGTTCGTTTGTTTGACTGCGGTTTATCATATCGGGAATTGTGCTTTTATGTACAGACTTGGTCTCTCCCCGCAACATTTTGCTACTGGATTAGTGAGTATTCAAGCGATTTGGCATCCAGCCGGCTTTGCTGTTATAAATACCCATTGTCCTCCTAGCCAAGCACCTCGAGAATTATTCAGTTACTGGATAACAACGCGAGCAACTATAACCCGGTTGCTAAGTGGAGGTCGAGATTTTTTTGGTAATTTGATTGAGCCTTGCTCGTCAATGTTGGTCTGTGGCGACAGCAACTTCGACATTGATCGGCCTAATTTGCGTAATCTCGACGAAACGGCTGAATGTTGGTTTACTTGGCTCGTTTGAAACGGTATTTGATCTGATGCCGATCGAAACAACTGAAACATACCACGTTTTCAAGGTTTTGATCCGTCTCGAATTGATTATGTTTTTCATACTAGAAATCTACGCGTCAGGTGAGAGCTTCCTGGTATGGCTGGCCGACAAAGAGAACATTTGGGTCTCTTTTACGAATTAGAATATTTTGATCAAATTGAAATAAGAAATTTATGCTGAACGCATGGATTCTGATTTTGCGACGCTTTGCGGAGCGATAAGAGACATTTATTCTCAGAATCCTGAATATGCAAGACAAGCAAACATTATTGCTTTATTAAATTTTTATTGAAATATTTTATATCCTTTATATTGTTGTCTCTATTGCAACTGTCTGTGGCTGTCTAAAATTGATATATTTGATATATGGGTAGAGATGGCAGCATCGATTTAAAAAGGGCGCCAAAATTGTTAGCAAAGATGATAAAACCATTGTTTTTCTTAGTGGCTTTTCGTGGTTTTTCACTTTAGTCATCATTTCTGGCAGCCACGACTAACCACTAAGACTGATAGTGGTTGAGTAGCCACGTATATTCAATGTATATTCAAAACATCAAATTAATTAAAGGATTTTTAATCAAATTTAATCTGTATCGCGATCATATTGCGAATACACTGCAAACCAATGATTAAAATAAAAACAAATAAAGTTCAAATTTTATTATTTCCACGTCAAATCAAGCAAAATATTAGGTGAATACAAAAGTCTTTGACACTTAAGATTGAAATTTATTAATTGTTTATAAAATTTTAACGCTTTTTAGATCTTCGATTGACTCGAATTTTTTGCCTCGAAAATGATTGTCCATAGACAGAAATAGATGATAGTCAGATGGAGCGAGGTCTGGAGAGTATGGAGGATGTGGTAAAACATCCCATTTTAGGGCCAAAAGTTTTTCTTTTACGATTTTCGCTACATGCGGCCGAGCGTTATCATGCAAATAAACGACACTTTCTCTATTGACCATAGCAGGTCGCATTTCTAAGAGTTTATCGTAGCTGATTTACGTAGAGATGTGCATCTATGGTTTGGCCTGGTTTGAGCATCTCATAATGCACAACACCGAAGCCAGACCACCAGATACATAAGAGAACCTTTTTGCCGTGTATATCAGGCTTTGCAATCGCTAAATTGGCCTGAACTTTGTCTAACCAGTGTAATTTTCTGCTGGTATTGTTGTACTCAATCCATTTCTTGTCACTAGTTACTAGGTTCTTCAGAAAATTCGCTGTTTCGTTGCGTAACAATAGTGACCAACAGATCAACACACAATTTTGTTTTTAACGTTCAGTAAGTTCATGTGGAACCCATTTCGGTAGCTTTGCTGACTTACCGATGGCATGTAGATGCCTTCTTATTGTTTCTCTACTGCATTCAAACATAGAAGCTAATTGTTCGCAGTTCAAATCCGGTCTTTCATCAACGACAGCCTTCAGGTCACTTTCACAAACTTACGAACGGCGGCCCGTTCGTGGTAAATCTTGCAGCGATTTGTCACCAGATTCAAATTTTTTGTACCAATTTTTGACTGAATTTAGGCTAACTGATCTCTCACTGAATGCTTGATCAACTTTTGCACGACATTCTGGTGCTGGTGGTCCGAGATTGAACTCATAAAGTAAAACACTACGAATTATCATATGATGATTTTCCATAACTTTAAAAATTTAACTAACTTAATTTCATTTGATAACTGATCTAATTTAATATGTGATGCGCTAATTTATTATCTTCCGATTGATATCTTAATTAACTTGATTGGTCCATTTTTACGCTTTTAATAACGATTTATACACTGGGCTTTAAAAAGTGTCAAAGACTTTTGTGTTTACCTAATATTCAAAATAATATTAGAGTTCATGTGTTTTAAAATTTTTGATAACGGTTGAACCCTAATTGCCGAAATCTTTATAAAAGTAATTGTAGGGATTACTTTTAAGGGCTAAAAAAATGAGATTAGAGACGAACTCAATAACTGTCATTAGTAATCACTGTGGTTGCTAATGAAATGTGGATGTAACCAAATTAGGCTAAATATAATAATAATAACAATAACAATAACGGTACATACATGGGGCGTACAACTGAGGTTATATTATCAATGCAGCTGGATTGAACTTAATCCTTTGTTCAGATGATAGGAGCCATTGTTTGATTTTTACCGAAGTATGACCGCCAGCCATAAGTTAACGATAAGGAAATCGTCGGGATCTGAACTCAACTATTGCGCTTTCTCCATCATCTATCCCTAACTCCATTGTTGAATCTGATGATTAGGAGATTTGTATATGCACTGGTAGCTCTGGTTGTGAGACTAAAAAAACCATATCTTCACCTTCATGTGCAGCAAACACAACCACTCCAACAACTTCGATGATTGCATACCGTCCGATTTGGCTTGATTTTTATGCTATGATAGCTGCTGATCCTCCTCACATTAGTAAACCACACCCTATCAAAATGAATTTCAAAAGATTATCTTTTGAAATCAGCAAATGTAAAAGATTTAAGTCTGTTGAGTCTGATTTAATAACTATTATGTTAATAATGATAATGTAAAATTTAATAAATGTAAAAAAAGTAAATAACAATAAAGTTGGAGCTCTGTTTGAGGTTACTTTTACCTTCAACCTTAGCCTCCAAAAGCGGTTGTTGTTCGCACGTTGTCTTCCTATTTTTCCGAAGATAGGCTTTTTAGTGGCAATAGATACCCTTTACCACTAATTGGCATTAACTCCTTTCTGATCGATTAAGCATATTCCTTTTTAATTTGGCTCGTTTGTGTGTTTTCTTTCTGAGTCCCACTGTTTCCTGTTTCCTTGGGAGAATTCCCTTAATTTGAACGCTGATATCTCGAGAACCATCTATCGGAGCATTTTCAGCATAGCACCATCCGAAATAAAATCTTTAAAACCTCAATATGTACTGATAAAAAATTAGAAAAAATCACGCACAGCAAAATGTGACACTTTTTCAACTTTGACGATTCACCGAAAAACACCCTGTATTCGAAAAATTTCCATAGTAGCGCCATACAAAACTTCCTCATTTTTTGTATTTATTTTTTGATGTATCCCTGCTCATAACTGTTTTTTGGTTTCGTTCACTTCATTCATCGTTTGCTTCACCAAAAGACAACATTGGCGTCAGTTCTTTTGTTTTTATCAGATAAATTTCACCATCAGTGTATTTTGAACGATTCCTTTCAAAGTCAATTTTTTTGAGATTAGCTACTGCTTCTAAAGTTGAGGTATTTCAATATTTCAAAACGAATGTCTTAACCATTAACCCTACAAAATCATGAATATCAACTTAAACTAAGTGAAATTATCTATATTATTTGTTTGTGAAGCAAATGATGTTTAAATTAGTTTAAAGTTGAGTTGTGCATCATGTACAACATGAATTGAACTTTGAGCTTTACTTTATTCAAGGAAATGCGGAGATTCATTAATTAGAATTTTTAGAAGTTCAGATCATTCAACATTTGCACGGAAAACCTTTTTCTTTTTCCTCTTAACCTTTCAAATCTTACGAAATCGGCAAAATAAGCTACTGACATATATAATTTACTAAAAACGATTCAGATTTATAAAAATAGTTTTTTCAACAAAATTTCTGCATAATGAGTAAATCAATTTGATGATGGATTAAGATTATGAATTACTAATATAATCGATGAGAGATCAATAAATGGGGTATCTTGTGTATATTTATTACTACTGTAAATTTACAAAATCATGTTTATGCACATACAAATTTTACAGTTCATGGCCATCGCCAATATTAAATTTCTGATTTAGTCATAAACTTTATCAATTCACAATGTACACCTTATCAGCCCAGTATGGTTTAGCAAACTGACAATGATATTGTGACAATGAATGTCACATTTGTGCCCAGGTGCACCTATCATACCGCAACCTTTCCCGTGTCGAACTTTATTAGAGCTTTGGGAAAAGTTGTGCGCACACCATCGACAACGATATTTTTCTGTAATTTCATCTATAAAATGACGAGGGTTCCCACAATCTTGTAACTTAGATATATCTTGCGTGAAACCTTTGGGTATTGGCCCAGTGTACCCTGTTACTTGCGAAGGTGGATTTAGAGTATTGTAGTGCGCCAATTCGTATCGAAAATTTTTCATAACACGAGGCTGCCCAGGCAGGTAGCCTGATCCAACAACAGCATTTGAAATCATAATTAGCTACGGGCATAGTCGTGAACTTTGTCAATTCGTCTTCTGTTGGCTCTTTTGCCCACTCCTCAGGCGAGACTTCGGCACCTTCACTCTCGGGTTCGTCGTCATCAGCGTCTTCTTCATCAAGTGCTGACTCTGCTTCTAAACTTTCTTCTTCTTCCATCGGAATTAGGGATCACTCATCAACACAGACTTGCTTTTCAGCGGTCGCTTCCAAACCGGCAGCATTCTCCTCATCAATATTGCCAAAATTTACATCCTCACGTAAAGCCAAGGGTGATCCAGAAGCTGCTACTAAGCTAGAAGAAGGAGCACGGCGGCGAGTTTGTTTGGTACGGGCCATCTAAAAACAAAAGAAACAGAAAAAAAGACACACCAATTAATCATTTATCACCATAATAAACTTAAAAGAAAACTTACCATAATGAATAATACGACAAAGGTGAAGGTAAAAAGAAACCAAGACGAAAAATATGTAGACACAATAATTGGTCAGAGTTAATAAGTTCAATGGAGTTAAACAAAAACTGTGGTCAGTTTTTAAGACGGGCCGGGCAAGTGTTGAACTAACGAAGACTCTTCGCTCATTTTCTATTGGTTGGTGACTAGAACACCAAACACTAGTATTTAAACCCTTGTAAACCTTAAGCAGTGTGTTCCTCTCATCCTTTAAGCTGCTTAATAAAGATAAGATGACCTTAAGTTACTTAGTTCTCCTTCTTTTTACATCTTCAACCATTCTGGTACACAACAATATTACAATTTAGTAATTTTGAAATTTACAGAGAATTTCCTGAGAACAAGTTTTCAACTACTTTTGACTTTCAACTGAAAGCTAGCTCAAGGTTAACATCAGTCTTGTAAGCTTTCGAAATCTGGACGAACGGATTTCGATTCATTAGTGAGTTTGGAATACACCGCTCAACTTTAACTCTAAAGCAAAGCTCCATGTGCTAAAGTAAGTTGAATCAAAAAGAAAAGATTGTAAACTGTATTCAATTTAATTTATCTTTAATTTGATAAAATACTCACAAAATGAACATATTTGATGATAATCGCACACAAATTGATTGATTACATTTTTTAGTTATTTTTAGAGTTTTTGCCTTCAAAATTGCGTAGAAAGCTATCCGCACGAAGTCTCAATTTGAGAGGTTTGACTGGCAAATTCTGGCTGATTTTAAACTGAGATTTCCTGGTCAAAGCCGGGTAACATATCTCTGGACTAATTATTTCTGGAAAATTAGCCTAGTCCTGACCCTTTTTTATTAACTTAAGAATGACTACTTGAATACTTGGAAAATAGTCTAATCAGAGCTCCTGTTTCAGCACATTATGATCACACTTTAGAAACTCAGTTGAGAACTGATGCCTCAGATGTAGGTTTAGGTGCAATTGTGACACTAGGGAAATGTTGGCTTTGGTAGCCGCTATCAATGTTTCGAATGGTATGAAATGGTTAAAATTAATGAAAATAAATATTCAATTTTTCATCAAATAATTATAGGATTTGCAGGGTGCAAACTGAGTCCATCAGTTTTTATTAAAAAGGACATTCAATCACGCCCAGTTATTGGTACCATCATCACTAGGCTCGTCATCAATCGTCGCAAAATCCTCTTTGCATTTTACCTTTTTGTATTTTGTTGTTGATAAAAAAACTCCAAGTTAACCATATTAGATATTACAATATTATTTAGCAACAACAAAAGCACCTTTTTAACCACGCTTCCCAAAGACTTCAGTATATCACGGTAACTAGACTTTGGATTATACGCTATCCAACCTTTTCATTCCCTGTCATCATTCAATAGAATAACTTATACTCTATTGTGTATCATCAACCTCCCTTCATGATACAAATGACTTCTCATTTCCGTTTCTTTTAACATTCATTTTCATTCTTCTTCTTCTACATCTTTTCACCGTCATCTTCATCATCCATTTCTCATCTCATTTTCCCTCTTCTATTCAATCAATTTTGTTTATCCAATTGACGGATTAGGTAACAATGACCTGTACTTTTTGGCCCCATTTATACGCAATTTATCTTACAATATATTATTACAACTAGATTAACTTTAATAGTTGCCATAATCAACAATTTTAAGTAAAAAGTAACAATCAAAGTAAAATGGGCTTTTGAGTTGTCATGTTTTAATTTTATCACTGAAAGTATTAGAAGTTTTGGTGTTTATCTAAATTTGCTCATGTACATTTAAACTACATTAGTGACAATTTAAGGCACATTAGGAATGGGATTTGGATTTGAGTAGCATGATGGTTCTATATAATCACAGAATTCAGTTTTGAAACCAAGGGTTAATGTGATTATTATATGCATTATTGTAAGCTGGTTGTATCACATCCATTTGAGGTAAAGAGTGAAATTGATTATTTCCCGAGTTAAGATGACCATGGTTGTTGCTTGTCATACCATTCATAGATCCTGGATTAGATAATAAATGCTGGAAAGAATTGCACCTTGAAAGATCACTTTTCATATTGGTTGTAATATTGCCTGACGAACCCTGAAGTTGTTTACCATCACGCACAAGCACTGGTATCGCTACTCGACGAGGTGAAGGCAGTGAATTAACAACATCAAGACCCTTCTCTTGACGAGCCCTCTTCGTCTTGTACCTATGGTTTTGGAACCAAATTTTGACCTGAGTCGGTGTCAATCGAATGGTTGAGGCGAGAATTTCTCTCTCTTGAGCTGACAAGTATCGCTGTTGGCAAAAGCGTTTCTCCAGCTCATAGGTTTGATTCTTGGAAAACAAAACTCGACGTTTACGTTTTTTCGTTTCCCTTGAACTTGAATCTCCAATTTCACCACCTCCTCCTGAGCCTCCATTTGAACCATTGAAGTTGGCTGATGAGTTAGATGTGGTTGATGATGGAGATGAACTTTCCTCTGATTTGACTGTTGCTCCATTGGAAGACTCTTGTTCCACTTTAACATGGTTAGATGCTTCATGGTTGCCATTTCCATCAGTGTAGGAAGCCCCTGTCAGTGGAGACAAAACTGTAATGTCAGATGAAGTACCTGTCAATGGAGTCAAAGTAATATCAGATGAAATGGTTAAAATGGATTGATTATTATCTTCTTGTTGGTTAATAGTTGGGGTTGTCGGAGTTGTTGGTGTTGTAGCTGGTGAGGGTAAAATGCCATTCTTTGAATCATCTCCATTCAAATGAGAACGAACTAAATTGACATTGGAATTGGTGATGGGATTGAAATGAGTGAGATGAGGATGATAATGGTGATGATTAGGATGATGAGGATGATGTGAATGGTGAGTAACACCAATTAAATCCAATGGACCATTGTCAATTAAACAAGATCCTGTTGGATCAAGAGTGAGTTGATTAAATGAACCTATTCCACTTTGAGTTGTCGGTGAACCTTGCAGGCCAATAGAAAAATTAAGATGTTCAGCCGATGGTAACCATCTGGAATAATTGTAATCATAATAAGTAAAGTTATGATTATTGTTGGTATTGGAAGGCGAGTTCAATAAATTTTCAGTTTCACTATTCATGTTCCTGAATTGAAAACCAAACGTATCACTGATGGACAAACTTGAACTTGTTAGGTGTCGTTATAAATTAAATAAAATACACTAAAATTAAAAAATGAACCCTATGATTGATTGATGATTTGAATGAAAAACTCATGGAAAATTTGGTGTAAAACAAGGTCAAGAAGTTGAAATGTCGAGAAAAACGCTGTAAACACACAAAAAGGCAGGAAAGTGGCAGCGTGATTCACAGAGTGAACAATAAAAATTTGCTAAAGTCCTTAGCAAATATATATACCAATAAATACAAAGTTAGTAATGATAATAACAACAAAAACCGAGTCAATAGCGCTCGATAGTGTTAAGACGGGGATAAAACAAAACAAAAAGCTGAGCTTTACAGAGGCTTTGAAAATGTATCAATTGTAGCCTTGTGAATGGATTGACTTTGTTGGTTCACATTCAATATAAAAAAAGGCACGACAATGTATATTTTATTGTATTTAGGATGTATTAATCTACATTAATTGATTGCGATTCATTTGATTGATTAACATCAAAAGAATATGAAGAAAGTCAAAAGAAAATAAGCAGAAATATGATAATCTCCATGGAATCTGATAAATCTGTTGAACAAACATGTTTACAGATAAACCACAATATATATGGATAAATTAATATAAAAAAAAGCGAGGAAAGAAGAAGAAGAAAGAATCAGAAAAGACAAACTTATCATCCGGATAATGCAAGATTCATGTTTAAATGGTTTCTTGTGTCTTCCTTTTCATCATCATCTTTTTAACTAACTTTCTTATTCTCAGCTAATCAACTCATCATCTATCTGAAACTGATCACTTGAGTTTTGAGTGTCTCATAGCTTGACATGTTATAAGCTGATCTAAAGATGATAACTGCTTAACGATTAAAACTTCAATCTAATCTCTTTGGATACCAAGAAGACGAAGAAGAAGAAGAAGATGATGATGAAAAGAAAGCGAAAGATGACGAGGATGAAAAATGCTTGTTAATATTTACTGATTTGATAGATTTTTATCCTTCTGTTTCTTCATTTCAAATGGTAAAACAAACTTTTCCATTTTTTTTATTGATTTTCAACCAAATTGTCCTTGACCTATTAGGCTCGATTAGTGTTTGTTTAACTGATCAGTCGGTGTCGTTAGTGATTCAACTCTAACTTTTCAAGAATATGTTGAGTAAAATTAAGTCAATTTTGATAACACAAAGTATTCAAGTTTTGGTCAAGAGTTAATGGACAAGAGTCGTCTTTGTTTTTTTATCAGTGAAAATATTGGTTTAACACAGTTTTGATGAATTGCACTCATGTAATAATTTGTTGAAAAGGTTTACCTGATTTACCTTGGAAAAGGTCAATTGAAAGGTTAAGCTAAAGGAGGCCAAAACTGGCTAGCAAGCAATTTTCATTATCAACACAAACTGTAAATTATTAACCAAGGAAATGATAAAATCACTATGAAGGCCACAATAGGAGTTGACACAAACAACTTATCCTCTCATCAGTTAGCATCAGGTTGCATAAGTTAGCCAGGTAAGAGTTGAAAGCGTTTAATTTTCACGATAAAGAAAATTATTAAATGTCAAACTGCTGGACATCGTTCAATAGTAAAAATTGGAAAGCGAAACTTGACGTAACAATGAATTTGCAAGATTGGCAAGTTACAATAACTGAGAATCAGTCAGATTATCGAGAAAATTGCCAGTTTTGCGAAATGACAGATCAAAATAAATCATTTCATGGAAATCAGAATTGAATGTTACATCTGAAAAATCTATTCATAACGTGCTTTCACCTTTTCTTATTGTGCTACTAAATTCAGGTAAAGACAATTTTACCTGAAATCAGATTTGACGCTCTTGTCTATCAACTGCTGATTGACTAATGTTGAGTAGAGATACTCAGTACTAATTGCAAAGTAATACTTTTACCAGTTGAAGTGTTCAAGATGATTGCTGCTAAAAGCAGACTTGAAGGTGTCAACAGGAATTTTGACTTTTGTTTTGTTCCCTTCAGTTTGGACGTTCCTTCGATACAGTTGAATGTTGCCTGAGTCCACCATGAGACGTGTTTTTTCCTCAAAGTAAACAATGCAACAGTTACGCTTTGACTTTTGTCAATACCAAGTCTTGAAATGATCACAGGCATTTGGTTGACTTTTGTCGCTAAAAGTTAATCCAATTACAAGAGTCTGCTGTTGATGTTGTTGTATCACATAACGAAAAGGTTGACAATGGATTTACAGGTAAAGTTGAGGTTGAACTTCAATTGAATCTGTAAAACAATTTCATGGTTCAACAGCGATTTTAAATCGCATTTTATCTCTCTCTCTCTCTCTCTTTACAATCCTAAGTGAATGCTGGTTGAGATGATAAAAAATGATTGCCTTATTAAGGTTAAATATTTGTGTACATTGTCTTATCCCATGGACACCAACCGAGGCTACTTAAAACTGACCAAACTGGACCACCAGAAAAGAAAGGCGTAAAAACATGAGACAACAAAAGAACTGAGTACAACTAGAAAACATGATTTTTTCCATTCTTCTTAACACACCATGTAATCACCAGTCAGTCCAAACAGTAATCAATTTGTATCCCTTTACTAATCCTTACCTGAACCAGGTAAACCTTGTAATCTGTGAAGATAATTTAAAGATCAATACTGAAATATTTTCTTCTTTCTCCAGCTTTAAGGATTGTCCAATTGTGTCTCAAATATGTTAAATCAAATTGATGATGACAACCAACAAAATGAGTCAAAGCCTGTAACACAGGAATTTAAAGGCGACAAATTTTTGGTTTGAAAAAATCAACATTTTCCTTGATCATTTAGGAAGCAAATGTAACTCTTGAAACTCATGAAACTCATGAAGCGAGCATTTCATCGATGACTTATGATCATCAAGTTGATTTGCTTCTCAATTGAGTGTAAATAATTTTAAACCTCAAAACCCATCTATAAATTGAGTAAAAATATATGCTGAAATAAAAAAACATTAAAGTTGATTCAATGGTTTTCATCAAAGTTTCGAGTTGCAATAAAAAAGGTAACATTTGAGGGAAACAAATGTTATTGACTAACCAGAATAATATCAATGAATCAATGGTGAATGATTAATGAAAGGCTCATCAAGTAAAGAGTAAATCAAAGGGAATAAAGTTTATCAGTTGAAAAGCAATACCAATAATGCAAAGCAATGTTCATCATTTTTTACTGTAAACTAGTCGAGTTGAACAATTGTTGAACTGTTTAACAAACCTCAAGTTAACAAGTGATTTATGCTCAACCCAAGCATCAAAAATACTGGTAAAGGCCAAAAGGAAAAGTTGATCCAAAAGATTATCCAATTTTCCCATTTTCACTTGATTCCTTTTCCATTGAACTTTCACAAAAGCCAAACTCAATCTCTCATTATCCATTGTTTTGGATAAACTAAACGCAAAATAAACTCAAACCCGTAAACCCAGTCAAACTTCATCAATTGTACCTTTATCCCTAACAGCTCTTGTAAAATCTCATCGATAATACAGTTAAACATTTATCCGGACTTGATCATGTCAATGAGCAAGAATGGTAAACATACTTAACAGGGAGTTTCTTCCGGTTTTACTTTTCATCTTTTCCCTCCCAGTCAATATCACAATGGAACCAGAAAGGTTGATGAAAAGGGAAGAAATGTTGATCTCTTGCTGTTCCAATAAGCTTTACATTTGCTAATCAAATCCGTTCAAGAAAAGCTCACTTTTAATGATTAGCTAATTTATCAGCTAAAATGAAGCAAATTAATTTAGATTAAATCAAATCCAATCATCAACAACACATTAAGATTACGGTTAAACATTAAAATGATTACTTGCAAGTAACACAAAAAAACTGTTCACTGATCAACATTTATTGCAATTGTTATTTGAGAAGGAAAAGTAAAAAAAAGTATTCTTATTGATTGTGCATTTTATTGAACATTTCAACTGTTAACCAGATTAATTATGTTCCCAGCGGACAATTTATTTCAAATGATTGGCTTCCCTGTTGATCAAGGATCACCAATGAATCAGTAAATTGGTAAAAAAAAAGTTTTCCATTAAATAACAGTCAATGATCAATGGTAAATTGAATAAGTACAATTGGTAAGAAAGGTTGGCCAAAGAAGCAGAAGCATCGTGAGTTGAATACGCCGATAATTGATGGCCTTTCAACAGTCGCTTCAAAATTTTGTCCTTTTTATTGAAAAGTAAAAGACACAAAAAATGGATTGAAACAGTTTAATTGCAAATGCCATTTATGCCCTAAACTGTCCCAAAACTGGTGACAACAATGATAACAGTTAATGGCGGTAATAAACTGTTAAATTAATAAAAAAGGTTGAATCTTTGATTAATGTTTGTTGGTCTTTGAATGTTTCATTTTTTTCGTGTTTCCAACTTTTCCTCTTCACGGCACTGAAAACGTGTGTCGAGCTGTACAAGTGACTGACACAATACTTGTGTGTGTGTAAAGATTAAATGAACTGTTGATTAAGTTATCAACTCTTGTGGTGAGAGAAATGGTTCAACAATGATTTTTTCTGGAGGAAACAAAACGATAGATTAATATCAATGTAGAGAAGTAAACAAAAGATGAAACTCATTTTCTTCATCAATCATCATTCCCAGTTATCCTTTCACTCATTCCCTTTCATTGTCTTCATTATCTAACTCATGGTCAACCTAATAGTTAGATGATGGTGGCAATGGTGATAATAACAAGCTTACATCGTTTAATCTATTCGCACCTATTTTTATTCCCTTTTGCCTTTTATCGAACAGAAAAGAGGGATTTTTTGTTCCTTCCCAGTCAAGTCTTTTTTTTACCTCCTCATAAGTTATCGTGTTTGGAGAAGGAAAGAAGCAGAAATAAGCTGATAAACAGGGAAGTCTAGTAACAGCCTATTATCACTTCCGTAATAAATTATCCTCGAGAAAAGAAAAGTATAAGAAAGGTTAACCTCTGAATCAAACTTTTTGGACCAAAGGAAAGGCCAAATTAATGTTCACTCTTTGAAAGGGAAAAGAAAATGTTTTTGGCCATTTTATGTGGTCAATGATAATAATCAGTCTAATGATGATGATGATGTTAGGTGATCATGAATGAACATGTTACAATTGCCTGTTAAACAATCAGCTTTCATCAGTTCACTAATGTTGTACAGGGAAAACCTCTTCTGTTTAGCTTTGCTTTACAGATGCATTTTGGGCTGAAAAAAGAAATGAAAAGTTGACAAAAATGACTAGAAAAACGAGAAAAAATAAGGTTTTATTTTTGCCTTGAAATGCTTTTGTTTACTCAGTATCAAAGTATCGTTTTTATTCAATATCCAAAAACTGGTTATGTTGGTAAACAAACCAGAATCCAAAATCAATTATGATCGGTAATAAAACTAAATTGATGCAAAATTTCAACTCTTTGTGTCTTTTTGGGTTCTCTCGATATTTCCAAATGGAAGAATCTTCGTTATTCCAGAAGAACGGAGAAACTTCGATCTTGATAAACATTTTCAATTGTTACTCTTCAAAAACGATAATGAAAGATAACAAAATGATAAGCATCTGATAATGGATGACAATTTTGCGGAGAACCCAAAAAATCACAAAATCTTACAATATTTTTGTTTGCTTCTATTGACCTCCATGTTAAATAATCTGAATAACAACGATTCAACAAAAATCTATTAAATTAGTTTCCATTGAACAAGAATTCTTAAACTTTTGTCCAATTTTTTAATGTACTAACAATTGACGAGAAAAATAGACGCTGGAATTTCCGTTTCTTGAATAATTTCTGATAAATTATCTCAAACTTTTATAAAACATTGAAACAAATTTTCGCTAATTTTAAAAATAAAGTTTGACTTTTGTTTGTTATTAAATAAGCTAAACTTTATCTGTTGAAGCGACTTGAAGTTTTTCAATTTACTTCTTACTTTGCTGATCAGTTTATAATCAATCATTTCTATCGGATTTTCTGTGACTTGGACAATAAGTGATCAGATTTATAGATAAGATTCAATGTTGTCATGACTCTTTGTTTTTTTCACCTCTCATTCAATTCTCACTTTTGGTCCAACTGATTTTGATTCATTTGGTAAACTTGTTAAGACTTTTGGTACACCTTAAGTAAGGGGAAACTGTAGGAACAAACAAATCTAATCAACCATTAAGTATGTCGATCACGTTTCGCGGTTGACCAACATAATAATAGCATTGGTCAGTCGGTAATAACATTGTTAACAGTGTAACCAAAAAGAGTAAAAATGTATTTCCAAATTTTGCATTTGAACAAAAAAAGTGTAAAAAAAGAAAGTATCAAACAGAACAAACAAAACTCATGATTTCCATGAAAATCCAAAGTGAAGAGATGGAACAAAAAGTAATGAAAAATGCTGATGCAATTTTTACAAGATCAATATCAACAGTCTTTCAGAGCTTTCAATTGCCTACTTTTTTATGTTCAATACAAACACATCAACTGTAAACATAATCACCATCAAGGGAAGAAGCAAAACGCTCATCTTTTATCATGTCACTGTATCTTCTCATCTTATGTAACATATTATAATGAGAAGCAAAAAAACCATTTTCTGGATACAATCCATATTTAGTTGTCCAACACTTGCACAAAAGACTTGTAAATAATATGATAAATGCCACTTGATTTGGTTGTCTCAATTTTCAGTCGCTAATGATTCTGTTAACCAATGTTAAGGTGGAAATGCAGAGGAAGAAAATGATTCAAAACTCTTTTGTACTTCAACATGGAACCTTGAATGGCGACAAAAAAAAGAGAAACTTTTGCCTTCCATTTTGGCTTGTGTGTGTTGATAATGATGTTACTTTTGATACTCTTTAATGTTGCTAATAATGGCTGTGATGATATTTTCACAAGCCAATTGTTTGTTCAAATTAGCCTCTGGGAAAAACTTAAAAAATTATCAACTCAGTGGGAGTAAAGTTTATCTCATTTTCAGTCTCTTTTGTCATCATTTCATTTTTAATAATCTTTCATTTTCTCCTCTTTTCTCTCGATTCAATGAACAATATCTTTAAATGTTTCATTCACCATCAGATCAACTCCTCCTTCATCTTTCCCTCTTCATAATTTCCTCTCTCTCTACTCTTCTCGATACTTTTCATACATTTCCTAATGTTCCTCATTTTGTAGCCATTTAGTTCAATTGTGAGGCAAAAAAAGCAGCCTAATTTAATGGTCCTGTGTTGTTGTTGATCATTGTTGGTCTTGTTGTTGTTTATTGTTACTCTTGTCATCCTTAATCTGTGATTGATTTACCCTTAAATGTCACCCACAAGATTGAAAATTGAGCAACACAATTTAACCTCATTTTTTATATTCACTTTAACACTTACTTGCTAGACTTTTGGTGGTTCCTTAAATTGGTTTACTTGCCTTTGCTGATTCAATCTGGTTGGAGGATTAAATTGCCATTAAAGTACTTTTTTCTCCCAGTCATTACAACAATTGAAAAAGCTAAATCATTTATCATTATATAATGTGTTGTAGCAAAACTGAGCTACCTTTTTACGTTCAATTTAAGGTAAATTTTTATACGATCCCAGTGTGGGAGGGATTCACATTTTGTAGCATTTCTTGCCAATTATTTATTGATGGTTAAGGAAGTCAATGAAAACCTTTGACTTTCGAGTCAAGGGTTGAGACTCGATGCCTTTGTATAGGTACAAAAATGTTCAAAGTGCAAATTTTGATCGCTAAAACACGAAAATGTTTTTCCTCAAAAATTCAACAAAACACTGAGGATCAAAAAGCTTTGTTTCCAAGTCGATGTTAAATGAAGTACAGAAGGGAAATGGCCTTTTCTCGAGAAACGTTGACATAACTGAATGATGGAGTTTGGCTAATTTTGCAATCAAAAATGAGAGCTAACAAAATTATCTAGTCAGAAAGATTGGCGATTCCAGAAGATGTCTTGGATGATCTTAACACTTGAAAAATGAACGTCACAGAACTGCCTGAACTCGATTCCCGGTTTTCCACCTCTTCTAGTTTCAAAGTTATTCGCGTTTAACATATTAGCAATATTAAGTGTTTGAGCTTGCCTGTTCATGCCCCTTTCGATGCCCATTTCATCCCGTCTCATTGTCTCGACCAAAGGACCCCCTAGACTGAACAGTAAAACCGTTGGCATTTATCGTGTTCCCTCATCACTCGCCCTTCATCAAATAGGTATAATTAATTAATGGTCAACCTTAATATTGTGCAAGTGTTGACTGAATGGCCAAAAGTTTGTCTTTCATACTTTAATGGCCAATGTTTACTCTATCCATACAATATTGATAGCGATGAAGATCATTAACATTTGATATGAAAAACCAGTTGTTTAAATTGTTTGGGATTGACTGGTCAAGGGATGTGAACCACTAAAGAGAGAAACAAAATTATTGAAATTGACAGATTGATGGACAAACAAAATATCAAACAAACAAACAAAATGAAATTCAAAGCATATTAAAAGGTTTAACTTGGCCAAGAACAAAAAAAAAGGATTCACAAAGTAAAAGATCATTTAACGAGAGAGAGAGAAAGGCTAAGAGTAGGAGTAGGAGGAGGAGGTGGAAGGGTTGAGGGTCATTAGATATGGTAACATGAATAGTTTTTGCTTTTGGCCCTGGGTCAATTGTGGTGAGAGGAGGAAATGAATTGAAATGGCTTTTCATGTTGAAATGAGGAAAAATAAAAGTAAACATGAGCAATGAAAATAAAGGTTAACAATTTACTTTGATCGTATCACAATTGTCAACTTATTTGCTATATTATTGTTGCCCGTCTTCAACCCAAACCTCACAGTATGTCTGACTCACTTGATAATATGATTTTATATTGAATAAGTTAATCGCGGGAACAAAAAAAGAGACAAAACTTTTTCATCTTTCCTCACTTTCATTCTCACAGTTCTCATTGTTTTATTATTCAATGCTCATACTTTCATTCCCTGTTACATGCTATCACAATAATAGTCAATGTAATTGCAACATATTGGGATAAATATTATTTACAATTTACTTCATCATGACATTTCATTCATTTTTATCGCTCTTTAAACAATTCATTTGCTCCAATAAAACCAACTTTAAAATGACTGAATCCCAACCAGGAGAAGCGACATTTCCCAAAGTCGCTAACTTTTGCTTCTCATTAGGAAAAATCGAATTGGAAATTTCTATTTTTTGCCAAATCTTTTTGATCAATATGAGTTAGTCGAGTGATCACTTATAACAAGAGATTCATTCTCAGAAATATCTTCAACCTTTCAAGAACATTTGAGATGAAGAGAGGAATTGCGATCTATTTGAGCTTTGAATGGACACTTTTAGCGAAGTCATTTTTCAAAGGAAAAGGTTAATCGTTCATCAAACGATTCATCAAATCGCAAACGCTTAATTACAATGGCAAGGCTTGTAACCAATGTTAATTTGAATAATGGAGCAAAAATGTGGCCAACTTGTTACAAGGTTAAAGTTTGAAAGGCCACTAAACGTTCATCTTTGCCTACTATTATTGTTGCCATTATTGTTATCAAATACAATGTAAGGTAAAGTTAAAATAGACTTTATTATTCAATTATTATTCGCTTCTCTCTTTTTTTTGTGACAAATTTTTTTCTGCCCATTTTCATTCAGTTGATAAAATGGTTCCTATTATAATGTTAATAAGAGTCAGTTTAAATACACAAAGGTGCAACACCAATTTTATGGTTCATATGTTATTCATTTCATGATTATCAACCTCATTATCATCATTACAACAATAATAAGCTGCCATTATAAACACAAAATTAGTTGAAACGTTCAACTGAACCATGAAATGGTGGAAATGTGTTTAAAAGGTAAAAACATTGAAACTGTTGCGAGAAAAGTTTTCATTTCTTTCAATCTTCCGTTGACTATTAAAAGCTATCAATAAACAGCTTGTCAGTATTAAGATTTGTCTGATCCTCTTCTTACTGATTAATATTAAAATAAAGTTTGTATCAAGTCTTAATGTCACTTGAAGTCGATGGAGCAAACTTGGCACATCAATCAAGTGCCAATCAATTGATAGTTAAGTATTAGGAATTAAACAAAAAGTGAATGAAAATGTAAAAGCTCAGGGAATCTTAAAGTTGTAGCTTGGTAAATGAAAGGTTTAACAAAAGTTGAAACATCAGTTTCAATAAATCTTTGTCACTAGTTGATAAGAGTTTCAATAATATGAAGTCAGTAGATATGATGATGAACTCAACCAAAATGTGAAGACGATGATGATGATAGCAGCAAAGTCAATTAGTAAATGAATATGGATAACAGTGTAAAGTTGATAATTTTGATTAGTTGATCTTAAGAAAATTGCTTCAACTTGGCTTCCATATCCAATACAAGGAAAGAAGGAAAGAAATGTTCAACCCATTTCTTTACAGGAACCAAGGTAATCCCTGTAAAGGTAAGTCCGCCTTCCTCTTCATCCCACTTGTCTTCCCTGCTATTTTCATCTTTATCCTCCTCCTCCTACTCATAAAAGGACTCACAATCAAAGAGCAAGAGAGAGCATGGCAATGAGAGCTATAGATAAGAGAGATGCCAAGAGGGTTAGCAGCGAGAAAGAGATTAGGAAAGAGACCAAAAAAATAAATGTAACAAATTTTTTGATGAAAAGTTCAAAAAATGAAAGAAAAATGAAAAGGATTTTTAGTGGCGCCATCGAGTTCTGCTCCTTGCCGCAATCCTCATCTCAAAAGGATAGTTAACATTGGGTGCTTCTCTTGTTATGCTCTTTGATAAGAAGATGAAGATGAAGATCGGGAGGAGCAAGTATAAGTGGGATGAGCCTTTCATTGAAAATCACCATTAGCCAAGTCTTGTTGCCAAGTCAGGTCAAGTCTAGTTTTTCATTTCCAGCGATACTATTAATCGATTATTAATGTGGCTATTAGTATTAAATTATAAAATTTAAATTTAAACATAATTATAAAGATGTAACTTGAACAAGTAGCAACAAGAAATGAGCAAAATAGGAGATAGGTTTCCTTGCTATACGCCTTTTTCAATAGGCTTTTTACCATGTAAACTCATCAAGTGTACTCGTATTGTGAGCTAAGAGTATAACAAGAGGTACTCTCACTGCCAGCTCCCTCTTTTCCTGCTCCTTTAACTTCTTATCTCACTTATCTATAGCTCTCATTGTAGTGCTCACGCTTGCTATTGCTCTTTGCTTCGCATCTCTCATCATCTTTTTTTCACTCCTCTTTAGTCCTTACACTCAAGTATTATCTTAATCATTACGAATTCATTTATAACAATTTTAAATTAACTCTGCAAATAGTTTCACTGTTTTTTACCACCTTTACTTGTACCACTTAACATTTGATCATTGATTTTCACTCCATGATAATGTTTCTAATTTTGATTTACTTGTGATTAAATTATTTCACTGACTATCAACTGGATCAACCATCAAACCAATCATCCAACAAATCATGTCCGTTGACAGTATTGACGATACCAATGGTGCCAATGCCAAGGTTACAATTAAATTCAGTGTTTCGGATATTTTAAAGCTTCCCTCAAATAAACAAAAGTCAGCCGATTATCCCGTTAAACCATATCAAGGATCGCCTTCAAATTCACCTCCACCTCAACCGTCATCATCATCACCTTCCCATGAGATCGCAATTAAATCAGAGGAAAGTCCATCTTCATCATCAACTCCTTCAACTAGTAATTTCACTTCACCTTTATATTACTATGAAAATCCCTATTCAAGGTGGTTACCTTCAACTGAAAAACATTTACACCATTTCACCTCTTCATTGGCAAGTTATACTAGTGTTTCATCTTCACCGGGCAAACCTTTACTACCCAATGTTCATCACCTTCAACACAGCTTGCAACAACAACAACAACAGCAACAGCAGCAACGTCAACAGGCAAGTTCACCGGAAAGTTTAATGGATGAAACTTCAGACAATTCAAATTTATCCATCGACTCACATTCAAATATAATGAGTTCAAGTCAACAAGAGAGTCGCGATCATCACGACATTGATACTTGTGATTATCCAAATAAACTTTCTGAAAGTGTTAAACATCATTCGACCTCGTTGAACGGTGATTCAAGGCAAGGTCATCATCACCATCATCATAAAAATGGATGTGACCCAAGTTCAAATGGAAGTGGTGGAATGGGTGGTTCAAGTTCAAGAGGAACCAAGAAGCGTAAACGTCGAGTTTTGTTTTCCAAGAATCAAACCTATGAACTAGAGAAACGCTTTTGCCAACAGCGATACTTGTCAGCTCAAGAGAGAGAAATACTTGCTTCAACCATTCGATTAACACCGACTCAGGTCAAAATTTGGTTTCAAAATCATCGGTACAAGACGAAGAGAGCTCGTCAAGAGAAGGGTCTTGATGTTGTTAATTCATTGCCTTCTCCTCGTCGTGTAGCGATACCAGTGCTTGTTCGTGATGGTAAGCAACTTCAAGGTTCATCAGGAAACCATTCAAATTCACCTTCAATGAAAAGTGATCTTTCAAGGTGCAACTCTTTTCAACATTTATCATCTAATCCAGGATCTATGAATGGTATAACAAGCTCAAACCATGGTCACCTCGGAACAGGCAACTCTCATCTTTCTTCATCCAACTTTTCACCTTTGACCGCTTCCCTTAAAGGCTCTTTCATCAACCCGTTCAGTGTAAATATAATGTCTTCTGCAGCAGCAGCCGCTGCAGCCGCTGCCGCAGCAGCTTCAGGTCATTCATTGATTCACCATTCACCCTGGTTCTGACCTTTGCATTCATAATGTTGAAAGGATATAAATAAATATAAATACGGATAAATAGAGGAATCAAATGAAAACTCGCCTTCATGCATTCCAAGTCAATGTTTTAATGAAGTTGAAAATATAAGGTAAACCCAAACGTCTTTGTGGGTTTTGTGATTAATTAATATAGTAAAATTTATTCAATTTTTTCGATTTTTTAGACTTTTTAATCAATACTTTTTCTTTAATTTGCACCAAATTGCATGATTAAAAACTTTGGTAACTTAAATTTTGATTTAACAAAATCATCATTTTTAGAAAATTTCCCACCTCAAACAAAATTGTCGATTAAAAATGAACAACAATACAGAATCAAGAAAAATTAACGTCGATCGAAAGCTTGAATTCCATATAATCACTGATAAAACTTGGAAATTCTAATCATGATTCGGTTATTCTGTTTGGTTGATGATAAAATTGTTTTTTTGACGATTTTCTATGAGAATTTTCTATAGGTTTTCATGAAAATCTCAAAAAGTATCTTTTCTATGGAGATTTGATGTTGGATAAAGAAAAGTATTGATCAATTTAAAAATCGAAACAATTGAATAAATTGTACTAAATTAATAAATTTATTTGAATCAATCATTAAAAACCCACAGAATTTTGGGTTTACCTAATAGTTGAACATATTTAAAACTAAGCAAAGTCTGCGATTCAAGTTTCATCAATTTTTAAACGCAACATTCTGATTGAAATGGATTGGAGATGTGAATAATGAAAGGCAAAAATGATCACCATTTGCAGGGAATAGTGCCTTAATTGTTCCTCAATATCATCAAGGATCACCAACTATTAGTAAACAACAAATGAATATATTTGACTCTGTTAATTTATTGAACCCTTTTTGTCAATCACCATCATTAACATCATCATCAATATCAATAACCAGGATCAACTCTTTACTCTAGTCAATCCTTTAATGTAGAGAAACAAAGTTAATATTGTCAAACAATTAATCACCTTTTACAATGCGATAACCAAAATGAATGCAGCTCAATGACGAGGAGACCTGCGGAACTCATCAGAACTGTTTGTGTTTTTTGTCTTAAAACCCTCAAATACTCATATCAAATATAATCAAAATCCTTTGACCATTTAATAACAAAGCAAACTTGAAAATAAATCTGTAACTGCAATTGAATGGGATTGAAAAACAACCAACAAATAAAAAAAGATTACAAAAGTTAAACTTGCAATATTCATTTCAAAAAATAAGTTATAACAAAACGAATCTGAATTCATTCCTCGGATGGATTATTCAATGGATTGATGATGATATGATTCTGTTTCAAACCAAGATTTAGAGTTAAAAATGAGCAAAAATATGCTAGTTTTACCCGTTTTCCTGGTAACTCCATCGCATTCAATTATAGCAAGTTTTCCTCGTCAAATTCATTTTTCAAATCTAAAATCATTTTTTCGCAAACATCTGTCATCAACGATTTACGAACAAGTCATTCGCTTCAAGAGATGATTTAGATAAAAAGAGGGAATTTCTTCAAATCTTATTTCAAAGATCAGAGATACAAGAAAGTCGTGAAACAAGTTAGTTTTACCCTACTGATGACTTGTCGTTGCCTAAGAGGTTCTTCTCACTGCGAGAGGAACCGTAGGTTCGGACAAATGATACATGTGTCTACTAGAGTAAGGCCATCCAAAGATTGACTAAATGCCTCTGAGTCAGAATTCCGTCCTTAGCGATACTGTTAAGTAATCAGTTTACTTTGCAATCAAAATCGGACTTAACAAAACTTGACTTGATGAATAGAGTTACTTTGAATCCAAACCGTTTGACTCAAAGTTTTAAAAAACTTGCTGAAGACAAAAGTGAAAAACAAAAACGTTGACTTCAAGTTTATCGGGTTATTTTGCATTACATTTTGATAGAAACTATAAAGCGACTTTGCTGATTCAAATTGGATTTCACAAAGATTCACATTCCCTAACATTTATCATAACGGCAATCCAACTCGAGAGTAAAGCAAATGTTTGCAAAATAGCAATTAATGCAATTTATGTTTCTAATTGTTCAATAATTGTCAATGTTAGATGATAATATGAAGACCATAAAGTGGTAATAAAAATCGTTATGTTTAATGTTTTCCTTGTGATTATCAACATTCCTACTTCCATTATCGTTTTGTTTATATAGAGTAAGGAGTTTTCATTCTTGCTCTTCATGATGCTCAAAGATGAGGTTGAATGAAAAGAAAGATTGAAACCTCTGCTATAATAATAATGATCATGTTAACGGAAATGAGCCACTTTCTAGTCTATTGGATAAAACTATTATCATTATGATACAATATGATATCAACGTTAATATCATCAGCATCAGGATTAACATTATCATAAATAATGTTTCATGTTTACTTATCTTTTTACACGGAATCCCAAATGAAATGCTCAAACAGCATCATTAACTTTTCTGTTTTCATTCATTTCAAAGTTTCTCTCTTTTTTTGTCATTCCAAGTATCATCACCTTTTCTCACTTGATAATCAATGTCTTCCTTCATCATTACCATCAAATGATCATTATAATTCAATCTTTAATCAAACCCTTAATTCCCTTTTAAATGATTTACCATTTACTTTACTCGATGCGACAAGGTAAATCACTCGCCATTTGAGTCAATATAAACTAATGAACGACACAGAAAGATGATTGTTGATTGATTCCCGTGATTGTTACATTTGAAAGTTGAAACACGCAAATGGTAAATTAACAGCAACCGGAGATTATTGTTATTATTTGTAAATCGAGATGTAAAAGGAAAATATCATTTCCTATTTTTACCTGAAAATCAATTGATGATCAAAAATGATGATTTTTTAATGGTATATTAACTTTTCTTTCCCAGTAACATTACATTTGATTAAAGAAGAACCATTAACTACTATCATCAAAAGTATTTAACTTTTCTACCTTTAACTTTGTCCACCTTCAACCAGGCCAGTGTAACTATTGTCGTGAGTTGCAGATACCGTCAATCAAAACTCAATCACAAAAGGTGAAAAGTCAGAAAGAAAAAGAGATTTTCAAAAGGTTTCACTGGACAAAAGCCTTCAAAAAGTTGTCTACTCAAACCAAGCAATTATAAAGGTAACGATAATTGATCAAGCAAAATGTGATGAATGATGAGCAAAGCTACCTTTAACAGGGATTAAACTTCATAAATAAATACTAAAAATTTGCTTAAAAACATTAAGTTTACTTCAGATGTAATGCAAGTTTTGTCAGTAAAAGCAATGTTCATCTTATTTTCACGAATATGTTCCATCTTTTGCAAACATAATTACTACTTACCACTTCATAAAAAGCATGAGCATTATCATGCAATTACAATGGATAATATTTTTATTACTGTCATAATTGTCGATTATATATTTAATTGCATTTGTTGATTTAGAAACTAAGCTGAGAATATCAGTTTAATCTAAACTACAGCGCTCATCTTAAGTAACGCTAGTAGATTCACCGACTCAAGATGGGAATTGTGATTCGAGTTCAAAAGGAAACAAGAAACGTAAATGTCGAGTTGGAACTAACTTATGAGCTAAAAGACTTTTGCCAGCAGCGATACCTTTCAGCTCAAGAGCAAGAAAGCATTTATTACAATTTCATCTCATCCAGGATCCATGAACCAACCATACACCCGTTCAGTGCAAATATCGTTTCTTCTGTAGCGAATCCAAGTAACTTATAAGTTATAACCTTTCACTCTAACTCTAACTTGTACACCTGTAATTGTATATTTTTTAATGCACAAATAAATGGAAATACATCATTTTTTGGCACAAAAACTTGGTATTTATTGAAAATCTGACAATCTTCGAAACAATTTGTTGGTCTTTCCATCCTTCATTTGAATAGGCTTTTGTTTGCATTGCTTACACACACACTTTGATCAACAATAAATGAAAATTGGCTTTCAATCTAATAGCTTCAGGGATTGTAAATGTTTATTTGTTCAACACCTGCAAACTGTGAAATGAGCAGTAAAAAGGCAAAAGTCAAAAATTAACTCTACTATTGACATATTTTGTTTGATAAATAATGTCGAGTGGAAATAAGGTCACAATTAATTTGAACACAATTTTATGATGAAATGATAATTCATCATCGCCCTTTAATGCACATAATAAACATTTTATTCTCGCAATCTTATTCACTTTCCTGTCCAATAATATTGCATAAAGAACCAGCGAGATCGATAACAGTTAGAGATGCTTTTGACACTAACATTAACACATTATTATTGATAATAATGGCCAATTTTGTCCAGATAATCTCACTTATTCACTCTCTCTTTCAATCCATTTTATACACGACATTATAAACCAATGTAACACCAACAATAACAGTTTCAAGTTGGGCATATTTTCATTTCAAGTTGACAATTTTTCAAATCTTTCACTTGTCACAAACAGATCAACATTTATAATGATAAATTTCCTTCTCAATCAACTCGAAGTCACTGAATAGCACAATGATAAACCCAACATCAAGTGGTAAAGACAAGTTTAAACTCCCAATATTACAAAAGCAATATCATTCAAATCCGAAAAGTTAAGTTCAAAATATTCATTACCGATAAGTGATCATTAGCTTTTCCCGAAAGTTGAATCCAAGCATGAACTTCGAAAGTCAACCTTTTCTGTCCAAAAATCCCTAAAAGCACAATATCTTGACTATCCTATCTCACATTTTGACTCTTGAAAAACTCGATTTTATCTTCGCTCGACTTCTAGATAAAAGCTTATGGACAGAAATATATAGATTTGAACAAACAAAAACTATAAAATCACTTTTCCGTCCACTTGGCTTCCAATAGCGTTTTGAAAATGCTTTTGTGTCGCCTTGCAAAATTCATCTTTTTAACGATTTCGTATTTGAATCGGCAAGTTAGAGTCTTGAATTTTGTGGATAGAAATGCTAGATTTGAAAAGAAAAACTGAGAACTGATGTTATTTTGCAAGTCGTTTTGAATTTCGAGGTTATTTGATGAGAGTTGATGAAAAATCATTGAAATATCATCATTTATTAAGCATTTTACAAAAGAGAAAAAAAGTTTTGTTTTATTCAACTCGACTCATGAATATCTCTTTTTGTTGTTGTTACCAATTATAATATCAATATAATTCACTCGTGTTTCCGGGTTAACATGATGATGGAGAAAAGAAGGAAAAAAAGTTCAACTTCCGATTATCACTTATATCAATCAATCAAGAAAATGAGTGAGTAAGTGAGAGTAAAATGAACGCAAGTTGTATGAATAAATAGAGAAGCAAAAAAACAAGAAAAAAAAGTTCATTTATAAGCCATCAACAATTTTCAGGAAACAAACTCTTCTGATCGATATGAGTTGGATATGAAGCAATGAAAAAAGGAGCAAAATTGAGTTTACCTTTTTTTCTTGCTTCAAGAATCAACATTTTTACAGGGAAGGAAATCATTATTTATAGGATTGAATAAAGAACAGAAAAAAAGTTCACTTTTTTGCTGCTGCTCAGCATTTGCGAACCTTTTCTCTGCCAATCCAGAATTATCATGAAAAGCAAAGATAATGCATTTCTTTGTTGAACCTGGAAAACTGTTAACAGGTAAAATAGATTCATGTAATGTTGCCATGAAAATATCAAGTTAAATGTGTTTATAGAATCTGGTTGGATAATAATAGTTGAAGATTATTCTGAAAGGGAAAAATGTTTCATGATATTCATTTCCTTGCCTGAAAAGAAGAGCAAGAATAAAATGTTTCTATTATGAACAATACCTATAAAGTTATCATTATGTTTATAAAAACTATTATTATTATTATGGATTTTCATGGTGAATTGAGAAGAAAGGGGAGAAAGAAAGAAATGCTGAAAATGTTGAGTTCCATGAAAAATGATTTTCTATTCTTGCAAGTCTTTTGCATGTTATTATGGTTAACCTCAACAAAAGGGAAATGTATTATAATCTAACATTTATCCTGCTTTTTGCACCATCATGAATATATTATTATACGTGAACAAGTTTTACTTCATTCCTTGATGATAATCAGTCCATGTTCAGTTAATAATAATAATGGTGTTAATGTTGTTGTGATAATAACACCAAAAGCAGTAAGTGAAAGAGGAAAGGTTGTTGTGCTGTAAATGTCCTTAAGGATTAAAGTAAATA